TTTTTGATAATGGTCTTACAACAAAGTTTGGACATTATTTTGTGCTAATTTTTGAAGACCCCGTTATTAGTGTGTATGAATAATAATTATATTGTATGATGTGATATTAGGTAAGTAGGTATTTAATATTGAAAAAATATGGGTAACGTGGTTTTTAAATGATTTTGTCTTAAAGTTATGGAAATTAATTTAAATTAGTGAAAAATCAATTTTAAGGTTAATGTTTGTTTATTTATTTAATTAGGGAATTCATCGTCGTTACTTAATTAGAATAAAGCTTGCTCATGATAATATTCCAATTAATAATAAACCTACAACTCATAATATGTAGAAATTCTACTTTAGTATAAAATTAATTTTTACAAGGATTTTTTAAATTAATTCTATTGATTCATTTTTATATGACTAAATAAAGCATATTTTTCCTTAATTAAGTATTTCATTATTTTTTCAGTAGGTATTTATTTATTTAGAATTTTTGTCGTTTTAACCTATAAAATACAATAGTTATTTGTTTTACAAGTGTTGAAAAGCGACTTTTTCATGCGAGTGTTTAAGTGGTCGTGGAAAAACAATTTTTTTTTAATTTTCATTGGGTAGGTCGATTACCATCTTAAAATTCACACTTCTTAACTTTTTAACTTTTTGTAAAAAATAAACATTTTTACAATAATATGTCAATAGTTATTTATTATCCTTTCAATTAATTGATAAATTCAATTAAATTAAATTGTTAAAAATGTGTTTACCAGATTTTATTTATTTATTTATAATTTAATTAGGAGAAACTAATTATATATTTTTTTAATGTCTCATTTTTATGATTTGTTAATTGCTATTTATTTGTTCAGTATAATTCTTTGTGTAAAATTTTTTGTAAATTTATCAAATGGTTTTGGGAATTAAAAAATGCCAACCAGTTTTAAAGAGTTTTTAATGATTTAATTCCATTTTGGTGACATATGATTTTTGGCTAAATAGTTATGTAATAATATTATGTTGGCCCGAGGGGGCCAAAAACCTGTAAAATGTTTATTAATTTAATTTTAAATATTTTATTAAACAAAATTATATGTTTTTTTGTCTGTTCCATTGATGTTAAAGGCTATATCCTTTAGTTTAGTGAATTTTAATATTGTATTAAAAATATGTAAATAGGTAGTTATTATAAAATAAATTGAAATATAAAAAATTAGGAATGCAAATAAATAAAATAAAGATAAAAAACAATAATGTTCAATTTTATGTTTTTAGTTTTCTTTTTCTAAGCTTATTAATTGACATTATTATCTTACCCTGGGTTCAAATTTTCAAAATAAATTGTTTAAAATAATAATAATTTAGTATAATTTATATAAAATAAAGAAAATAACTATACTTGGCTTAAAAGTTCGGAATATTGAGTGTAACTTTTGAAATATCCAAAATATTAAAAACTGATTTTAATAAAAGTTTTTTAATATCTTATTTCAAATTTTGCGGTGACATTGCCTACTTAAAAAAATAAATACGTAGTCCCCCAAGGAGGCCAACTTTTTTTTTAATTGCAACCTCTAATTTTTACAACGAAATTTAAAAAAGGTTTTTTTATTAAAATCATTTTTTAATATTTTCGATATTTCAAAAGTTACACTCAATATTCCAAACTTTTGAGCCACCCTGTATACGGCGTCCTTTAAACAATTTGCACAGGAGCATGAATTTAAAAAATGGTAGGACAAATTCGCACAGTGGGATAAATTTTAAAAAATGTTAGGATAAATTCGCACAGTGGGATAAATTTAAAAAATTGTTGGACAAATCCGCACAGTCGCATAAAGTTAAGATATGGTAGGACAAATTTGCAAGATGGGTTAAATTTAAAAAATGATGGGAAAAATTTGGTTGGTAGTTTAAAATTAAAGAATATTGGGAAACAGTCAGTGTTAAAAGATTATTAAGTGTTATTTTAAACTACAAACACCTTGAAAAGATAAAGTTTAAAAATCATAATGACTCATTAAAATTTGTAGAATTGTGTAGTGTCAAAAATATTATAAAGATGTTAAGAATTTGCAAGGTTTACATAGATTTCAAAATTTTTCATCATGTTTAACAATTTAAAAAACTGTAATCCTATTAAACTATACAAATAAATAAATAGAAAGTACTTAATCCTTTTAAACTATTAAAATTCATTATATTATAATAGTTATATAATAATTATAAAAACGACATCTTTGTAGATGATAAAATTTTCTACAAAAATAGTCTTGATATTTTTTGCAGCGATAAATGTTTTAATGACAGAGAGTATCTTATTTTATAACCTAAAAGTCGCAGATCGTAAATTAAAATTGTGTTAAATAATTATTTTAAAAATCATTGGTGATATTTAATATTTTATATGAACATAAAATCAACTTAAGAAAATCCACAAATTCTAAAAATACTTGGAAAAAACGTTTTATGCTGAACAAGCCAAATAACAGTCCATTCTAAAATGGAAAAGGGTAATCCTGAAATATCTTTAAATAATTGAGGATAAATTAACAGGGAAGTTAGTGGTGGAGGGATTACCATCTTTTTAACTTTGCATTTACCAGCCTTTAAGGTCAACACAGGCTGTGTGGAAGGACCCCTTCTACAACAGAGAGGCAAAAAGAGGCCAAGAGAAAGTTCAACTCAAACTCTGATGAGTAGCGAAGGTGTAGATTGTTCTTTGGTGTAGAGGTTTTAAAAGGTATTGATAAAACCTAAAAGGGATTTTAATATTAAACAAAAAAGTTTTAGCTTTCAATTGAAGATGAGTTTGAGATGAGTTTTTAGATTCATATTTTTTTGTATTTTATTATTTCTTATACTTTTTTTTTACTAATTTTTTGTCTTTATTTATCAGGTATTTAATATTTTATATTTGTTGTATTTTTTTAATAAAATAATTTTTTTTTCAATTTATTTTTTATTGTACCAATATACAGTTATATACAGGGTGAGTCATTTAACTTGAAACTAAAATATCTCAGTTAGTATGCATTTTACGAAAAAAAAAAAAATTAAATGAATCGAGGGGGAAATCAATCAGTACTAAAATTGGTCATCATACTCTCCTCCTTATAGGGGGAACATTGAGTAACTTTAAAATTTCCAATGGAACACCCTATTTTTTATTGGGATCATTTGACTAAAAATAGGTAGATTTTGTCTAAAACATTTTTTCATATTTGTAATAGATGGCGCTGTAATGAAAAAAAATCAATTTTGTTCGATTTTTCTTCTGTATACGATTCTGCAATAATTTTTCTATAAAAATATCACTTTTTTTTGGTAATAATTATCTTATTAAATTAAATCTGATTTTTTTAAGTACCCACGATTTTTTAACTAATATTAAAGTTTCCTTTGGTTTAACTTTTATACATTATTTCATTCGGTGATAATTATCAATTGCGCACCATGGTCACTTTTTACCTCTTAGCATTAAATCCTTTAATTTAAAGGATTATTGTACTATTTTTAATAAAAATACCTTATCAGGTAAAAAAAAATATTTTGTCAATTAATTAATTTAATCCTAATCGAGGTATAAAAAAATTGTATTTAGTTATAAATAATAATTATTATTGATGCATACAGAAACTATCTATAGTTTAGCATTATTTAATCAATTTAGTTCGAAGATTAATTTGAAAACAAAAAGCAGTTATTCATAATGGATTTTTTAACAGTGGAAGAGAAAATAGAAATGATTTTGATTTATGGAGAAGCAGCATCTTGATGCTGTTAATATCTACGCTCAGCGTTTTCCGGATAAAATTCGATCACGTACTTCATTTCACCGTACAGTCAAGCAGTTTACTACAAACGGGAGTGTTCAACCGAAAAAAATAGTTCGTCGAGCAACAGGTGGAAATAATGAAATTAATGTATTAGCATAACAAAAAACAATTTTTAAATTTAAAAAAATAAATATGGTGTTTTATTAACAACGTAATGTTAGTTATTTTTAATATTTTTTCTACTCCCACCTTTAAAACGCCCTTTATCGTACATGTTTTCATGACACTAAGTGACCTTTTAAATACACATTCACAAGTTGTGGCTTTAAGACGCTTTAGTCACGGGCTGAAGTTAGTTTTAAGTTAGTTGACAGTTGTCAAATGTCATACAATCGTTAAAATAAAGTGCCCTTCTTCAAGAGAAGGCTTCTTGTAAAATAATACTAAATGTGAAAATTATTTTATTATCTTAATACAAAAATACATTAATATTAAATAGTTTCTCAACGCCAATATTTAAAAAGTTTATATAAACATTGTACTGACCTTTTAATTTCGCCGGCAGTAAACTATAACATAAATGCGGGCACGGACTGTAAAGTCCTCATAAAACATTTCCTTTACTTTCACTGTGAAAAACTGTCAATTTTCAAGCTAAATTTCGATTTATAACCTTTATAATTGTATTTATAAAATGTAAAAATGTGACATTTGACAGTTTCCCCTGTTGTTTCATAGATGGCGCTCTATACAATTTTTTTGATTTAAATCATTTTAAGATAATAATAAGTATTTGTCGTAGAAAAAGTATAGTATGCACCTCGTTTATAAACTTTTCTATATACTCATTAACTTAAGCACTCGCTCGCAAGCTCGCTATTGCCTAAATTAAATTCGTGTATAAAATGGCGTTTATCAAACTTGATACATAATATACTATAGTATATTATTATTATATATAATGTAAAATTGTAATTTTAAAACATGAAAGCTGCAGCTTGTTTTTTATTTGTTATATCTCTTTGAATGAAGATTTTACTGCGGACTTAGTAGTACTTAATTCTTAATAAGTACTTAAACTAGTCGTACTTGACAACCGGACATACATTTATCGTAAAAGAAAAACGAAAAATAAAAAAAATATATAATTGCTACCATCTTCAGCCAAAAAAGTAACCGAAACAAATGAAAAGCCCGGCCGGATAACCTTGCTCATCCCGCCCGTATATATAGAATCCCCCTTGCCACCAAAATCGCCAGTCAATCAAGCAACGCGGTGCCAATAGCGAAAAAAGGATACCATAGCAAAATGGTAGGTATATCTATCTACACACAGTTTCGTTTCGCAATTTTCGCGATTTTTGTTGTGTTGTGTTTTATGTTCAATTGTTTTTTCGATAATTCTGTGATTCCGAGTCTGAATAAGTGAGTAACGCAAGAATAAGCACATAGGAAATGTCGGCATTATTTTGTAGGGAAAACATGTTTAGGATTAAACAAATGTAAGGTACTTTTTTAATGCGATGTTTAAAAGGACAAGGTAAGGTTTTAATAAAAAAAAATATCCAAAAAATTATTTTTTAGTTCATTAATGAAAATATTTTTGGGATACATTTTGAATTTAATTTTGTTCTTCCATAAATTTATTATTTTGTGCCAATCAGATAATTTTCTTTACAACCAATTTTTTTTAGATTTTTTGAAATTGTGCCTTTTATGCTTTTTATTTTATTACTTTCCAATTTTTATTACATTTTTTAAACTTTATTTTGGTTTCAATCTAAATACAGTGTGACCCATTTATTATGCGATTTTAACCGGATTTGTTTTAAAGTGTTGATCTTGATAAACTGTAGTTGAAGCAAAAAACGCCATATTTTTACAAAATACAAGGCCTACTATGTCAGTTTTTAAGCATACATTTTTAAGAATTCATATTAGCAATTTTTTTAAACAAAATCTAAGCACGGCACTGGATTCACCACCCCTCAAAAAGACCCTATAATAAATTTTATTGAAAAATTTTAAGTAGAAAACTGCACAATAATAACTACAAAAATTTATTTTGTCAAGTACCATAATATTACTAAAAAAATGTTAATGGTTAAATACAACTAATTGGTTAAATAACTTGTTTAAAAAACGTTATATTCTATATACATAGAACAATGATAGTATATTCCTCCTCCTTTATTTAGTCTTCTTGCTATTAGTAAGAAAATTATATACAGGGTGTCCAGGAAAAGGAGGTCAATCCGTTAACCATATATTCCATGAGTTAAAACAATAAGACTTTCATAATACCATTTTTCAATTTAGAGCTTCATGTTCGATATACAGGGTGACAAAGTTTGAAATTTAAAACTGATTTTTTTTAATAATTCGAGTAATTGATAAGATATTAAGTTTAAATTCGCTACACTACTTCAACATAAATAGTTACATTTTTGGAGACCAACAAAACAAAAAACAATTATCAAATAATCAAAATAGGGGGGTCCAGTACTATTTTTTAGTACGTGCGCCAATGACTTCCAAACGGTATTTTTTCAGGTAATCATTTATTGTTGAACATTTTTTGTCTCTTATATATTTTGATAAAATGGTTTGTTTTAGAGATAATTTGTAAAGTATGGGTCAGTCCATATCAAATTTTCGAAATTTAATTTTTTTTTGAAAAAATTTAGGTCAAGTGATATATCATAAAAAAGGTCTCTAATAGGCCTTTCAAATAAGCCACCACTCACCTTTCTACTAATAGTTTACGAGATATCGCTATTTTTGTAAGTACCTACTTGCAAGACCCAAATTTATCGGAATTTTTGATTTTCAAAAATCAATAAAACAAAAGCCACCTATCGAAAAAAATTCATATATGGGATTTTTGAGTTTTTTAGTGAGGTAAACAAATTTACCAAAAATTATCAAAATCGGAGATGGTCGAGGAAGAACCTTTGGTTGATTTGATATGGACTGACCCATACTTTACAAATTATCTCTAAAACAAATCATTTTATCAAAATAATATAAATATTATAAGAGACAAATTTTTTTTAACAATAAATGATTACCTGAAAAAATACCGTTTGGAAGTCATTGGCGCTCGTACTAAAAAATAGGGGGAGTCAGTGAGTACTGGACCCCCCCTATTTTGATATTTTGACAATTATTTTTTGTTTTGTTGGTCTCCAAAAATGTAACTATTTATGTTGAAGTAGTGTAGCGAATTTAAATTTAATATCTTATCAATTACTAGAATTATTAAAAAAAATCAGTTTTAAATTTCAAACTTTGTCGCCCTGTATATCGAACATGAAGCTCTAAATTGAAAAATGGTATTATGAAAGTCTTATTGTTTTAACTCAAGGAATATATGGTTAACGGATTGACCTCCTTTTCCCGGACACCCTGTAGAGTATACTTTTAAAAAAATTAAAAAGTTTATTGAAAATATTGCTGTGTCTAAAAAATAATCCTGTTAAAATTTGAGCTCTTAAAAGAGGTCCTGATATAAGAATTTTTTTTACTATTTTAGTTGTTTGCGTTTGGGTGATAGATTGGGGAAAAAATTTAATGGGATTTTAGAAGTTGCACATTACAAATAATATGTTTTATAAATTTTCAATCCCTTTTGAGCAAATTATTTGGAAATAATTTTGATTTATTGTGATTTTAAGATTTTTATTTATATTGTCGAGTTTACACTTTTGGCAAAACAATAGGTTTAAGCAAAAATAGGATTTTGCAAATAATTTTTTTAAATAATTTAAATATTAAATATTTAAATGTATTAAAATAATTAAATATTAAAAATCAGAATTATTGTGATTTAAATATGTTGTCAAAAATGGTGAATGCGCCGGGTAAATATTATAATATTTACCCTGGCGCATCCACCATTTTTGACTATATATATAAATCACAATTATTTGCAAAATAATATTATTAAGATAAGAATGTTGCGAATTTTTTTTTGACATGCAAATATTCAAATTTGAATACCGAATATTTTTGTAATCGTATACTTTATCAACGAATTTTTGATAACATTATGTAACAAAAACTCGATAAGTTTATGTTTATCTGCAATTTTTCACTGCTTATGATCAATTGGGACATGTCCATGTCCATGTTTTTGCACTGGAAAGTTGAACAATATATTTTAAACTACGTCAATACACATTAAAATAAGCAAAACAAACGAAGCAAATAAATCAGTTTTTGCTCAATATCATATTTTTAATTGAAAGCCCTGTATATCGAAATCCTATAAAATAATTCCATTAACAAAACCTAGCATCCATTATATATTCTACCAAGAATAAAATTAATCATCCAAAATCCTATTTTGCAATACAACACTATAAGTATTACACAATTTAAAATATGAATATATGGGTCAGAATTTCTCAAACGGGCCACCTGAATTAGGTCAAAATTAGTTTTTGATTGTAGATACATTTTTTCGATAGTATTTTACATCACTAACACAAATCCTAAAGGATTTTGTAAAAAAAAAATTTTCAATTGACATATTCATGATATTAAAAGTAAAAGTTTTTAGTAATTAAAAAATAAAAAAAAATCATTATGGCTAAACTAATTATCCGATTCCAACGATTTAAATAGCGTTGGAATCTTGTTTTGACATAGATTCTTTGTTATTTTTTTCAATTGTACAATTTTCATTTAGGTCGATTTTTTTTTGTTTTTTTTATAACATATTCGGAAATAATTGGCTTCTGCGCCAGCTATCGACTCGAAAAAAAAAACACATATACTCCAATCATTTTTCGAAATTATGCTGCTGAGAAAAAAAATGGCCCGCAGGTTCCAGACCACCGTAAGACGTCGCGTCACAAGCGCGTACAGCGTACACGGTTCGGAGCGTGAGCTGACACCGCGCGCGGCCACAAAAGGACGAATAACTTTTTGTCAACCTGCGGGCCATTTTTTTTCTCAGCAGCATAATTTCGAGAAATGATTGGAGTATATGTGTTTTTTTTCTCGAGTCGATAGCTGGCGCAGAAGGCAATTATTTCCGAATTTGGTATAAAAAAAAACAAAAAAAAATCGACCTAAATGAAAATAGGACAATTGAAAAAAATAACAAAGAATCTATGTCAAAACAAGATTCCAACGCTAGTTATATCGTTGGAATCGGATAATTAGTTTAGCCATAATGATTTTTTTTTATTTTTTAATTACTAAAAACTTTTACTTTTAATATCATGAATATGTCAATTGAAAATTTTTTTTTTACAAAATCCTTTAGGATTTGTGTTAGTGATGTAAAATACTATCGAAAAAATGTATCTACAATCAAAAACTAATTTTGACCTAATTCAGGTGGCCCGTTTGAGAAATTCTGACCCATATGTAAATAAATTAAATTAATAGATACAAATGTAGGTACACCTAAAACGTAATTTAATTACGTAGGTACATATTAATTATTTAATTAAAAACTAGATTTAAATGCCAACTGCGACTACCTTTTCGTATGAATTCTTTACGCGTAAAATGAGATGATATATAATAATTGTATTACGACATTAAAAATTAACATTAAAGTGTGTCTTAAGGAATCTCAGAGCAAGGCCTTCATTATTTATATTAGTAGGTACATCTTTGAATACAAAATATTTGAATTTATTAGCCAAGCGTTAAAAATGCAATAAGTACCCTTCATTTAAATATACCTACTATACATATGTATTTAGTATATAAAAAACATAGCAAGACCGATGCAAAGAGGATGTGGCTTCAAATAGTTTTCAAATAGTACAAAATACAGGGTGGCCAAATTCTTCGACACACTAGTTTTTATAAATCTGATACAAAAAATCCACCAAAAACATACTCCATTGAGGATTTCAATTGTTTAATAATGCCAATATATTTCGCGACAAAAATTTAAAAATATTAAAAGTAGAGGACTAGGCAGGTATTTAAAAATAGACTCATGGAAGTTATTTTCTGCATTTAATTTAAAAAACTATAATGAAAGGTTTTTGGTTGGTGTTGAACAATTTGTTTACCTATTATAGAATTATTTTGTGTTTTCAAGTTTTTTTGTAATGTTTTAACTACAATAAAATATAACATCAATTATCCTCACCCTGTACAAGAACATGTTGAAATATGAAAATGTTTTTCTGTACGCAGGAAATTTTTTTGTAATTGGAACTATTATAAATCATGTTGTTTTGAAAAACTTGTTTTTATTAAATGTCATGGATTAATTTAATATTCTAATTTGAAATCTCACTACTCTTCTATTTTTGGTAATATGATTTACAAGTATACACATATATATATTTACATTAAAATGGTTAACCTTTTTAGATATGCGAATTAATTAATATTTAGGCATTAAAAAGTACACTTTTCAGTCTCTTATTAACAAGTGTGATTATTTCAAGACCAAGTGTGATGACACCTACTTTTGATTAAATTTATTAACGCTATAAATTATTTAAGTGTGAAATAGTAACGATAGGCAAATTTTAGCCCAGAAAAAATTATCCTGTAATTTATCATCTTGAGTTGCGTTGTGTAAAGCTTAATCAGACATTGAAAGCTACTTAGGAAAATAAAAAGAATTACCTAATATATGCAATATGCAACATTAAATGTATGCAAATTAAATTATAATAATCTTTTTTTGGACAATAGCATTATCATATGTTTATCAATCACCAAAATATCTCGTTTGATGAATATAAATGCCATTAGAAATTTTAATAACTTATCGTTTAGCATATCAGGTTATATTATTTAGAAAAATGTATGGGAACATGTGAAAATAAATCAAGAATTTTGGCCAACCTTGCTGACTTAAATTTAAATAAATTATTGGTACGTCCTAGACCATTCTTGGATCCATGTTCTTCCCACGAAATTATTATAAATTAATATTATGTAATATTACTTTATACTGATTGTTTTATTTTTATATTTTTAGAATTTGCTATATATCCTGCCTATTTTGGCACTTACTGTACTGTGTACAGCAGAAAATAGCAACAATTTGGTTAGAGAAAAAAGAGCAGATGGTTACTTTTACCCCAAACCATCCATCCCCTTCGAAATTCAACCAAACAACCAAATCAATGAGGTTGTACCACCCCCAACTACATCTAAACCAAGGACTACTGGATATGTCTACCCAAAACCTGAGATTCCATTCAAGTTACCTGAGCCATCTGATAACGAAATAAAGGTAACATTAATTTTACTTTAATTTTTACTTGTTACGTTAACTCATATTTTTATCTAGGTTGTACCACCACCAACAACACCTAGGCCAACTTGCGCACCAGGTCAAATAACCTTGCCTTATGGAGGTTGTGGATATCCAACCACACCTAAACCAACCTGTGCTCCTGGACAAATCAGATCTGCCTCAGGAGTTTGTTTAAATCCAACAACCCCACGTCCAACCTGCGCACCAGGTCAAATAACCTTGCCTTATGGAGGTTGCGCATATCCAACTACCCCAAAACCAACTTGCGCACCCGGACAAATCCAGACCTCTCCGGGAGGTTGCGTATATCCAACCACACCTAAACCAACATGCGCACCCGGACAAATTACACTTCCCAATGGAGGTTGCGGTTATCCAACTACACCTAGACCAACTTGCGCACCCGGACAAATTCAAACCTCTTCGGGAGGTTGCGTATATCCAACCACACCCAAACCAACATGCGCACACGGACAAATTACACTTCCCTACGGAGGTTGCGGTTATCCAACTACTCCAAGGCCAACTTGCGCACCCGGACAAATCCAGACTTCTTCCGGAGGTTGCGTGTATCCAACTACACCTAAACCAACTTGTGCACCCGGACAAATCAGATCCGCCTCTGGAGTTTGTGTTTATCCAACGACCCCACGTCCAACCTGCGCACCAGGTCAAATAACCTTGCCTTATGGAGGTTGCGGATATCCAACAACATCTAAACCAAAGACTACTGGATATGTCTATCCAAAACCTGAGATTCCATTCAAGTTACCTGAACCATCCAACAACAAAATAAAGGTCAACATTTTTAAAAACCTTTAAATTGTTACCTTAACTCTTATTTTTAATCTAGGTTGTACCACCACCAACAACACCTAGACCTACTTGCGCACCGGGTCAAATAACCTTGCCGTATGGAGGTTGCGGATATCCAACCACACCCAAACCAACTTGTGCACCCGGACAAATCAAATCTGCCTCTGGAGTGTGTGTATATCCAACCACTCAACGTCCAACTTGCGCACCAGGTCAAATAACCTTGCCGTATGGAGGTTGCGGATATCCAACTACCCCAAGACCAACTTGCGCACCTGGACAAATACAAACCGCTAATGGAGGTTGTGTATATCCAACAACTCAACGTCCAACTTGTGCACCAGGTCAAATTACTTTGCCTTATGGAGGTTGCGGATATCCAACTACACCTAAACCAACCTGCGCACCAGGACAAATAAAAACCGCTTCTGGAGGTTGCGTTTATCCAACCACTCCACGACCAACTTGTGCTCCAGGTCAAATCCAAACTGCCAATGGAGGTTGCATTTATCCAACTACACCTAAACCAACCTGCGCACCTGGACAAATCACACTGCCTTATGGAGGTTGCGGATATCCAACTACATCTAAGCCAAAGACCACTGGATACATATATCCAAAACCTGAGATTCCATTTAAGTTACCTGAACCATCTAATAACAAAATTAAGGTATTTTTTTCTTAACAAAACCTTAAGAGTTTAAACACATATTTTTTAATTTAGGTTGTACCTCCACCAACAACACCTAGACCAACTTGCGCCCCCGGACAAATAACCCTGCCATATGGAGGTTGTGGGTATCCAACCACACCTAAACCAACTTGTGCTCCTGGACAAATCAGATCAGCTTCTGGAGTTTGTGTTTATCCAACAACACCACGTCCAACTTGTGCACCAGGTCAAATAATCTTGCCATATGGAGGTTGCGGATATCCAACTACCCCAAGACCAACTTGCGCACCCGGACAAATCCAAACCTCTTCGGGAGGTTGCGTATATCCAACCACGCCTAAACCAAGCACCACTGGATATGTCTATCCAAAACCTGTGATACCATTTAAGTTACCTGAACCATCAATTAATCAAATCAAGGTAAAAGTAACACTGAAATTTTAAATTTTTGGGTGTTAATTTTGTATTTTTCATAGATTGTACCCAGACCAACTACTCTACCAACCAGGGTAGGTTATTATTATTAACAGTAGATAATGTAGATATTTTATTTTAGTATGTAGGTATATAATAAACATTATTTTCTTTATGTCTGTGTTTACCTGTCTAATCTTTTTCTTACGGGTTACTTCTAATCTATGTGGTGTTAGTTTTATGTTTGTTACTGTTACTGTTTTTAAACTACTTAAAAGTAAGTTTCTTACCATTTTTTTCTTACTCACAATTGGACGTTTTCTCAATCACAATTTTTCAGCCTCCAACAACACAAACCTACTTACCACCAAGAACCACTACACCAAGACCAACCTGTGCTCCAGGTCAAATAACCTTACCTTATGGAGGTTGCGGATACCCAACTACACCTAAACCAACCTGCGCACCAGGACAAATTAGAACCGCATCTGGAAGTTGCGTATATCCAACCACACCACGCCCAACCTGTGCTCCTGGTCAAACCCAAACAGCTAATGGAGGTTGCGTTTATCCCACGACGCCTAAACCAACCTGCGCACCAGGTCAAATCACCCTACCTTATGGAGGGTGCGGATATCCAACTACACCTAAACCAACTTGTGCTCCTGGACAAATTCAATTGCCTTATGGAGGTTGCGGATACCCAACTACACCTAAACCAATCACTAGGGCTCCATCCACTTATTTACCACCTAGAACCACTACACCACGTCCAACCTGTGCCCCAGGTCAAATAACCTTGCCTTATGGAGGTTGCGGATACCCAACTACACCTAAACCAACCTGTGCTCCAGGTCAAATAACCTTGCCCTATGGAGGTTGCGGATACCCAACTACACCTAAACCAACCTGTGCACCTGGACAAATTCAATTGCCTTATGGAGGTTGCGGATATCCAACAACACCTAGACCAATCACTAGGGCACCATCCACTTATTTACCACCTAGAACAACTACACCACGTCCAACCTGTGCTCCAGGTCAAATAACCTTGCCCTATGGAGGTTGCGGATACCCAACTACAACCACAAGAAGACCATATAAACAAGAAGAGTCAGTAACCAAACTTGTGGTTAACTGTGCACCAGGTCAAATCCGTTTACCATATGGAGGTTGTGGATACCCAAGCACACCTAAACCAACCTGCGCACCAGGTCAAATCACACTTCCTTATGGAGGGTGCGGATATCCAACTACACCAAAACCAACCTGCGCACCAGGACAAGTTAGAAGCGCATCTGGAAGTTGCGTATATCCAACCACACCACGCCCAACCTGTGCTCCTGGTCAAATCCAAACAGCTAATGGAGGTTGCGTTTATCCCACGACGCCTAAACCAACCTGTGCACCAGGTCAAATCACACTGCCTTATGGAGGTTGCGGATATCCAACTACACCTAGACCAATCACTAGGGCACCATCCACTTATTTACCACCTAGAACCACTACACCACGTCCAACCTGTGCTCCAGGTCAAATAACCTTGCCCTATGGAGGTTGCGGATACCCAACTACACCTAAACCAACCTGTGCTCCAGGTCAAATCACACTGCCTTATGGAGGTTGCGGATATCCAACTACACCTAAACCAACTTGTGCTCCTGGACAAATTCAATTACCTTATGGAGGTTGCGGATACCCAACTACACCAAGACCAATCACTAGGGCACCATCCACTTATTTACCACCTAGAACCACTACACCACGTCCAACCTGTGCCCCAGGTCAAATAACCTTGCCTTATGGAGGTTGCGGATACCCAACTACACCTAAACCAACCTGTGCTCCAGGTCAAATCACACTGCCTTATGGAGGTTGCGGATATCCAACTACACCTAAACCAACTTGTGCTCCTGGACAAATTCAATTGCCTTATGGAGGTTGCGGATACCCAACTACACCAAGACCAATCACTAGGGCACCATCCACTTATTTACCACCTAGAACCACTACACCACGTCCAACCTGTGCCCCAGGTCAAATAACCTTGCCTTATGGAGGTTGCGGATACCCAACTACACCTAAACCAACCTGTGCTCCAGGTCAAATCACACTGCCTTATGGAGGTTGCGGATATCCAACTACACCTAAACCAACTTGTGCTCCTGGACAAATTCAATTGCCTTATGGAGGTTGCGGATACCCAACTACACCTAGGCCAATCACTAGGGCACCATCCACTTATTTACCACCTAGAACCACTACACCACGTCCAACCTGTGCTCCAGGTCAAATAACCTTGCCCTATGGAGGTTGCGGATACCCAACTACACCTAAACCAACCTGTGCTCCAGGTCAAATCACACTGCCTTATGGAGGTTGCGGATATCCAACTACACCTAAACCAACTTGTGCTCCTGGACAAATTCAATTGCCTTATGGAGGTTGCGGATACCCAACTACACCTAGGCCAATCACTAGGGCACCATCCACTTATTTACCACCTAGAACCACTACACCACGTCCAACCTGTGCCCCAGGTCAAATAACCTTGCCTTATGGAGGTTGCGGATACCCAACTACACCTAAACCAACCTGTGCTCCAGGTCAAATCACACTGCCTTATGGAGGTTGCGGATATCCAACTACACCTAAACCAACTTGTGCTCCTGGACAAATTCAATTGCCTTATGGAGGTTGCGGATACCCAACTACACCTAGGCCAATCACTAGGGCACCATCCACTTATTTACCACCTAGAACCACTACACCACGTCCAACCTGTGCTCCAGGTCAAATAACCTTGCCCTATGGAGGTTGCGGATACCCAACTACACCTAAACCAACCTGTGCTCCAGGTCAAATCACACTGCCTTATGGAGGTTGCGGATATCCAACTACACCTAAACCAACTTGTGCTCCTGGACAAATTCAATTACCTTATGGAGGTTGCGGATACCCAACTACACCAAGACCAATCACTAGGGCACCATCCACTTATTTACCACCTAGAACCACTACACCACGTCCAACCTGTGCCCCAGGTCAAATAACCTTGCCTTATGGAGGTTGCGGATACCCAACTACACCTAAACCAACCTGTGCTCCAGGTCAAATCACACTGCCTTACGGAGGTTGCGGATACCCAACTACACCTAAACCAACTACAACCACAAGAAGACCATATAAACAAGAAGAGTCAGTAACCAAACTTGTGGTTGACTGCGCACCAGGTCAAATCCGTTTACCGTATGGAGGTTGTGTCTACCCAAGCACACCTAAACCAACCTGCGCACCTGGACAAATAAGATCCGCTTCTGGAGTGTGTGTATATCCGACAACTCAACGTCCAACTTGTGCACCAGGTCAAATAACCTTGGCCTATGGAGGTTGCGGATATCCAACTACACCTAAACCAATCACATATTTACCACCTAGAACGACTACACCACGCCCAACCTGTGCTCCAGGTCAAATAACTTTGCCCTATGGAGGATGCGGATATCCAACTACACCTAAACCAGTTACCAGAGCACCGACAACATATTTACCGCCTAGAACCACAACTACCACACGTAGAACCACCAGGTACACAACTACTCCACGTCCAACCTGTGCACCAGGTCAAATTCAGACCCCATACGGAGGTTGTGTATATCCAACCACCACCACAACTCCAAGACCAACCACCAGAGCTCCATCAACATATTTACCTCCAAGGACCACAACAACCACTCCAAGACCAATAAGTACCGGGGCTCCATTCTACTTACCTCCAAAAACCACAACAACCACTTTTAGAACCGTAGAAATACCCAGAAGGCCACAAACACCACCTCCAGTGGTATACCTACCATCTGAACACGTAAATGAAATTGATTTTTCCGCCTAGAATATTGTAAAATATTAAATGTAAATACAATAGTTTTATACTATACAAAGTATAGCTAAATCTATAAAATTTTATGTAATTATGTGTTTTGTAGATATTTTCATACTTTTTTTTATAATAAACCAAATAAAAATTAGTTTAGTATATTTTTTTTTAAGTAAATAAAACATGTTAAAATTAAACCATTTATTGTGTGAAAGCTTGTTGAACAATGTCGACTTTATTGCCATTTTTTTTACCCTCCTTACTGACCTTTTTAAACCTTAGGTTACATTCATTATAAAAGTACTTTTTAAACCTAGACTGGCTAACACTATTAGGGTGCTTAGCATTGTACAAGTCATAGACAATCTGCAAGTTTAAGTTGGGGGCCAAAAATTTTGCTGTGGAATTTTTTATATCATACTTGGGAAGATCGTCGAAAAACACCTTCATTTTCTCGATTTCACTGTCCGGTATTTTATTCTTCCCCCCAGATTTGACGCCTCTTTGATCGTTCAAAGGCATATGTGCAGAATACTTAGCTAGGGCGACATCTACCCGCGACTGGCTTATACTAAGAGTGTTAAAAAGGGTCTTTTTACACACGGGTATGTTGTATAACGAATATTCCCTAGTATATTTTCGTTTTGAGGTGTTCGAGTAGTTCCGTTTTTTGTTTTTTTGCTTTACGTAGCCTTGTAGTAGTGCGCAACGCGTTTCGAATGACCCCGACGTCCAGAATTTGTTGAACTCGGCCCTGCGTATGTCAACAGATATTTTTTCGCAACACTTTTTCGGGCACTTGCAGTCAAAATTTTCGCCTTTAAATTCCTTTTTCTCCACGAGTTTTCCTTTGTTGTTTATGTATTGTTGACCGGTGTTGAGTTTTTTCTTTTTTAACTCGCGATTTTGTTCGGGGAATTTACGCTTTCTGCCCTTTTGAGGCCTCGGTTCACATTCTATCGCCATTTGTTCGGTGGCTACATTTGTATTGGTTTCACTGAAAATTTTAACAGTGTTTTCATTCGTGTATTCGTTAGATCCAGTGGATATTTCCACCTCTAAAGGAACATTAATTTCTTGTATATTATTGTAAGAAAATTGGTTGTTTAAGTAGTCGTAGTTTGTAAGTTGTACATTATTTGTATTATCAATTAAATTATTTTTTGTGACGTTTGCTTCATTTCCGAATAAATTTAACACGCTCATAAATTGATTGATTTTACTACCTTTACTCGCTTTATTACTGCTGGGCGTTTTTTTGAATCTTAAATTACATTCTTCATAAAAATACTTCTTAAATCTCGACCTACTACAACTGTTGGGATATTTTTCAGTAAACATATTAAAAAGAATCGTTAAATTTAAATCCCCGCTTATATAGCTACTCTTCCCGCCAGATTTCGGCAATTTCTCGAAAAAATCCCTCATTTTCTCGATCTCGGAATCGGGAATTTTGTTCTTCCCGCCCGATTTAACCCCTCTCTGATCGTTCAAAGGCATGTGCGCGGAAAACTTTGCCAGAGCGACATCTACACGCGACTGACTGATACTGAAAGTGTTGGTCAGCATTTTCTTGCACACCGGAACATCGCAAATCGTGTACTCCCTGGTGAACTGCCTCCGCGACGTGTCGCTATAGCAACGCTTTTTGTTTTTCTGCTTGACGCAGCCTTGAAGCAGGGCGCACCGCGTTTCGTACGAGCCCGCCGTCCAAAACTTGTTGAATTCGGCCCTGCGTTGCTCGACGGTCAATTTTTCTGCGCACTTTTTCGGGCATTTGCAGTCGAAGTTTTCGCCCTTGAATTCCTTCTTTTCCACTACTTTTCCCTTGTGGTTTATGTACTCTTGGCCTGTGTTGAGTTTTTTCTTTTTTTGCATTCTGTTTTGTTCGGGGAATTTTCTTTTTCTGCCTTTTTTTGGCCTCGCATTTGTTGAATTGTTTAAATTATCATTTTCATGGGTTGTGATTTTATTAATTACGTTATCTTCATGCGAATTTTCCATTATATTTTCATTGTACAAATTATAAGAATTGCCTTGAATATTGCAATTTTCTTTTGAATAGGTTTCATAGCTTATTATTTGAGTTAAAGGTATACAATTATCCATGATTATAAACCTGAAACAAAATATTAACATTATTAAACATTTAGAATTTGTTTAAGTAGGTTGGTATGCTTTTTTCTTTTAGCCAAAAAGATTACTTTTTTAAATGATGATTGATTTTTTTTTGGTACTTTTACTGGACAAAAAACTTTGGTGGTAAGATTTTTGTTTTTTGTTAAGAGCAGGGCTGTGTTTAAATTACAATAAAAAATATTTCTAAAAAGTGTACAGATCAGTGTGTGGTATAAATGTGTTCCTCATGGTTTAAACATTTACTTTAATGCGTTTTAATTTTAATTCTGAAAACAAACAGTAAAATGGCCAGTGTCCAATTACTGGTTGGTAAAAAATATAAATTTCTATTATTGGACATATGTTCAATATCATCCTCTATTTATATACCGTAAAATGTAAAATTGTCCCCTGAATCCGAAAAAAAAATTATTAAAAATTAAGCAGTTTTTGAGATATAGTCAATTCCATATTATATGTAAACCCGAAAAAATATTGGATATATATAAATCATCCTGTTCCGGCCTAAACATTGCTTCACAAAGTAGAGATACCACACTTAATGATATTTGCAACAAACTATTTCAGAAGTCAGACCAAGGAATTAGTAGTTACCTTTAGAATCCAGAAACGGGATGAGGAATCCGATAAAGAAATATATGAATTATATGATATTTACAAAAACGAAATAAAAACATTGACTAAAACAGTAATTTATCTTTAAAAAATATTTAACAATTTATGTTATTTGATGTAAAGTTTTTATGTTTATATAAAAATAGTATGTCCAATAACTATGGTCCATGTGTCCAATTACTATATAAAATGTCCAATTACTATACTTTTTGCATGTTTTTATAAAACTATTATTAAAAATTCAAATATTCTTATTTTGAAGTAAACGTAAATATAGTTTAAACAAACAAACTATCCTTTTTATATATTTATAAGAAAAAAACTAAAATCATTAAAACAACGGCATATATAAATTTTAAATAAATAATATTCCTTAAGTGTCCAATAACTATGTGGTATTATTATATATTTTGGTACTTTTTTCAAGCATTTAATAATTCTGGACTTTAAAATTATCGAGTTATCGACATTTGGTCATGTTTGACGTTTGACATATGTTATATTTTAGGTTATGTACACGAATTTATTCTACAGTGAACTGTAAGTTTACATTTTCTATGCTAATTTCGAGCTAACCGCGATAGATGGAACCACTCGTAATTTCAATGAATTTTTATTATTGTACGGCGTTGTATAATAACTTGACTTTTGAAATGCATACAAATATGAATTCTTTCTATATAGGCTTATGAGTGTTATAATATACAAAATTTTATACGCTAAAAAAATTTGTAGAGGGGTGTTGATGTAGGTACAATTTTATTTGTAAAACGTACAATTATAATAATTATTACAAGTAAAAAGTGAGGTTAGGTACATCTGACAGAATTCGAATTTTTGAATTTGTCCAAAGTGGTAAATGAATTTTTACTCCATAAACCCGATTGGTCTAAAACATTTTTAAGTGCCTAGGCTAAATTAATCACTTTAGTATATGAGCATTGAGTAAGATTACTCAATGGTATTGGTATGTTGAGACCCTGTATAAGAAAAATATTACTTTTATAAGTAGGTACAAATTATCAAAATTAAAATCTATAAAAAATATGGTTTAAATCTAAAATAAAATTAATCATAGAAGTATATTTAATGCAATTAAAAAAATTCGTAAAATACCTTCGTATGCGTAATAATAAATATAAAAATCTTGTAATAAAAGGTTATTAACCTTAGGAGTGTAGGTATAGTGAAAAACAGTAAAAATAAAGAAACTTACCAATAAATGGCGAAATTAAATATTTAGAATATTATATTCTAGTTAATTTCAAATATTTTCTTCAATATTTACGAAATAAATTGACGTTTATCTACAAAAACATCCTTCATTTATTTACAACTTTCATTTGTTTACATTATTACAGGAATCTGCGTTAATTACCGACCTAGAAGTTTAAATTACTAACAGGTGGCGCCACATGGTTGGAATAAATTTGAGAAATTTTTTGATGAAGTTTTATTGTATACGTGGTAAAAACGCACACCGAAACATGTTCACGAACTAATTAAAGCTGTTGTGTGAAACCTGTTTTTAGTGATTATTAATGAAATATAAGTTTTAGTTAGTGATACTTGTTATGGAAAACCAGTGCCTTATTAATACTGCGTGGAGAATGGATAAGTTGAAGTTGCAAGGTAAATTTTTTGTTGTTTTTTGCTGCGATTTTGGGGTTAGGTGGAAATTTGAATTCGAATTTGGCGCCACGGTATTTCCGGTGTGAATATGGCAGATGTGGAAAAAGGGTTTTAAAGGTTACAAATGGATTATTCACGGGTTTTTTTGTTCGATAGAGTTGCAATATGGTGTAATCGTTGATTTTCCACCAAGTTTGAGAGGTTGGATTGTGTGGTATTTGTCTGGTGGTCGAATTTAATAATGACATTTCGGCCATTACGTTTCCGGTGTATATGACTAGTACACGCGGCGAGCATCGAGCAGCTGAAAGTTTGGGAGCCGTAATTTCTCACGAGAAAAGTTTAGTTTAAGTGTTTATGTTGTGAGTAAAATTAAGGAAATAATGTCTAACAGTGCGGCGCCGGACAGTTGGGAATCGCAGGCCGACAATTCGCCCGACAAAAATTCGGACGTGACATCCAGCTTTTCCACGTTAAACGTGAACGCCGTTGAATTTGTGCCTTCTTTTTCCTTCGCTAAATCTCCCGTAACGACAGAAAATACGCCGCCGGACTCGTCGCAAGACTCGTCAGACTCGTCCCCAAGACATGCCCCCGTTTTAAACGGTAAGTCCGCAACATTTTGACATACGTCAAATATTTAGGTTATAAACTGCGGCCAGGCCGACAAAAAACCTCGCTACACGCCCCCACGCAAGTCTTTCACTCGTTTTTCTATGATAAGTGCTTTTACATTAATAAAGCAATCAAAATTTCCAATAAATTGTAACCCATGTGAAGTGACAAAGTCTTTTAGACCCATACAGGGTGAAATAAGTCACCTACTACTTGGTATGTTCTATCATAGAACTTATATGCATAAAAAGTACTTACCTACCATACCCACGAATAAAAAGTACTAAAACCCTGAGAATAACCTTCAAAAACAATACAATCGCAAAACAAAGTAAACATTCCAACAAAATTTCTCCATATTGCTCCAATATTTTAAAGTTATAAATTATAAATAAAATAACAAAGTTTGTTCATTGTTGTTACTTTCCCTGAACCCGAAAACATTGCGGTATCTACACTCCAAACCAGATTATTCCAGTTCATTGTGGTACCATATTTTACTTTAGCAAAGTGCTCTAACAAACCCTACAAGTGATTTTCCTGCGGGCTCTTCAAAAACCCTTGTAAGTACTCAATAAAACGAATAATTAAACAATATGGTGTTGAATTAATGCTATTTTTATACACCATTAAGAACATTGACCTTATTGCGGTGTACCTTATGTTGTCCATGTGATTTTACCGTCTTAACATTTGAATAATATTATATTATAATGTCGGTATTATATAAAATAATACCCATACCATAACTAGGTATTTAAGATATATTAAAGTAAAAGTAGTGTACTTTTTGGATGCAATTGAATATGTTTAACCTAGAAAATTAAATTAGATATTTTGGAGTAGGAATTAAGAAAGTTGGGAAAATGTGATTAAATTTGGTTAGTCTATAGTTTGTGGTTTTTACGTTCAATACAATTTTATTTGGGGATTTTTAAAGGTGTTATTATATTATATTTTGGACTTAAATATTAATTGGTAAGGTCTTATATAATATCCTGTTTTTGTAATATTTTAATTTTAATATTATATTAATATTAACATTGGATAGGTATTCTATTTGGTCAATTTTTTAATAAATGGAGTATTTTGCTTGCTTTATGTATAAAATTAAATAAAACTTAAAATAAGCATTACAAATTCTTGAAATGTTAAATTATGCAAATAGTTGGGTCGGTATTTTTCAAGGTCATAACTGTCACAAGTTAACCAAGAAATGTAATTTTAATTGATTTTTAATAATTTTTGAACATAGGTAGGTACTATTTAATTTTTAGACGTTATAAAATTCAGAAAGAAAATATTTAAATGAAAGTAACGTAAAAACAAGAAAAATCTGCTTGTTTTTAGTTGGGTGAGATGTATCAAAATACAATTTAGTTTATTTTTGTGTTATTGTATTAGGTAGGTATACCTACCTAGTTTATTTTGTATGGAAATCCCATGTAAGATACAAAATAAAAAATTGGCGTATAAAAATATATGTAACTTAAAAAATTATTTTCTGATGCCTCACAAAATCATATATTAAATTTTGAAGATATTCTATGGAAACTCTTTTAATGGAGATAACTTAAACAAACAGCAGTTTTTTTATTATTTGCTGGCTTAAAAGGCTTTCCTCCAGTAAAAGGCTGTCAGAGCCGGATTAAGGCAAAGGGGGGCCTGGGGCTAAACAATGTAGTGGGCCCTTAAGGTTATTTATAAAAAGCGCTCACATCAAAATTGCTAAAACAATCTTTTTATATTTTGAAAACTTATGTAGGTACAAAAAATATTGGTTATTACAATTTATCAAAAACATTAAATGAAAATAAATTATATTACCTATATTTATTTTATCTTTTACAAAAATTGGTACTAAAAAATTTAGTACTTACATAAGTAAGTATTTTTCATGAAGTAAAAATAAATATCAACATTTTTATTACATTATTTAATTCATCCATTTTTATATCTTAACTTTATTAATAATCGACATTTCTCATAAATATTCTTTTTAAAATTTATAAATAGGAGTTTTTTTATTTTATTTGTTTTATTGAATGGTTTAATGGTTTTTCATCGTATAAGTCCTGGTATAGGTCCCAAACTTTTTTATTAGCTTACCTCATGCAAGCACTATGCAAATATAACTAATAAGTCTGGATAATTCAGAAATAAAACGTTTATTTTTCAATATTCCTATTAAATGCCTAGCCCTCAAAGGATTGTTTTAGAAGTGTGCCGGAAAGCTGCGGCTGTTCAACACAATAAAATAAATCATCTTTTGATAATTACCTGCTGTCGGACGCCTACTAAACACAAATTATATTTTAGGATGTTTTTTGATAAAAAAATATTTTGGTTGTATTTTTATTTTATCCATGCTAGATAAAATGCCTGTATAGGTGTATTAATTACACTGTGATACAAAATTAAGGTTTGCGAAAGGGAATGGAATAAAACCAAAAGCAAATGAAAGTTAATACTTTCCACAAGAAAACCCTATCAGGGTTTTTTTATATCACGTCTCAGTTTTTTTTGTACGCATTTAAAGATGGTAAATTTTTTGACACCCTATAGGAAAAACATAAGTAAAACTATGTTAATTATTCAAAATAATTTTGTCAATTTGATCGAGAAATCCATTTGTGATGTTAATTTTTACCAAAGACCTCAGAAGAGGACGCTATAAAAAAATTGTTACTATTTTTGAAGGTAAAAAATCCATTTTTGTCATCCGTTTGTTGTAAAATATACCCTAGGTGATATTCGAAAGCAATTTTTGGATTTATTAGTATAGAAAACTTGTTTTTTTTAAGAAAAAATAGCATTTTTACTTCTTAACTAAACATTATTAAATTCGCTATTTTATTTTTATTTAAAAACTATCACTGCTGTAACCGGCAGTAACACGAGTTTAAGTACCAAAAATTGATAAAAATGCAAAATATAATTAATATAATCAAAAATACCATGTTTTAGTATAAAAATAAAAAAAATACCTGAATTATACCACAACATTGGAACACCAAATTTCATTGACTTCTTTTTCTTTTGTGATCATTTAATTAAATTGTTATTACAAGTTCTGCAAACTTTTCAACATATTCAATTATATGTATACCGTAATATTGTAGGTACAATTTTTTACATTTTTATGTTTTGGAACTATAGACAATATAATATAAAACAAAACTTATAAGTTTGTTTTATATTATATTGTCCTTTAAATAAAAAAAATAATTTAATTAAATATATTAATTAAGAAAAACGTTTTATGTTGCTGTCACTGATTTACTATATAGTAAATAATATTATGTGTTTTTAAGTAAACAAATCAATTTTACCTTTAAACAACCTCGTTTTTGCTACAAAAACTGCAATTTTTTGTAGTAATAATATTTTTTCAAAAGGGCGAATACGCCGAAATACTTTTTTTTTGTTTTTATCAAAACAGGAAAATGGCATATTCGCCCTTTTGCAAAAATACCATCGATATATTACAATATATTACCACAAAAAAATGTAGTTTTTGTATACAAGTATTGTGTTTTGCTTAAAGCATTAAAGAGAATATTTTTTTTATAAAAATGCCCAATTTTCTAGTAAAAATGCTCTTTACTTGGAATGGATTCCTCGACTATATTGCCAGAATAATTTAAAAAAATTAAATACTAAACTGAATAGCCCCCCCCCCTTAATTCAGGGCTGCATGCTATACTTATACTATTATACTATAATAGTACGGTTTTTTTTGTAAAACGATCCATTTAAATGATCCAAGATCGAAGTTGGAATTTCTTTTTTTTAAATTGTGTTTAGACTAAACAAAATTTAATAATTTAGATGATACATAATGTACAGGGTGACCCAAATTGTTTGTCCGTATAGGCTATCTCAGTAAATATAAATGCTAGAAAAAATTCGACCACGCATCCCCGTCGTCTTTTTTAAAAATACATCGGATGATGTCTTTGAATTTTCTCGATTCGCATTTGTTTAGGAGATACACCTATTTTTTCAATTTTTGCCAATTTTGACAAATGCTTGTAGCTTCGTTAATATTTGAGTTACGAATACAGGTTTTAAATGTTAGGTAGACACTTTTTATCACAGAATTCATTAGTATCGACAGATTTTTTTTAGCTCTTTTAGGTTAAGAGATATGACCCTATACGGACAACCAATTTGGGACACCCTGTACTGTAACGTTTTTAACTGTTCATAGTGTGAATTAAAACACGCACTGGTTTAATAACGAACTAAACTATTTATTTAATAACTTAATTACACTTAAAACACTAAGAAACTATAAAACTACAAAACACAAATATTTATTTATTTCGACGCGAGTACCAAAACTTGACTAACTCTCCATGATGCGTCGTTCCTTATATATCCAGAGCCGTACTCGCTACAGTACATTGAACATATCTCATAAGATTACTATTTTGTTGGTAGGAACAAGTAGCGGCGCCGAGGGCACGGAACGCGTGGAAGTGAAAGAGCCGCCACCCATCCCGCCGGCCGACGGCGACGCAGCGGCGGCCAAAACGGCGGCCAGCACCCCGTCCTCGACCCCCACCACGCCCAGCGAACAGCCCGCGACGGCGCCCGCCGCCGAGCCGACGACAGAGGAGGCCGACAGCGGAGGCGGCGGCTCCGCCGGCGGCGGAGGCGGCGGCGGCGGCACGTGGGAGGACGCGGCCGACGACGACAGCGCGTCGGGGGGCGGCGCGGCCAGCGGCACGCAGACGCCGACGGGCGGCAGCGAGCACGGCACCGGAAACGCCGCCACGACGCCCGACGAGGACGACGAGCCGTCGAGCGAGGAGGCCCCCGTGAAGGTGGTCAAGAAGAAGATGGTCAAAGAGGAGGTATCTTGAGTTCTTTGTTTTTAATACGATTTTTGAGGTTATACTTATTTTGGCGCGTTTAAGGTTAAATGGAAGTTGCGCGCGCACCAAGTAACGGATGGCGCGCGACTGCTGACAAAATTTACAAGATTTTTTAAATTTTCAAATTTTACTGAGAATTAAAAAAAATTGAAAAAGTTAAAATTTTACTAAATTTTTAAATTTACAAGAGACTATAAATTTTTAAAAATTACCAAATTCGCAAAAATTTTAAAATTCGCAAAATATTTAAAATTTACAAATTTTTCAAGATTTTACAAATTAATAATTTTAAAATTTTTAAAAATTTAAAAATAACAACACCCGCAAAAATAAGGTTATTTGTTGACAGTTTGCCAGAAATTTATTCAATCTATACTGCCGTGTTAAGCTTAAAGGTCGTATCTGCAATATTTAGTAGTTAATTTTTAAAAACAATAAAGAATAAAGTTTTTTCTTTACTACAACAAACTGCCGTTCGAAGACAAAACTTCATATCTGCAATATTTAGTAGTTAAGCAAAAAAGCCATTTTTTATCGTTTTTTAAAATTAAAATTTTCTTCTGTCCTTTACTACAAAATATTGCAGATACGACCTTTAAGCTTAACCCGGCAGTATAAACGTCAGTCAAATTTCAAAATTTACAAAAAATTTAAAATGTTAAAATTTTACAAGAAACTTTAAATTTTGAAAAATTACGCAAAAATTTTCAAATTTCTAGAATTTTTAAATTTTAGAAATTTACAAACTTTTCCTAGAAGGCTAAAGTTCCTTCAATACCAGACATTTCTTTAAATTTTTATAAACGTTAGTTTTATATTAAAAAAATGTTTTCCAAGGTTTTTTAAATTTTAAAAAATTTACAAAAAAATAAAAAAAACTCAAAAGGTTAAATTTTACTACAAACTTTATATTTTGAAAATTTACCAGAGTCGCAAAAATTTTAAAATATCCAGAATTTGTAAATTTTACAAATTTACATTGTCAGAATTTTCAAATTTCCAAAAATTTTAAATTTCACAATATATTTCAAATTTACCAAGTTAAATGTTTAAAAAAAAATTTAAAATTGTTAAATTTTTTAAATTTTACAAAATATTTAAAATTTACAAAATTGTCAAGATTTTTTAAATTATTAATTTTAAAAAATTTAAGAAAAACAACACCCCCAAAAGCCAGGTTTTATAGTAAAAAAAGTTTTACAAAAAATTTCCAAGGCGCAAGTATTTTTAAATTCCTAAATATTTTAAATTTGACAAAATTACAAAATTTTTAAATTTTCGAAATTTTTATATTCCAAGATTTTTAAAATTAACAAAAATTTTAAAAAATTAAAGAAAAACCCGCAAAAGTTAGGTTATACAGTTGTATTCATTAAAAAAGCGTACAAGAATTAGAATGAGAGAAAACTGTCAACATTATTGCGTAAAACCGGCTTTCCACTGACTTAAGTCACTATAACTGACAGTAGAAAATAAAAATGCCTCGTCAGTTAAAAAGGCTCAAATAGTATCAAGAATCGAAGAAGAATGGTCAATTCGTACTGTGGTATAATAGAAATAAAAAATCTATATTAAAAATTAAGCAACGCTGGGAACAGGAAAATTTACTAAACCAAAAAGTTGGTTCAGGTCGTCCCAAAATGTCCCCCCTGAACAGGATGCTGCTTTTTTGAGATATCTGAGGATTTATGGGAAACTATACAACTTTACTATACCTACTATACTGCTGGGAAGATATTAATCCAAATATTGTATTAAATTTAATTCAGTTCATCCCAAATAGATTGGCTCAAGTAATAGAAAAACAGGGATGCATGACTAAATATTAAATTTTTTTTAATGTTTGTTTTTTTCATTATTAAAAGGTAATAATTTTTGTAATATTATTTAATTAACCTACGACGTCAATGCTCTTTATAACCTATAATAATTATTTTAATGACTTATGTCAGTGATAAGCCGGTTTTAAGCAATAATATTATTTTGACAGTTTTCTCTCATTCTAATTCTTGTACGCTTTTTTATTGAATACAACTGTACTTTGACAGGTTGCTAAACCTGCCAGTTTCATAGTAAAAAAATGTTTTTCAAGATTTTTTAAATTTACAAAAAACTAAATTTCAAGGCGCAAATATTTTAAAATTCCTAAAAAAAATTAATTTGACAAAATTGTGAAAATTTCCAATTTTTTTAAATTTTACAAAATATTTAAATTTTACAAAATATTTAAAATTTACAAAATTTTAGAGAAACACCCGCAAAAGTAAGGTGATACTTTGACCGGTTCCTTCATTGCCATAAATTTCTGTAAATTTTTATGGTAAAGAAATGTTTTCCAAGATTTATTAAATATTCAAAAACTTTTTAATTTAAAAAAATTACAAAGAATTTTAAAAAATTTCAAAATGTTACAATTTTACAAAATAAAAGATTTTTTCAAAAATCTTTAAATTTTAAAAATGTACCCCAGTACTAGGCTATGGAATTTTAGCGTTAAAAATAACATTTTTTTACGAAAGACACTAATTTTTATATAAAATTTAATTCTTAAAATTTAGTTCTTAATTTTTACTAAATATTTAAAATTTACAAAATTGTCAAGATTTACAAATTTTCCAAGATTTTTTAAATTTTTAAAAAATGTAAAATAAAAACAAATTTATTTTTTTATTTAATTATTGCAACACAGGTAATATAAATTCAAGGTGATAAAAACCTTTTTCTTACTACCTCGGCTGAAAATACGTTGTTTCGTCCCCGATTCCACGGCAGAAAGTTTACGTTTGATGCATTGGTCAAGCTATACGTATTTTCGGCCGAGGTAGTAAGAAAATGTAATTTTCTTACTACCTCGGCTGAAAATACGTTGTTTCGTCCCCGATTCCACCTCCACCGCCCTCTATAATATCGCTCGTGCCGCAAATGTCGGGGCAGGCATCAATATGTTTCGATATACACATTAAATTTTTTCCCGTATTTTCGACCGGGTAGCAAGAAAAATAGTATACACTACACGGGCAGAAAGTGTGAGAGCCCTGAACTGCGCGCCATGATGCAGGAATCTCACACTTTCTGCCCTTGTAGTGTAATATACTATTTATCCCCCTGAATTTTTTCGCAATATCATTAATTAATTATTCACCCTGTATAGGTAATATTTATTTCTTATTTATTTAAAACTACAATGAATAAGAAATCATTAAAAATCTTAATTTTACTAGGAATAAATTTTAATTTTACATCTGTCATTCATTTTCTTGTTTTTGTGTTTCTGCCTTTTTTTGGTAATATGATTTGTTTCTCCAAATTTACAAAATATCATAAAAAAATGTAAACTTTCTTTATTTACTTGTTTGATTTTTAAGTTATTATTATTATTACTATTATTTGTATGTAAACTAATTTCACGTAAGGCAAACGGTATTAAGATCTTTTTTCTTTCCCATTGTTGGAGGTGTTCAAAGAGAAGAAGGAGCACGTGAACGTGGTCTTCATCGGCCACGTGGACGCCGGCAAGTCCACCATCGGCGGACAAATCATGGCTCTGACCGGCATGGTGGACAAAAGGACCCTGGAAAAGTACGAACGAGAAGCGAGAGAAAAGAGCAGGGAATCGTGGTACCTCAGCTGGGCTTTGGACACCAACCAAGAAGGTAAGCGCAGATGGCGTTGAATGTTTGACAGTCGAAAGTTTTTATTTTGGCATAGGTTGTTTGATTTTTAAGTGAAAAATTGTAAAATTAACACTTTTAGGTATAAAAAAGTTTAATTTAACATTTTTGAGTGCTGGTTTGCCAATTTAAATTATAATATCAAAATATTTATGCTGCAGTTTTATGTCAATACTTTTAACATAACAATTTTTAACCAGTTTTTTAGTTAGTTTGACATTTTAATTCAATGTTGGTAAATTAATAAATGTTTTTTAGATGCAATTTGCCAAAAATTTTTCTAAACGTCAGTTTTATATTAAAAAAATTGTTTTTTTAATCCTAAATCATTTGGAACTATTAATAAAATCAGGTTAAATACTCATTTTTGTAAAAAAAAAATTAACCAATATACTTACCTATTCTTTTACACACCATAATATTTTTTCAACAGTTATTAAAAAGTGATACTACATTTTAATAATATATAGCAACATTGATGTTGCAATATTTCTTGCAAATTAACGTAATTTTAATAGTGTTGCCAAATTGATAAATGTTTCACATTACGAAAATATTTTTTTTTAATTTATAGTAAAAAAATATTTTTAATCCTACCTATAAATCAGTGTACAAAATATAAAAAATATTTTTTAACAGTTCTTAAAAAGTGATACTAAAGTTTAATCTCAATATCGCCTTAACGAAATTTTAACGATGTTGCCAAATTAATAAATGTTTGACGTTAAGAAAATATTTTTTTATCGAAAATTTTACAAAAACTTCTTCAAACTTTTCTAAACGTATTTTTTATTGTAAAAAAATATTTTTATTCTCATAAATCATTTTTAACGCTGTTCTATTAATAAATTCAGGTTTAAATTTCCTTTAGTGAGAAAATTTTAACTATTTTATTATTGTACAAAATATAGAAAAAAATGTTTAACAGATCTTAAAAAGTGATACTACATTTTAATCTTAATGTTGCTTTATTTGTTGACAATTAACGAAATTTTTACGATGTTGCCAAATTAATAAAGGTTTGAAGTTAAGAAAATATTTTTTTAGCGAAAATTTGACAAAAACTTTTCTTAACGTCAGTTTTATAGTTAAAAATTATTTTTAATTCTATTAGTAAAATTAGGTTTAAATATTCATTTAGTAAAAACTATTTTATTATTTTACAAAATATTTTTCAACAGATCTTACAAAGTGATACTAAATTTTAATCTCAATGTTGCCTTATGTCTTGCCAATTAGGTAACGAAATTTTAACGATGTTGCCAAATTAATAAAGGATTGACGTTAAGAAAATATTTTTTTATCGAAAATTTTACAAAAACTTCTTCAAACTTTTCTAAACGTAATTTTTATTGTAAAAAAATATTTGTATTCTCATAAATCATTTTTAACGCTGTCCTATTAATAAAATCAGATTTAAATTTCATTTAGTAAGAAAAGTTTAACTATGTTGCCAAATTAATAAAAAAAAATTATTCTTGCGAAAATTTTGCAAAAACTTCCTCAAACTTTTTTCTGATCGTCAGTTTTATAGTAAACATTATTTTTACTCCTATAAATCATTTGTAAAGCGGTTCTATTAATAAAATCAGGTTCTTAAAAAGTCATTCTGCATTTTAATGTCAATGTTACCCTATTTGTTGCCAATTAACGAAATTTTAACGGTGTTGCCAAATTAATTAATTTTTGACGTTAAGAAAATATTTTTTTGCAAACATTTTACAAAAACTTCTTCAAACTATACGGCAGTTTATAGTAAAAATAAATATTTTTAGTCGTAGAACCGCGTTATTAATAAAATCAGATTTAAATGTTTGTGATAAAATTGTAACTATTTTATTTTTTTACAAAACAAATAATATTTTTTAACAGATTTTAAAGAGTAATACAACCACTCTTTTCAATGTAAATAAACCGGTCCATTTGTTTGTTGGTCTGTGAATACAACATTTTAATCTCAATGTTCCATATTTGTTGCCAATTAACGCAATTTTAATATAAGGAACTGTCATTTTAATGAATTGTTGTCAAGTGTCTCTGCATTTTATTATTGCGGTGTTGCCAAATTGCAAATCTAATGTTCGTGTTTTTTTTTTTCATTTTCGTTTCAGAAAGGGACAAAGGAAAGACCGTCGAGGTGGGTAGGGCGTTTTTCGAAACGGAAAAGAGACATTTCACGATTCTGGACGCCCCAGGACACAAAAGTTTCGTGCCTAACATGATCGGCGGTGCTGCGCAGGCCGACTTGGCTGTACTAGTTATATCTGCGCGGAAAGGTGAATTCGAAACTGGATTTGATAGGTACGTTTTTTTGTTTTGTATTTTAAAACTTAACTGTTCATTTTTTTTGTTATAATTATTGAAAGTTACAACAATTTTCGTTGGGCGCCAATATATACGTAATAAACAATATTTTATCTTAATTTGACATTTCACACTTGACTTTTTTTTCAACAGATGTCACTATTATTTTTAGTGTGATTTTAATGAAATATTTTGAGCATAAGTAAAAAAAACAAATAAGAAAATATTTGTGTTTTTAAATTTGGCTTGTTTTTTTCTTGAAAATTAATGTGCCCTATTTTGGAAAAGTTAATTATGCTTTAAAAAAAAGTTCCCTCAAATTTTTTTATAAATTTTCTACCCTTGTCTGAATAATATAATTTTTATATTTACGATGGCTCTGGGGTGCTGGAAGGAATTAAAAATATATTTTTTTTACCAAAATACTAATTTTTATCATACACAAGTTTTCTTTATACAGGGGTTTTCAATTTTAATAATATTCATATTTCAAACTAGGATTTTAGTGTCGAAAAAAAAACAGAAAAATTTGTTTTTTCGTTTTTTGCCAGGTTTTGAAAAATTGTCTTTTTTGGGAAAAATTTAATTTTTTTTGTTGAAAATATACGCATTTGAAATAAGCAGCAATCAACAACCTAACATTATTTTAATTTAAAAAAATATCCTTTGTTACAGAAAAAAATATAACTACTTAAATATTGAATTAAATTAAATTGATCTAGGGAAATAAAACGAAAGTTTATATGTTAATACAGCACCAAATGTGTTTTTTTGCGACCCGGTAGAATATTCTTACTGACTTAAAATAAAAGGTATAATTATTGTAATCAATTTGGAAAATTTCAAAAAAATTGTCTTTTGCATTTGAATAAGATGAAATAAATGCAAAAGTTTTAAAACCCTATTTCAAACATGGCATTTTCGAAAATATAATTTTAAAAATTTGAAATTTCTAAAATCTATGTATGATTTTTATACCAAAAATCATTGAAAGTTTTGAAATTGAAATTTGCCAAATTTATAATTTTTAAAAATTTTGATATTTTTAAAAAATTTAATTTTCTATAATTTGTGTATATTTTGAAAATTAATAATTTTTGGTATTTTTAATTTTGAAATTATCGTTTTGTAGATTTAAATAAAAATGTCTAGTTATTTCAATCTGCAAGCTAAAAATTTTTGAAAGTTTGTAGGATTAAATAAAAATGTCGCGAAAATTTAAAAAAAAATGTCTTTTTCATTTTGTTTGTATTAAACTTTGAATAAAATGAAAAAAATGCAAACGTTTTAAAACCATGTTTCAAACATGGCATTTTCGAAAATATAATTTTAAAAATTTGAAATTTGAAATTTTTTATACCTAAAATCATTGAAAGTTTTAAAATTGAAATTTGTCAAATTTATAATTTTTAAAAATTTTGATATTTTAAAACATTAAAATTTCTATAATTTGTGTATATTTTAAAAATTAATAATCTTTGGTATTTTTAATTTTGAAATTATCGTTTTGTAGATTAAAATAAAAATGTCGCGAGTTACTTCAATCTGCAAGCTAAAATTTTACAAATTTATAATTTATGATAATATTGTCATTTTTTAAAAACTTTGAAGTTTATAATGTTTGGAAATATTGTGAATTTTAATATTTTCGTTAATTTGGAGATTTTATAATTTTTTAAATTTAAAATTTTACAAATTCATAATTTTCGAAAATAATTCGCGGTCTATAATTTAAACTTTATTGTTGTCAACATTCGATAAAGAAATACCTAGGCCGATAAAAAATTTTATGAGGCAAGTAATTAGTTCGATTTTTTCTCGCTAGGGGTATTGTTTTGACAAATTAATCCTTTTCTAAGAAATTAACGTACTAAACTTGTTTAATTTATTTATAATAAGCACTAATTTGTTTGTTTTACTGTTAATGTTTAATATTTTTCATTAAATTATTGTAAAATTAAATATGAATAATAAAACGAAAAGTGAGGTTAGGCAACCAAGAAAACGCACGATTCTTTTTCTACGATTTAAATTATCTTTAAGTTTTAATTTGCTTTAAGTTTTCAGTGAAATTAAATGTTAAACACAGCTTAAACATTCCAAACTACCTATTTTTTAAATAAAAATCCAAACAAATTGAAATTAGATACCTACCTATTTATTAAACAATTAATTGAATTCAATGTAATAGCAAAAATCCATTTCTACTTAAATCATGTAACTAGGTATTGTCAAACTATTACTGCTTCTAAAAGCAATAATAATTATTGTACATTTAATGTAATCTTTAGCTAATAAATAAATGAGATTCTTAAAAAGTGAGGTTAGGCCGCTTTGATGTTGAATTAAATTGACCTATATAAAGTGCTTTGAAGATAAAATGTTGTATGCCATTCGGCTAAGAAGTGCCTTTTTGTGCTTCGCTCAATTCGCTTCAAACCTTGAGCTTAGCACAAAAAGTCTTACTTCTTAACCTAATGACATAAATAACTATTATATAATAATAACCTTTGAAAACCTTGAGCTTAGCACAAAAAGTCTTACTTCTTAACCTAATGACATAAATAACTATTATATAATAATAACCTTTGAATAAAATGCAAAAGTTTCAAACCCTAAAAAACAAAAAAATTTTAGGGGCGGTCAGACAAGGGAGCACGCCATGTTGGCCAAAACGGCCGGCGTGAAGTACCTGGTGGTTCTGGTGAACAAAATGGACGACCCGACGGTGAACTGGGAGGAATCCAGATACGTGGAGTGTAGGGATAAAATTTTGCCGTATCTGAAAAAGTTGGGTTTCAACTACAACAAGGACCTGTTCTTCCTGCCTTGCTCCGGCCAGACCGGGCAGGGCTTGAAGGACCCCATCGAGGAGAAAATCTGCCCGTGGTGGAAGGGCCCCCCTTTCATACCGTTCATCGATAGTTTGCCGTCGTTGAACAGGAAAGCCGACGGTCCGTTCATCATGCCCATCGTGGACAAGTACAAGGATATGGGTACGGTGGTGATGGGCAAGGTCGAGTCGGGGGAGTGCCGAAAAGGACAGAGCTTGGTCATCATGCCCAACAGGGTAAGCGATTTAATATTTTACTCAAAAACCTTAATTTTAAGATATTATTTTGAAAAACTGTGTGATTCAATTTTACAAATTTTTGGAAATATTTTGAATTTTAAGACTTGGTTTGGAGATTTTATAATTTTTGAAATTTTTCAAATTCATAATTTTTGAAAATGATGGCATTTTCGAAAGTATGATTTTTAAAAATTTCTAAATTCAATTTTACAAATTTTGTATCTTAAAATTTTTGGAAACATTGTGATTTGGAGATTTATAATTTTTGAAATTTTAAATTTACAAATTCATAATTTTTAAAAAATTTGGCTTATTCGATATGATTTTTAAAAATTTGAAATTTCTAAATTAAATGTTACAAATTTTGAATTTTAAAATTTTTGGAAATATTGTGAATTTATGATTTTCGTAAATTTTGAGATTTTATAATTTTTGATGTTTTAAATTTTACAAATTCATAATTTTTAAAAATTTTGGCATTTTTGAAAATATGATTTTTAAAATTTTTAATTTTTAAATTCAATTTTACAAAATTTGAATCTTAAAATTTTTGGAAATATTGTGAATTTATGATTTTCGTAAATTTTTAGATTTTATAATTTTTGATGTTTTAAATTTTACAAATTCATAATTTTTAAAAATTTTGGCATTTTTGAAAATATGATTTTTAAAATTTTTAATTTTACAAAATTTGAATCCTAAAATTTTTGGAAATATTGTGGATTTATGAATTTCGTAATTTTGGAGATTTATAAAATTATAAATAATTTTTGAAATTTTAAATTAATTAATTAATTTTTTAAATTTTACAAATTCATAATTTTTAAAAATTTTGGCATTTTCGAAAATTTTGAAATTTCTAAATTTCATTTTACAAATTATGCATTTTAAATTTTTTGGAAATATTGTGAATTTTTGATTTTATTATTTTTGAAATATTAAATTTTACAAATTCATAATTTTAAAAAAAATTGCATATTCAAAAATATGATTTTTAAAAATTTGAAAATTCTAAATTCAAATTTACAAATTTTGAATTTTAAAATTTTTGGAAATATTGTGAATTTATGATTTTCGTAAATTTGGAAATTTTATTATTTTTAAAATATTAAATTTTACGAATTCATAATTTTTAAAAAATTTTGCCTATTCAAAAATATGATTTTTAAAAATTTGGAAATTCTATATTCAATTTTACAAAATTTGAATCTTAAAACTTTTTGAAATATTGTAAATTTATGAATTTCGTAAATTTGGAGATTTTATAATTTTTAATATTTTAAATTTTACAAATTCATACTTTTTAAAAATGTTGGCATTTTTGAAAATATGATTTTTAAAATTTTGATTTTCTAAATTCAATTTTACAAATTTTGAATTTTAAAACTTGGAAATATTGTGAATTTATGATTTTTGTAAATTGGAGATATTAAAATTTTTAAAATTTGTAATTTCTAAAATTTGTGTATTATTTTTTTTTATTGTATGCACTTCCTGGATGGCCTATAAATTTTTGTCAACATTCACATCACAGTTTAGCAATAATAAACGATAACATCCCGTGTAGTCTTGGCAACTTTAATATTTTTTACTCGGAAACCAGACGGTCAATCTTTCTAAAACTTTGTAAATGTCTTCACTACAACCTACAATTTTTTCAACATTTGATGTTCCTGTTTTTTTATGTTTGAAATAAGTAATCATATTTTATAATTCTTTACAACATGGTTTGTGCGCCGCTTGAAATCGACTTCCGGTACTCGACCAACGCTACCTTTTAAAGTGTCCCTGTGGGCGAGAACTTGATAAATTTGGAAATGAATAAATACCTACCTTAAACCGCATTTTCATTTGAAATATATACACTCGAATGAACCCGGTCACCCCTCCCCATTGTAAGCGGATTGCCGTAGGCGACGATTCAGTCATATTTTGTATTTGCTAGTGTGTAATTAATTTTTTTTTTTTAATTATAATGTCCTACACATTGCAAGAAAAAATTGACATGATAAGCTGGTCTTTAGTGGGCAATTCTCTACGTCAAACAAGAGACATAGACAATAACAAATGTTTTTAATTAATTTGTTTTCAAGAGAATTATTTTTTATAAGAAAACACTTTTAGTTAAATGCAAAATAAATAATGATTTTACAATTGTAATTACTGATAAAAGTGATTACGTCACATTAAAGTAAATTAACTTAATAGTGCGTATTTCGTATTAATAATTCAGAGCAAACTTCGACTATCACCCAACGCCGGTGAAGGATCTACTGGATTAGGAAAACCGCCTCTCGGGCTCAATTTTTCCGATAATATTAAAACACTACGCACATTTCTTACGCCACGAACTATAAGTTCTCGGTGTAGAATTTTCGTCAGCCGTGCGCGCGCAACTTCCGTTGCCTGCAGAAACTCGGTCTCGACGCGGCAAAACTTTGAAAAACTTTGAATCGTTCCAGACGCCCGTGATTGTCGACATGCTGCTCAGCGACGACGACGAGGTGAGCAGGGTGGTGCCGGGCGAGAACGTGAAGATCAAGATCAAGGGCGTGGAGGAGGAGGACGTGAGTCCGGGCTTCGTGCTGTGCGACGCCATCCAACCCATCCGCACGGGGCGCATCTTCGACGCGCAGCTCGTCATCCTCGAGCACAAGTCGATCATTTGCGCGGGCTACAGCGCCGTGATGCACATCCACTGCGCGGCCGAGGAGGTCACCGTCAAAGTGAGTCAGACATTGTTTTATTCTACGAGCCCTAACACAAACATGTTCGGACACTTCATAATTTATACAGAAATATTTTTCGTGAATACTATCTCAAAATTATTAGAAGTTATGAAAAATTCAGCTCATTTTAGCATATACCCCTCGAAGCGATTTTTATTTTTTAAAAGTTTACCTTTTATTTTTAGCTTTTAAAAAAAGGCTAAATTTTAAACTTTTTTTTGTATTAGTAAAAAAAGTTATAAATGGACCCATTAAAAAGAGCATAAAATATTATACAAACCCTGAAAATTTGGTAAAAAATAAATTAGTTATAAAAAAGTGTAAGTAATTTAAAAATGCTATTTTTAAAGATTTTTGCAATTTTCTTAGGAAACGGGAGATTTTGCAGATATATATATTGTTATAACTTTCTTATTATTTATACAATTTTTACGAAATTTTCAGGGTTTGTATAATATTTTATGTTCTTTTTAATGGGCCCATTTATAACTTTTTTTACTCATACAAAAAAAAGTTAGCCTTTTCTTAAAAGCTAAAAATAAAAGGTAAACTTTTTAAAAATAAAAATCGCTTCGAGGGGTATATGCCAAAATGAGCTGAATTTTTCATAACTTCTAATAATTTTGAGATAGTATTCACGAAAAATATTTCTGTATAAATTATGAAGTGTCCGAACATTTTTGTGTTAGGGCTCGTATTACTTGTGTGATTTGATCAAAAACGACAAAAAAAACAGTTGTGCCATAGTTAAATCGGCGAGATTAAGAACATTACAAGTGCAAAATTGTTATTTCGACAAAACATTTTCTAAAATCAATTTAAAACTTTAAAATGCTATTTTGTGAGAAGATAAATTATTTTACAAAATCTGATTATTTTATTTGATGAAATAGTTAAAATATTCTCACAAAAATGCATTTTGGACTATAAAACTAATTTTATGAAATAATTAGTCTAAATTTTAACTTTTGGACTTGTAGTGTTCTTTATGTCGCCGATTCAATTATTGTACCACTGTTATGGATGATATCCTGTCTGGTAGGTACGAGTTTAGTGTGGGAATTATGAAAATCAATTGAAAATTTTGTGATTTTTAAAAAATTTGAAATTTCTATAATTTGTGTAAATTTTAAAATTTAAATTTTACAAATTCATAATTTTTGAAAATTGATTTTAAAAATTTTCAAATTTCTAAAATTTGTGTTTGATTTTTTTTTTGTATGCAAAATCATTGAAATTTCTATAATTTGTGTAAATTTTAAAAATAATATTTCTGGATTTTTTATTTTAAGAAATTTGAAAATTGTTTTGTACTCGTCAAACTTTTCGTTTTTTTGTAGATTTTTGTAGTTTATAATGTTTGGAAATATTGTGAATTTTAAGATTTTCGTTAATTTGGAGATTTTATAATTTTTTAAATTTTCCAAATTCATAATTTTTAAAATAATGGCATTTTCGAAAATATTATTTTTTAAAATTTTAAATTTCTAAAATTTGTGTATGTTTTTTTCTCGTATTCACTTATACTTAAAATCAATCAATCAAGTTTTAAAATTTAAATTTATCAAATTTGGAATTTTTTTATATTTATCGTTTTCTACCCGTTAACCCCTTTTATTTATCCAATCTGCATGCTGAAAATTTTCAGAATTTTTGAAATTTTACAAATTTATAAATTTTGAAATTTTTTTCATTTTTGAAAAATTTATTTGAGTAAATTTTGGAAATTAATTACTTTTGAATTTTTTAAAATTGTCAATTTTGGAATTTTCGTATTTTTAGAAATTTGAAACTTTTCTTTGATAAACCAGTGTGTTTTTATTTAAATCCAATTAAATAAAAATGTCGAGTTACTCCAATCTGCAAGCTGTTTCGGAATTTTTAAATTTAAAATTATACAAACTTAAAATTTTTGAAAATTTTGTCATTTAAAAAAAAAATTCTTTAATTTAAAATTTCGAAGCTGAAAATTTTGGAATTATTGAATTTTAAAATTTTACAAATTTAGGTGCATATATAATTTTTGGAAATTTTGTCATTCTTTAATTTGTGTTCATTTTGAAAATTTTGTAATTCGTTAAAAATTTCAATATTGAAATTTTTTTGGTAATTTCAAAAGTACAGTGTGTCCACTAGGGTGTTTCATTTTTAGGCGATATTTTTTTCTTTCTGTCCTACCTAAAAATCTGATAATTTATATATAAAAAAATATATTTCCGTTGGAAAAAAAATTCTAAGTAAATTAGAGGCTTCACTCTTTCAAAAATTCGATTTCCCATATAAATTACACGGGAAAAAGTTTTTTTCGGCTTCAACTCAATTTTTTGGCGTTTCAAAATTTTTTTGGAAAAAATGCAGCTTTTGTAGGGAATCAAATTTGCTACAAAAAAGTTCCCTTGAGCAAACGCTTTCCGACCAACAGTTTTTAAGTTGTAGAGCTGGAAAGGTAAATGTTAATGTTAATTAACAACAAATTTCCTTTAAATTGAAATTTATTGATAGGTAAAAATTATGAATTCTAATTCTATTTTATGCCAGAATACCATCTCTTTTATCACGTATAATCGAGGCTACCATATGGTCATCCAATCTTGTTTTATAATTATTTTTATTTATTCTTGGCCATTTCTGTTGAAACTTGAATATTGGTACATTTGGGCCTGAAGTTGTTGGCCAGTATATTTGGAAAACACAAAGTTAAACCAGCTTACAAATATGAGGCCGGCAGGCAAAATTCAACAAACTTTTTTCCAATTTTGTTCTTTTAAAGTTTGCATACGCCTTTATTTTTACCTATCAATAAATTTCAATTTAAAGGAAATTTGTTAATTAACATTAACATTTACCTTTCCAGCTCTACAACTCAAAAACTGTTGGTCGGAAAGCGTTTGCTCAAGGGAACTTTTTTGTAGCAAATTTGATTCCCTACAAAAGCTGCATACTCATTTTTTCCAAAAAAATTTTGAAACGCCAAAAAATTGAGTTGAAGCTGAAAAAAACTTTTTTCCATGTAATTTATATGGGAAATCAAATTTTTGAAAGAGTGAAGCCTCTAATTTACTTAGAATTTTTTTTTCAACGGAAATTTATTTTTTTATATATAAATTATCAGATTTTTAGGTAGGACAGAAAGAAAAAAAATATCGCCTAAAAATGAAACACCCTAGTGTCCACAGATGGACTTAACTATACTTGTAAAAATATTTATTTTAAATTTTTCAAGGAAAAGTCATTCTTCATAATTTCTTTTGCTAGTTATATAAATCCGATTCGCGTTAAGAAACTTTTATGGACTTTTGTGACACACTGTATTTTGTATTTTTTGAAATTTTGGATTTTTTTATTTTTAGAAATTTAAATAAAAAACGAAATATTTTTAAAATATATAGTGTTCCATTGAAAAACAAAGTTATATCCAAAGTTAATATTATCTTTGGTTATATCCACAATCCACACAAGTCTTTTATCTGTGTAACAAGGTCTTAAAATCACAAAATTAGGCAACCCACTGCTTCAGATTTGTGCTGTTTGAAACGTATAATATAAAAGTGTCGTCTTTTACTATCAGACTATTTTTTTAGAAATTCGATAAACAAAAGTTTTTTGACGAATTACTGAAAAAATGTATACTTTTATATAGGGATATCATTAACTAATGTTCGCCAAAAATTGAGATACGCTGTTAAAAAAAACCTAAAACTAAAGAATCTAAAAAGTGCTAAATTGTAAATTCTTGATGTTTTAGGCCTTAATCTGTCTGGTGGACAAAAAAACGGGCGATAAGAGCAAAACGAGACCGCGGTTCGTCAAACAGGACCAAGTGGCCATAATGAGAATAGAATGCGCGGGCGTGATCTGTCTCGAGCCCTTCAAACTGTTCCCGCAAATGGGCCGATTTACACTTAGAGATGAAAGTGAGTACCGCAGAAAAAACACTTAAAACTTAAAATAATTTCCCCATTTTTTTTTTAGATAAGACAATTGCAATTGGAAAGGTACTAAAACTGGTGGAATAAGTTGTTTGCTATAGACTGTAGTCCTAAACTCAATATTTTAACCGATAAACCAACAAAAACTATACAACAAAAATCGAACTGAAGAGTGGACATAAAAAAACAAATAAAATCATCAAAAAACTTAACAAAATAAATAATAGAGAGAGGTGAAGGTTGATCAACGCCCCCCACAAATAATAGAAAACTGTTTTGTCCACAATGAATTGAATCGAGTATTTTTCGAAAATACGCAAAAATTAAATTTTTTTATTGATATAAAATGGTGCTGCCTCAACCTTTTTTATAAGCCAAACTGTTAAGAAATTATTTATATTGGATTATTTCACATTATTATTATTATTATTTTATTTTTTTCTCAATTGTAATATATTCTATGGTATGGTGTACCTTTTTTTATTATTTATGCGCGATCTTATACTTTTTGCGAAAACTACAAAACAAAAAGCAACAACTTCAGCCATGTGTTGAAGTTTTGTTGGGTAAAGTTTTGTAGTTTTTGAAACATTTACAATCGTAACCTGTTTGGCGCCAAAATCGCAGCTTACGATAATCAAAATTGTGTAAAAATCATTTTTTATCCCGATAATCTAAATTGGGATTTTAGCTTTTGACAAAAAGTTTAAGATTGTTGGTTCCATTTAATTTATAATTTTCTGCTCAAAAATAAAGGGTTACATTATTAATTTTGGTCCTCTGAATGTGTGGTTAAACATTGAACATCGTTGACAAAATCAAAATTGGTCGTTTTTTGTATTGCAAAGTTTTCCTGGATAAACATCGATTGTTGAATTGGTATTTTTGTATTTATTTGTTTTGTTTGCATAAATAAATGTTTTGTTAAACTTTGCATTGTAAAATGAACGATATTTTGAAGAACAATAGTTTAAATATGGTGCTTCAAAGCGAAAAATAAAGGTTTTTTCCCCTAAACATGGCCTATTTTTTACTGATAAAAGAACAGACAACACCTTGGAGCTGCAAAAAAACTCTATTTTTTAACATATTTAAACTGAAAACAAAAAGGGGGAAAATTTAGGAATTACAAGTAAAAAAACGTTAATAAAAAGAAAAGTAACTGCCTTTAACTCCCAGTTATATACATTTTTGAATAACTTCTTGAAAATTGACTGTACATAAGAGAAGCTTATAAATGTCACAATGTGACCTATAAGAAAAAATTATATTTGCTTACGTTGTAATTTTTGCAAAAACAACAGTTTTTTGTTAAATTTAAGTTTTAATCCTTTTATTAATTATTAAGTGAGTAACCAAGAAATGTTGCTATCAATTTTATATATTCAATAAAATGTAAAATTGCCGTACCAAGTTTTATTTTCACCCTGGAAAAGTTCACACTATTCTATTTAAACACGGTAAGTTTTATTTTTTGTAAGTAGCGACATCTTTGCAAGTTGGGCTGAACTATTTTAAATGTTTAAAATTATTTTTAACATATCGTCACCTGAGAATTATAGTGTTCTATCTGCATTTTCTTTTTTTTATTCAGGTTAGTCTTGTTTTAAGTATTAAAGATGCATATTGTTCTATCTATATATAATTGGGGTAGAAATTGTACAGTTTAAACCTTAAACTTTACAATTTCTACCCCAATTATGTATAGATAGATCAATATCATCTTTAAGACTTGAAACAAGACTAACCTGAATAAAAAAAAGAAAATGCAGATAGAACACTATAATTCTCAGGTGACGATATTTGTATAGATGGCTAGCTAAAAAATTGTTATTTTGGCTAAAACATTGTTATGGAAAACACTGGTGAGACATAATATGTCTCATATTATGAAACACATTTTTCCTACGACCGCTATGAAAAAGTCGTTGATAAAAAAAGGAATTTTCATTTGCATGGCAAACTTGAATGTAAAGTGACATTTCTGTGAGAAAAAGGTGAGGTTAAAACCGCTCGACAGATGTTAAAATATAAAATAAATATTAAATTCTGAATAATTTTTGATTTTAAAGAACATTATAGTTGCCCCTCGTATATACAAACAAATCTTATATCTGAGATGTCCCAAGTGAAAATGATTATTTTTTAATAATAATAAACATCTTTATTGGTTTCCCAAAAGGCTATCGACCGTGGTCTTTCTGCCCTGATTATTTTTTATTTTTGGTTGTTTCACTGTTAGTCTAGAATGAGGTTTTGGGAAGCTACCAGGTCTAGATATAACATAACATAAGTGGTTCTGCACTAATGCAAGAATTTTAAGAAATCATACATTTTTAATATTAGAGCTTCACGGAAGATAGCTTCACGGAGGTTAGGATTTCGTATGTTTTTTTAAAACATCCCTTTGTATATTTGAAATAGGTTATTGTATCTTTTGACACCTTAATATTTTTTAAAAATACAATTGTACATTAGGGTATCCGTTATTTGGGCGATGTGCGAATTTTTTTGCTCGCACCCCCCCAAAAAGTTGTAGTTTGGGAAAAAAAAATTTTTGGTAATTTTTTTAGATTTTTATTTTTTAATTAACCCGTGCCGCAAGAGGGTTAAAGATTTAATTATTGTTAAAATATGATTAAATTTTGCCTTTCACTATAGGCTTACCACTCCACGATTTTTCAATGAAAAAAGTCTGTCGAGTGGTTTTCTTATAGTTCAAACACCGCTGAACCCGAATCTGAAATTCGTTTTTTTTTTTCATTAATCGTTTTTTTAGAATAGCCTGTGTCGGGAGTAGGTAAAATCGCAAATCGGATGAAAAATGGGATTAGGCTCTTTTCACATTGAAAGTCCTGTAACGTCGCCAGTTTTCAATAAAAAAAATCTGAAAATTGGTTTACTTATGGTTTTGACATCGCTGAACTCGAATCTGACATTTTCATTGATGACAGCTGTCAAAATAGCTGTCAAAAATCCCAAAAAAACGGTTTTTTATTAAAAATGCCCATTTTATGGTTATTTCATGCGCTGAATCTGAATTTGATGCACTTTGAATTATTTATTTTCATAAAACCAAAATCCAAATCACTCAATAAAATGTACAAATGATTGAACTGTCAAATTTCAAGTTCCAAACATAATTTTACAGGGGCAAATGGGCATTTTTAATAAAAAATCGTTTTTGGGATTTTTGACAGCTATTTTGACAGCTGTCATCAATGAAAATGTCAGATTCGAGTTCAGCGATGTCAAAACCATAAGTATACCAATTTTCAGATTTTTTTTATTGAAAACTGGCGACGTTACAGGACTTTCAATGTGAAAAGAGCCTAATCCCATTTTTCATCCGATTTGCGATTTTACCTACTCCCGACACAGGCTATTCTAAAAAAAACGATTAATGAAAAAAAAAAAACGAATTTCAGATTCGGGTTCAGCGGTGTTTGAACTATAAGAAAACCACTCGACAGACTTTTTTCATTGAAAAATCGTGGAGTGGTAAGCCTATAGTGAAAGGCAAAATTTAATCATATTTTAACAATAATTAAATCTTTAACCCTCTTGCGGCACGGGTTAATTAAAAAAAAAAAATCTAAAAAAATTACCAAAAATTTTTTTTTCCCAAACTACAACTTTTTGGGGGGTGCGAGCAAAAAAATTCGCACATCGCCCAAATAACGGACACCCTATTGTACATACATAAAATATTTATAAAAACAATCTACTTACTGAGATATTACACTTCACGGTGGATAGCAAATTAATGAACTTAAACTTTTGAATTATAAAACAGCAACACTCATCTGCATATAAATTCTAACTGACTTTCAGGAATCACAAGAATATATTATAATGTCGTAAACAGAGGTTTTTGCTTATTTAAAATGATTAAAGCGCCATCCGTTGCATAAAATTTAAAGCAAAAACAGATTCACGGAGGATAGAACCAATTTTTGTAAATGGTTTTAAAAATTGTTTCTTTTAATGTTTAATAATATTTTATATTTGATTCGATTGCTTTGGATAATTTACTTAGTGAACTGATTTTTTAGTATGCTTTTACTACCTCAGATGAGCATATAGGTTAACCTAGAAAGAGTAACAGTCACGGAGGATAGGTTTTAGACTTTTAAAACATTGTAAAAAATAATTAATTGCGGTTAAAAATCTGGAAGCTGAGCTGTAATAAGTATCTACTTAATTATGAAAGATCAAAACACAATAAAAGTGTAGGTCAAACTCATTTAGTTTTATTAAATATTTTATTCGTGGGATTCACCCATCTGTTAACCTTACTTTTTCCCAATTTAAAGCCCGATTGGTTCAAATAAATAACAGTGAATATTTAAATCACTGATGCCTAACAACGTAAATAATGATCAATATTCCCGTTGTTAGGCCAGGCGGTTATATTCTTTACCAATATTTACGAAAAAATAGGGGTAGAAAAATCAATAAAACCCATTAATTTTCCCGAGCACAAACGTATTATAATATAACCCCTTAATACCCTATAATTACTTAGGAGTTTTCCTTAACACTGTCATAAATTAAAATCAATGAACACTACTACATTTTATTATATAATTTTTAATATTTTGTAAGATAAACTTAAAGAACAAAAAATAACGTAAATTTGAAAAAACCTTGGACAAGATTTGTGCAATTGAACTACCCTTTAAAAGTAGGCATCGCATTTTACAAATGTCAAATTTAAATTTGTTATCTATCTAGTTTTTGAAACGAAAACTCGGTTTAAATAAAATAAAACCCATTTATTCAAGATTCTTACAATTTTCTTTAACTTTTTTCCTCTCAACTGAAGCTTCTCTCTCCCGATCGATTCTCAACTGTCTTTTCACAGCCTTATGCTCCAATTCCTCGTAATGTTCGGCAAACATTAATTTTAAAGCTGGATATAACAGAGGAACAAGGGGCAACTCGTCCAACCTCACCTGCATATTATCAAAAGCAATTCCAACATTCTCAGAGAAATTTTCGTTGAACCTCGGCAGTTTCGCGTATCTTTGGCTGAAGTGAGTCAAGAGGGTGTGTTTGGCGTTCATTTTTTTACCCACGTCGATGGCCTGCGACGTTGTCGAATGCAATTTCACTATCGCCTCGTTGGCAAGCTCGTCTTCCATTGTTGCCTCATGAATTAGGAGGTCCGAGTTTTGTCCTAATTCTATAAGGTTTTCCGAAGGCATCGTATCACCTGAATACGTAATTTTAAAACCAGTTTTGTGCGTTACAGTTACCCCAAAAGCATTCGGGCAATGCTTCACAAAACAGGTGCTTATGTCGGACATGTCAAGTTCTTCAATGACGTTTTTGTGGAACGTTGCGGGATTTTTTTCGTTTAGCAACTAAAATGAATACAAATATTATTGAAAACAGTTTGCTATATTTTTTTTTAATTGTTTTCTCTAAATTTAAATATTTTATCTACAAGATTTGTTGTGAATATTAGCAACGAGTTTTATTTGATTCCTAAATTAGGAATCCTAATGGAGATTTGGCATGTAAAAATTTTTTTTTTCATGCCTAATCTCCATTAGGAATCAAATAAAACACGTTCCTAATATTCACAAAAAATCAAGTAGATAAAATGTTTAAATTTGGAGAAAACATTTTTTAAAAATATGTTCTGATTATTCAAAATTTAAATAGTAAATATCTCAAAAACTATTGTAGATAAAATATTTAAATTTAGAGAAGACAATTATGAAAATATTTTCTATGATTATGCAAAATTTCAACATTTAAGCTTTTCTACTTTTTGAAGTAGGTACAGAATTTTTTTACAAATTTGCACAAAACTATTTTAAATGAATATCTCAAAAACCATTGTAGATGAAATATTAAAATTTGGATAAAACTATAAGAATATTTTCTACTTTTCTTCCACATTTTAACATTTAAGCTCACTTTTTAAGATATACAACTTTTTACCTTTTGTTTTAAATAGTAAATATCTCAAAAACTATTGTAGATAAATTATTTAAATTTAGAGGCGACAATAATAAAAATATTATTGTAAATTTCAACATTTTAGCTTTCCCACTTTTTGAGATATAGAACTTTTTACAAATTGGCGCCCAACTATTTTAAATGAATACCTATCTCAAAAACCATTGTAGATGAAATATTGAAATTTGGATAAAACCTCGGATAAAACTATAAAAATATTTTCTACCTTTCCTCCACATTTTAACATTTAAGCTCACTTTTTAAGATATACAACTTTTACCTTTTGGCGCCCAAATGTTTTAAATAGTAAATAGGTATCTCAAAAACTATTGTAGATAATAGTTATTTACGTGTCAAGCTTTGTAAATGAATCTTTACGGGCGAGCTGGAAGTTTGTGGGGTAAGCGACGCAGGAGCAAACCCCATATTCCAGTGAGCCTAGTAAAGATTAATTGCAAAGCGTGACACATACAAACTTTTATTTTCACCTTTAGATAACGATTTTCAAATTTAAATTTTTAATTAATATGTCAAATGTGACATTTCATTTCATAAATTGCTTTTCTACAAGCCTGTAAAACTTTACAGGTCTTTTAAACAAGCCCGTAAAATATTACAGGTCTGTTCCCATAATGTATCGTTTACTTGGTTACAAAAACCTCAAAATTATCCTATAAAATGTCATTTACTAAGAAGGTGGAAATAAAATATTTAAATTTAGAGGCGACAATATTAAAAATATTTTCAATGATTATTCGAAATTTCAACATTTTAGCTTTTACACTTTTTGAGATATAGAACTTTTTACAAATTGGCGCCCAACTATTTTAAATGAACATCTTAAAAACCCTTGTAGATAAATTATTAAAATTTGTAGAAAACTAAGAATATTTTCTTCTTTCTTTTAACAATTTCAGTTTTTAAGATATACTTTTTACCCATTGGCGCCCAACTGTTTTAAATCGTAAATATCTCAAAAACAATTGTAGATAAAATATTTAAATTTAGAGAAGACAATAATAAAAATATTTTCTATGACTATTCGAAATTTCAACAAACAAATTGGCGCAAAACTATTTGTAAATAAAATTTTAAGGAAACTTAATATCTCCAAAACTATTCTAGATAAAATATTTAAATTTAGAGACAACAATAATAAAGGTAATTTCTATGATTGTTCAAATTTTCATAATTTTAGCTATTCGTCTTTTTGAGATATAGAATTGTTTACAAATTGGCGGAAAACTATCTTAATTGAATATCTCATAAACCATTATACATAAAATATTAAAAATTTGGAAAATATTTTCTACTCTAGATTTTAACATTTTAGCTTACAAGTACAGTTTTAAAAGACATACAAATTTTTACCTATTGGCGCCTACTGTTTTAAATCGTAAATATCTCAAAAACTATTGTACATAAAATATTTAAATTTACAATAAAAACAATAAAATATGATATATTTTTTTACATACCAAATCTCCATTAGGAATCAAATGAAACTCGTTCCTAATATTCTCAAAAAATCTGTCATAAAACTGTAACCAAGCTAATATTTGTTTGGGTGCAAACAAATATAAGGGGCCTTTCTTCATGTTTAAACTGTTTAGGGCTCTTTTTCGACCTTGCAGAACCCCTATGAGGCCTATATGATGATCAGCATGCAAGTGCGATACATAGATAGCATTAATATTTGCTAAAACTTGATCACAGTTGTTTTTTCCATAAAAGCGCACCAATTGCCCGTAGGTTCCTTCACCGCAGTCCAATAGAATGTACTTGTTTTTTCTAAAAAACAAAAAATATTAATTTTTTGATAAAGATTATTATTAAATTATTATTTACTCAGTTTCCAGTAAAATTCCACTGGTATTACGCGTTTTATTCGGTATACAAGACCCAGTACCCAAAAATAATATTTTTGGATACAGCCTCATGGAATTTTTACTTATTAAATCCTTCTTAACGTTATTCCACTGCTGTTTTAAACTTTGCAACACATCGGGGAATGTTTGTATACTCATAGTTTCTTCAATGTACTCGTTTGGGACGATTTTCAACTCCGCAGTGCTAAAAAGCGCGAAAAACATCACGTTTTGTCCACTATCGTACCTCGGTTCATATGAACTACCGAGGTACAATCGCGGACTCAAAAATCTATTCCTCACCTGTCGAGGCCTTTCTTGGGCCTCAAGTGGAAATTCAGGAACGTATTGGCGTACAAATAAGGCTCCAAATGCGTTTTCACCGATAAATTCTCCATAGATTTGCTGGGGGAGGTGTCGGTGTTTTGCTCGCATTTTTGTTTTTTATTTTGGTGCAAATTTGAGTGTTCCGTCACCGTCAAGGTTCCATTGTCTCCCAGCAATGGAAAAAGTTCTTCGGCGAGTAAGTTAAGCTTGTGCTGAATTCTGTGTACGGACAAACTGCCCATGCAGGTGTTGGTTTCGTTTAAAACCAAATGTGAAGTGCTTGGTGAAAAATCCTCGATCCACGCTTTATACCTTAAATCACATTTGGTTTTATTTAAACATTTTCTACTGCTACTGCATAATATTGAATTTTTTCGTGAATAATGATAAACATTATAAATTTCCTGCCTAACATCGTGCATAATGAACTCATTATTCACGTTATTAGGCATTAGTGATTGGCCAATTTCAATATTAACTGTGATTTGAACCAACTGAGTTTTAAATTGAGAGAAGGCATTTAAGTCGTTTTTTCGCGTAAATACTATGAAATACTACGGTTAAATAAGTCATGACGTCACAGTTAATTCATATAACCATGGTTAGGTTTCTAACATTTGACATTTGTTTACTTGTTCATAACCTATAATTTTTGAAATGTGTTTTTACCTATTTATATTTAATTTCTATGCTTTTACAGGTGTAAATAAATTTCTTTGCCTCTTCTTTTACCTTGTATATTCTTTTTCTATGAACCCTAGTTCTTATACCTACCTTTTCTATACCTCTTTTTATATATAAACAGTTCTTCACTGTTGTTTACCATAACTAAAATCCAACAGTGTTTAACGTTTATACGAAAATTATTATTGTGAAACTCAAAATTTAGAATGGGACCCCAAAGAAAAAGACGAAGGTTGGCGGTATGTTTTGGAGAAGATATGTTTAGCACACAACATTATTCCTACATAAACATATTAAATCTATATATTAAAAAGAGAAAGACTATTAACCACGTTGAATAACTAGCTCAGCGATATAGTTTTATGGTCTGGTATTTGTGACGTCATAGTTAGGATTTTTGAACGCACTCTAAACGCAAAAATGCCTTAACTATTAACCAAGGTTAAGTTTAATGGTATTTACGCGAAAAAACGACTTTAAAATTGGTAAAAAGTGAGGTTAACATTTGACAGACGTCAGATTTTATTTAAATATTTTTGAAAATCATTTAATGATCTACTTATTAAAGTGAATAAAGTATACTATTATACTCAAAATTATGCACATTATCTCTCGCATAATAATATACTATTTTACAACCAATGATGTCGCGCCATCTATGATGTGTTACCCAAAGCTTTATACAGGGTTTTCCGGAAAACACTAAGATATCAATGGTGTTATTTAATAAGGAGCTGGTCACACTTTACACATGAAATATCCCAGCTAGCACGATACATAACGCGAGCTCGTGCGATGTTCTGTTTAGGTCGCATAAATACATCTCGTTGAAAACATACCAGGTATATTGCCGATATATTATTTTTTAATATTGCACATCGATGTATTGTTACATACCTATAACATGACATAAGTACTTGCAACAAACATATAATGTAAATGTACCAAGAATGTAACTAAAGGTAATTTTAAAGCTAGGATCAGACGGTGCAGCCTCTCGCGGCGACTTTATCGCTGCAACAAGTTGCAGCGATTTTGTTGCACACAAGGTATTCACACGAACCAACTAAATTGGCGCAATTTTCCACCAGGATTGCCAATTTTTCCGAAAATTACTAAGGAGAAAAATAAAAATACCTGTTCTGATTTAAATGTATGTTTTCGTTATTTCGTTAAAAGTGTTTAGTGCATAGATTAAATAAATGGTAGTGCTTATTATTATTAACAATAACAAACATTTAATGTTTTATTAAACTAGACTACTACACACTCTTAAAAATAAGGTTGTTATCTGTCATTCCATTTGACAAATATTAAGTACCAACCTTATTTTTTAGTGAAAATTCGTAAACCCCTGTAAAAGTTACTAAGTCGCCGCAACTTTATTGCATGAAAAATAGAACATGTTCTATTTTAGGACAAGTTTGATCAACTGCTTAGTTTCATTGTGTGAACAACAAAAAATCGCCGCAACCTGGTTGCCGCGACAAAGTTGCTGCAAGAATTTGCACCGTCTGATCCTAGCTTAAGTATATTACTTGTCATATGATTAAAGGTACCAACAATATAAAAATAAATAAATAAAATAAAAGGCTTAAATAGAGTGAAATTATAATTTATTTAAATAATATTAGTGAAAAAACTTTAAAAACAATCGAAATTTCATTTATTAATATCTAGTATTATTGATGGTGATATATATTATAATAAAATCTATCAATGTTATGTCAATTTTGCATTTATCAAGTTTGAAGCCATTCATTTTAGGTTATCTCATGTTCTATTTCCCACCAAAGAACCCTTCTTTTTCTATGGCGTTTATCTCTGATGCTAGCGTGGTTTGTTCTGTAAGTAGTTTACTGTGTCTATGCTGTGATCTTTTTTACTTATTCTTTTGTTTTTGTATCGGTGATTTTGGGACATCCTGTATATATTAAATTAAGTGGGTTTTTCGATGGGTTTTTCTTCACTGATAAAAATGGTTTTAGTGGCAAGGGGTGTACTACAATCCACAATTTGTGAAGTCAGTCATCTGTGTATGCATGGCAAATGCGCCTGGCAGGTAGCGAATTATAAATCCCAAGCTTTTCATAGATCCAGAAGCAATGTTCTCAACATGATTGGAAAACGTGAATTTATTATTTGTAGTGTGTATAATTTTTTTTTTACCTGAATATATTAATTTATTATAAGTAGTTTTTTTAATTTCTCTTAGAACTTACATATTAAGCAAATTACTTTGGGTTTTTCTTTTTCTTTTTTATGCATTAATACAGGCATCCGCGGCAAATCATTTCATGTTTTTATACTTCTTTTTTTTAGTATTTGTTTTATAAAATGTAGAAAAACTTAAATTTTTAGATGTTTTGTTACATTATAAACAAATTTGTTTATAATGTAACAAAACTTATCTAAAAATATAAGTTTTTTTTACATTTTTAAAACAAATACTAAAAAAAGAAGTATAAAAACATAAAATGATTTGCCGGATGCCTGTATCTTTTGCTATAGCCTTTTTATATCAATAAGTTACATTTATGGAACATTACATCTAAACATAGCAAGCATGTTTTAAAGTTACTTTAATTGATGTTTCAAACTAACGTTTTCAGTACGTAACAAAGTAACATCTCGAAAACATTGTCCAATGTAAACATGTTGCGGAAATTCGGAGGTTGCCTCAATAGACATGCGATATCAACAGTACATTGCACGGGAGGTTTAATGTACCGAATTTTACATCGCTGTACATTGTTGGGATGTTTCTGTACTAGCTGGGATGCTATTTTTATCGATAAATATTTAATTGGGCAGTAAGAGTAACTTATCTTTAAGGCTCAATTTTATTTGTTAAACATTACATTAAACATACAATTATTAAAAGTAGGAAGTGAGGTTAGATAGGTCTGATAGAAAGCCTGATTGGTTTAAATAATTTTTAAGTGACTGGGCCATAATCAATCACTTAAGTAACGAGTTTTGACAACAATTAGTTTAAATTATAGACCAATTAAAATGAAAGTAATGGCGATGGTAACATTCTGTTAAATGTAGGGTTTTTAAGTGTAGGAAAAAAACCGGAAAAATTGGGGAAAAACTTTTTTACGTTTTTTTTCCAGGCCTTGGGAAAAAATATATATTTTTGGGAAATATACACATTTAAAAAAAGTGGCAATCAACAACTTAACATTAATTTAATTTAACAGAAAAAAAACTAAAAATTGAGTTAAATTAAATTGATTTAAGAAAATAAAATTAAACGTTAAATATACTGTCGGTTTGGTCTTTTTTGCAAATTTATTTATAAAGTTAAATTACAAAATTATAATTTTATAAATCGAAGTGTCAAATAAAACGAAAGTTATGTTAATACAGCACCGAATATGTTTTTTTTGCGACCCGGTAGGATATTATTACTGAATTAAAATAAAAGGAATTATTATTATAAGTCGTTTTTTCGCGTGAATACTATCTAATACTACGGTTAAATAAGTCATGACGTCACAGTTAATTCATATAACCATGGTTCTTCTTCTTCTTCTTAATTCTGAACACAATTCTGTGTTCAGAGGAATGACCTTTAGCTTAATTATAACCATGGTTAGGTTTCTAACATTTGTTTACTTGTTCATAACCTATAATTTTTTAAATGTGTTTTTACCTATTTATATTTAATTTCTATGTTTTTACCGGTGTAAATAAATTTCTTTGCCTCTTCTTATACCTAGTATATTCTTTTTCTATACTAGTTTTTTCAATACACGTTTAATACAAATAAGGAAGAATATAAAACAAACCTGCATATAATTCCTCCACTTCTTGTGGAGATTCCACAATATGGAGCACCCTATCATTTATTTTCACTGACAACACCCCGTTTATCATTTAAATACAAAGTTTAAATTCGGTTTAAGAGCAATTGTACCTACTTAAAATATTTTAAATTTCAAATGTAAACAACTTTTTGACAGATCAAAACAGAAAAATATAATATAAAATTAAAATAATACGAAAAAATGCAAAAGTCAATTTTTCTAAAAACTTACAAATTTTTACTGCATATGTATATCGAGAAAAAAGTGAATTTTCGACGCTGAATATAATCATTATGATTATAAGTCGTTTTTTCGCGCAAATACCATGAAATACTATGGTTATTAAACTTAACTTTGGTTAATAGTTAAGGCATTTTTGCGTTTAGAGTGCGTTCAAAAATCCTAACTATGACGTCACAAATACCAGTCCATAAAACTATATCGCTGAGCTAGTTATTCAACGCGGATAATAGTCTTTCTCTTTTTAATATATTATATTAAAAAGAGAAAGACTATTATTATCCACGTTGAATAACTAGCTCATCGATATAGTTTTATGGACTGGTATTTGTGACGTCATAGTTAGGATTTTTGAACGCACTCTAAACGCAAAAATGCCTTAACTATTAACCAAAGTTAAGTTTAATAACCATAGTATTTCATGGTATTTGCGCGAAAAAACGACTTATAATCATAATGATTATATTCAGCGTCGAAAATTCACTTTTTTCTCGATATACCTACATATGAAGTAAAAATTTGTAAGTTTTTAGAAAAATTGACTTTTGCATTTTTTCGTATTATTTTAATTTTAAAAACGTTGTCAAATATTATTCAAATTGTTTTTTCTTATCCTAAAGTTCATTTTTTTTATTTGGACTGCGGCAACGTTGCAAATTTAGGATTTTGGTTGGTAAATACAGTTGTCAAGTTGGTCGCATTGATTAAAACAAACCAAGCTAGTTATAAATCTAATTGTGGTTATGTATAAATTATTGTAGGTTACATTGTGCAGTTGTCAAGTTGAGTTGTCGACATTCGTAGTTAAAAATGCAATTAATTTGGCTTTGGTGGTGCTTGGATGAGTAAAATCATATACAAAAAGTAGTTAAATATAGGTTGCTTTACAGCCCAGAAGAGAAAGTATTCCTAGCGGATAATATTCTTCGCTTTGAAAAGAATTTATATAAAAGAAATTAAAATTTTTTGTGAACGTAAATGTTGTGCAATGGTGAAGAATGTGAAAATAATGTGTGATGTAATATTTATAAAACCAAATTCGATACTTTTTTACTCGAAAAATGTCCATAAGGCGATGAACTTTTTCTTCCATTGTGGCATTTGGCATAATTTCATCAAAATGAAGTTTTTCCCTCAAAAGGGCTTTTACATTGGAATTTGTTGCTATTATTTTTGGCATAATTATCTTAGTATTTATAATTGACAAGTAAATTATCAATAATAAATACAAACTGGCTATTTATACGTCCGACGTATACAAAATTTGGTATACGTCTTGTGCTTTCATTGGCTAGTTTGAAAAAGTTAATCTAACCTATAAACTTCAAAATGAAAATTGTCAGATATTCAAACTGCTGAATTTTATAATAATAACGTTAAAAATATATAAAAATGAAGTAATTTACAAAAATTATGTAAGCAAAATTAAGTATTTGATAAATAAGTATAAAAATGGCTAAATATGAGGCAAAAACTTCTTCCTACAAAATAGGCCTCTATTCCTCTATGGGGCGGGGGGCCCAATGGGGCGGGGTCGGTTGGGTTGGGTTGTTGAGTTTGGGTTGGTTTCGCTCACTTTTGCCCATTTAAGTTGATTGACAGTGAGCGAAACCAACCCAAACTCAACAATGAAAGCTCAAGACGTATACCAAATTTTGTATACGTCGGACGTATAAATAGCCACTTCGTAATAAATATTATTGTCAATTTCAGTGTCAAAGTATTTAATTCAATTATTTAGCAGAAGTACCATTTTTAAATACTAAAAATACTAAGTCAAACTGGAATAAGCCACCAACCTAACAAAAAAACACGAGTCCAGATAAAAAAATTTACTGATTGATATCCTAGAATTACCAGTGTTTTTCATAACACCCTGTATAAGGTTCCTAGTTACTATTAATTTAAAGATTTTAAGAAAATAAAATGCTATAAATATCTTTACCTTGGGTTATCCATAACATTTTGTGGAGTAAAATGTACAACCAAATAGGCTAAATCTTCATCTTTAGTGGCAAATTTTTGATGTTTTCTAAACTCTTCACTTTCCACCATAGAATCCAGATACTCTACTGTGGGACAGTCGACCACTAAAAAAACATAAAAACAAAAAAATGAAAAAAAAACCGCAAAATTTAATTATGAACCTAAAAAGAGCGGTCCTGGATCATCGGGTTCGCACACGTCCTGCGTAGTAACCTTGTTCCCATTGGGCAGGAGAACTTCATGGCCCGCCTTAAGGCGTCCCAAAAGAGGACCCGGCGGAACACCCATTTTAACGCACTTATCCAGATTTAGAGCCCCCGGTCTGGGCTGCAGTCGACAGATGTAACACATCGAAGTGCCTTTTTCTTTCGTTTCCGCCAAAATGTCTTCGCTTATTTGCGAAATGTTGTTTGCAGAGTGATTCCTGAGGCCACTTTCTAAAAAAGTTATTTTTTTTTAATTCACTCAATTTCCTCTCTTAGGAGAATAAATATGATGGGAATATGGAGGTTTTGGATAATTAAAGACGGGATATACCAAGGCTTTGGGGTCGGGACTGATTCCTACTCCTACTTCTACTCTTAAATTTCTTACGTTCATGCGCATAATAATCCGTATCGTCTACAATATTCTCTTCTCTTTGCTTATTCATCGAATTACTCCTTCTCCTCCTCCTCCTATTACCACCCTCCCTTCGCGTGGAAGTCTCAGCGTCACTCTAAAAACGAAAAAATAACATTTTCGTCGGTACGACCCCTTAAGAAGAAAGTGACAGTACGGCCCCTTAAGAGTAGTTCAAATGTCCCACGGTAAAAACTCACTTTTTCGGAATTTCCCACTTGCACACCCAAAGAATTATCACTTTCACTCTCCTCATCTATCGCGTCATGCACGATATCTTCGTTTCTCTCCAGCAGCACGTATTTCACCACCATAACATTATCTTCGAAAGTTGAATGTTCCGTACATTCTGCCATTTTAATTTTTAAATCTCTGATGACCACAAAGCGTTTTGTGGCGGCAAAAATCTCCTCTAAGCCCTTGGGGCCGTGTAAAGTTATCTGCGGCACCCCCACATCTTGTATTGTTAGAGCTGTACCAGGCAAGCCGCCGATATTCTTCCAAACCGGTTGCGTCACGAAAATGTGCTCCAATTTCGCCAATTTCATCTTGTGTTCATGTGCGAGTCTTTGTGTACCCTCTCCGCAGTTAAATAAATACCTAAAACCACGACGAATACTACAAACGTTAACAAAAAACGTAAAACTAACCTGGATTGATCGGAGAACACATACAAGGCCCTAGGAGCTCCTTTGGCCCCTGTACCGAGCACCTGCAAGGTAACCCTGCCAGGCACATACTTATTATACTTTTCCTTGATCTTACTTCTCTGTTTTTGCGCGTCAGCGATGTGTTTCGGCTCTTTCGGCATTGTTTTCAACACTCTAATTAGGTTAGAATCACTGGAATTTGCAAATAATCTCGTCTGGGATTTTAACAGTCTAAAATATAGGGGATTTAGGATACTAGGCATCAGGATTAACAATCGTTTTGGTTACGTTTTATGGTATGCTTGAATTTATGGCGTTTTTTAATGAAAATGTGGGTGAAACGTGATTTTTAAATGATTTTGACGTTTACAATGACAATGATACCAACCTAGTATTTATCCAGTGGAAAGGATGCATTGCAAAATGTCAAAATTGATTTAATATTTCGTGTTTTTTAACTTCCAAAATAATTTACAGCAATTTTACTGCAATTAAATAGATAGATATATAATTATCTGCTGCCTTTATAACGTTTTAAAAATATAGGGATAAATAACTAAATTTATTTAATAAGAAGTAGGCATCACAATTTTCAAATGTCAAACTGACGTTTATGCTTATCACTGTTCTTGTTTCAAAATAATCATGGAAAAGCATTTAAATCGTGTTATGGAGGAAATGTAAGATACATTTCATGTAAATTACCTTTGAATACTATATTTTTGATATTTTAGTACTAATCAGCCAGGGGTATATGGGTGTGTATTATCAGATCATCAAGGGCTTTGTTTAGGAGGTACTTTATCAATATTTATCATTAAAAACACTTTAATTTTTGAAATTTTAGCACATGGACAAGCTTCCACCGAAAGTTCAGGTGTTATAACTGCTCTAGCTGAACAAGCATTGAAATTGGAGCCTAAAAGTGTAATGCCGATTATAAGTCTTGAAAATGACAATAGGCAGTTAATTATTAGAAGACACGGTGTTTTAACATGTGGAATATACAAAAGTGTATGTAATTAAGGCTTTCATTGTACATCCACAGATTATAACATAACATAATTTTGCCTATAAAATAAAACTTTTTTAGATGCATTTTATTTTATTGTCAAAGTGAAAGCACTCACAGATTATAAAGGTTGAAAGCACTATTTTTATATTGGTGTTGGTGTCTATGACTTGAAACAAAACATTAAACTGGAGCTCTGTAAATATTTTTTATTTTGTTTAAATTATATAAATTATCTTTTATATACATATAAAATAATCATATCACACAAACTTTGGAGGTATTATTATTATTTTTATCATTGTTATTGAAACTATTCTTCTTTAAGGGATAGTCTTCGTTTATATTTTTCATAACCAAGTTGTAATAATGCTTTATTTTCTAATGCCCAAGTTAATACAGTCATTAAAAAGAAAATGGCACCTATTAAGATGTGAATTGTGATGGATTTTTGGAAATATGCCTAAAAGTATAAAATTAGTTATTTTTAGATTAATTTTGGCCAAAATTACCTCAGATATTTTTGTAGCTATAAAAGATAGTATTAGAATAGCTACGAATTTAAATCCAGGGTACAAGCCATTTAGTGGTTTGTATGGGGAACCCTTGTACATCCTATTAATGTAAATAATACTAAAAATATAAAAAAACATTATATAAAAATTTATCCTATATTATGTTTTTGAATAGGTACCTATGTATAATTCTTGCAGTCATATTAACACAGTTAGCTAAAATAAAACCAACTGGACCAAAAATATTTGTTAGAACATACGAAATCAGTAAAAACATCACAGAAAAAACAACCATTAAATAGTTATACCTAAAAATACATTATCATATTTATATTAGACTGGGCCAAAAAAATCAACTATTTTTTTTTTGAAAAGTATATTAAAAATATGGTTTGGGGTGACAAAAAATAATTATTGTGAAAGTTTGAGTCCATAATATTAATATTAAGAGGTCTACCATCGCAATTTTATTTTTTTTTCCCTCAGCAACTTTTTGTCTCGGAACTCCCAAACCATTGAGTTTAACAAAACTGTATCGAAAATATTTGTTTAAGAAAATTAAATGCTCTACAAAAAAGGTTAAAGTGAAATTTTCCGTCAGATGAACCGTTTCCTTAAAATCATGCCTTAAAAATTGGTATAATTTTACATTTTGATCTTTTAAATTGGAACTTTGTTTTTATGTAAAAATCAGTACCCATAACAAACCGATAAATATTCTTATGGGAAATCAAATGCTTTACAAAAAAAGCCTCCTGACATTTTTGGCTAAATTCACTCAATCAAAAGTTATTCAATGTTAAAATTTCGTTTTGACTTCAAATTTAACCTTGAATAACTTTTGATTGAGTGAATTTAGCCAAAAATTATAAAAGACTTTTTTTGTAGAGCATTTGATTTCCCATATGATTTTTTATCGTTTTTTTTCAGGTACTGATTTTTACATAAATTACAAAATTCCAAAGTTAAAAGATCAAATTGTAAAACTATACCAAATTTTAAGGCATGATTGTAAGAAAACGCTTCATCTGACGGGAAATTCCAATCAAACTTTTTTGTAGAGCATTCAATTTTCTTCAAAAAATATTCTTAAGTCAATTTTGTTAAACTCAATGGTTTGGGAGTTCTGAGACAAAATTCGCTCAGGAAAAAAAAATCTAAAATTGCGATGATAGACCTCTTAATATTAATATTATGGACTCAAACTTTCACCTTATTTTTTTTTGTCACCCCAAACAATATTTTCGATATACTTTACAAAAAAAATAGTCAATTTTTTTTTGGCCCAGTCTAATTTATATTCAAGGTGTCTCCGAATTTCATCCAATCATTTTAAGGGGTGAAGATTGCCCTCAACTTTATATATAATGCAGAAACAAAATTTTTCTCAAAGAGTTGGTTTAGACCCTATAAAATTGAATCAAAATACATGTTCAAAGGGGCTTATATCGCATTTTTGACACATGTTCTTGGGAACTTTTTTTCATATTTTGCTGTTAAATCAACCCTTAAAATTTTTGGATGGGATTTGACTCTCAATTTAAGATATCTCACCTATCCAACTGTTTGTTACTCATTGTAGCAAACACAAAACCTTCAGTAACGCCGTTAATAGCGAGTAAAACAATGGCAAAACTGTGGGATTGCAGCAAAGTGACAGGTAAACCAGTTTCAACCAGTTTCGAACCTCCATACAAATACAGCAAATTATGGCTGTATGCTTGACCAAAAACAACTACAACCAGTCCAATGCTTGTCACTACCTTGCAAAGTTGGCTTAAAACGTTTGCAGACTCAGAAATATGACTCTAAAACATGTTTTGAGTCAAGTTTGTCTATTATGATATAGATGGCGTTGCATGATAGTAGATGTCCTACCTGATCTTGCTGTTGTATTTTTTCATCCCTTTTAATCATTTGAGTAAAGTAAAAATACGCACTCTCTTCTATAGGTCTAAAAATAAACCTTGCCGCCAAACTTCCCAAATTATTTACAATATCATATAAAGACTGCTGACTGAATGTTAACACAGGCGATAAAGTCATTACATATCTTTCTCCTTCAGTTAAAACTTGTTTTATGACTGACTGCTTAACAAAACTTACTGTTAAAACACATAAATCTTTGTTTAATGGTTTCTCCTGTAAAAAAACTATGTTAAGTATATAACACACTTTTAAACTAAGTAAATACTTGCAATATTATCCATTATACCAGGAAAAAAATCAAAAATACTGCTAAAAGGAAAATCGTTCATGTCTTTGTATAAACCATCCTCCTTCATTTTGTTATCATTTTTCTTATCCCTAATTACATTCAAATTATTTATGTACCAATTAAAAAACCCATAGTTTAAACCGCATAAAATAACCGCAGAAATAATTTGAGCTATAGAAAATGCGTTTATAGCACTTGAGGGATATTTAACAACCAAAAAAACAAAAATAAAAGTCCTTGATAGGATATAAATCGTCTCAAATACAATCTAGAAGAAAAACTATTATATTAAAATCATTAATATTGTTAAATAAACACACCCTAAGTTTAACAAAGCAAAAACTTTGCGCCACAAGCACAACACTTTGCGTCATTTGCTCTATAATACAAGAAAGTGCTATAGCGTAACATCCTAATCTATACTGTGCCAAATATTGCTCATCTGTGGGTGTTAAAACACTAACCCAAACATAAACCAACACTAAACTCAGTAAACCCGATATTGGTACCCTAAAATTATTTTTAAAATAATATATAAGTCAAATCAGTCCTTGTAATCCTACGATAACCAAACTTGGTTGATCACTTGTGCCCAATTGTGCGCCTTAGTATTTGTAAGACAAGCTTTCATTATTGGTTCTTTGGATAAAAATAATATGGTGGACTCCAGTAAGAGGAGCCTCACATTCATAATACCCAAGACATCTTGCCCAATGGTTCTTATAATAAAAGCGTTTAAAATAAAGGTGATACATCTAAATAAAATCTAAAAAATGTTTATTATATGTAATAAATATTAATTTTTTTGTTTATTAAGGTTACCTGAAATATAATACTAAATGAGGCATTTTGTAGACTGCTTTTTAGCACATTTCTGCCCATATTTGTGTTTATCAGCTGTCAGATTTTTGGGGTTATGTTTTATTTACGTAATCTGTCATGCGAACATTGGTATCATGCTTTGATATAAATTAATTAACGTAGTTAATTTAAAAATTAGTTAAAATTCTTAACGAGTATGAGTATGATTTGTAAGTACAATAAGTTATATTATACTCATTATTTTATATAAAACAGATTTTTAGTTGGTTTTACTTAATTTGGTTTGAAAATGCTACAAGCAGACGAAATTGATAGTAAAAAGCTGCTCCTCTCATCCCTCTGCGTAAGTACAAAAAAAGCACGTGCGAAAAATACGGGGGGTCTTCAAAATATCCTATTTTTTAGGGAGGTGGAGTCGCTGGTTTATTTGTCGACGTGGTATTATACCCTCTGGACACAATTAAAACAAGACTGCAGGCGGCACAGGGGTTCCGAAAATCAGGGGGTTTTAGAGGAATTTACAGAGGAATCGCTGGACAAGCCATAGGAAGCGGCCCGCAAGGTACATAACCTCAATTTGACGTCAACGCCATCTATCAAAGAGTGGCATAAGTTGTGCGGCGTTGCCAAATTATACTAAGTGTTTTTTACTCTAAAAATGTGATTTTAGCTTCTTTATTCTTTTTAACTTACGAATCTTTAAAAATCTTGTGTGATCCTTACGCTGATTCGCCGTATGCGCCTGTGATGTATATGGGGAGTGCTTCAATTGCGGAAGTGGTAATTTTTTTGTTGTAATTTGTATTTTTTGTGCTAATTTTGTTTTAGATGGCATGTTTGGTGCGTGTTCCTATAGAAGTAATAAAGCAAAGAAGGCAAACTACACATGATACTTACAGCCATATAATTGCAAACGTTTTAAAGGAAGGCCACTTAGTATGTAAATTATAAATTATAATTTAGATATTCTGTGTCAAAAAATATTTTGTAGGGTTTATATAGAGGTTTTGGTTCCACCTTACTCAGAGATTTACCATTCTCCGCAATACAGTTCCCGATTTTGGAATTCTTGAACCATCAAGTTAGAAAGCATTTAACCAATAATGAGCCTTTAAAGGTGTGGGAATATGCGATTTGTGGAGCAATTGCTGGTAATATAATATCTCTCCAAAACATAATTAAAGATGCACTATTTTTTTGGATGCGATAGTACCTCGGTAGTTCATTTGACCCGAGGTACAATCGCGGATACGAAAATTGGACTACATATTTTATTGTGTATTTTGCACATATTCTTAAAATATGTCGTATTTTGTTATTTTAGGGGGTTTGACAGCGGCAATAACCACACCAGTCGACGTGGTTAAAACGCGTATCATGCTATCGGACAAGAATTTGCGCGTAATGGAAGTTTTTAGGAATGTCTATAAAAAAGAGGGAATTGAAGGATTATTTCGCGGGGTTGTTCCTAGGGTGGCTTGGATCTCTGTAGGCGGGTATATATTTTTCGGGTCTTACAATTGGTCGCAAAAACATTTTTACGACAATGTTTTCTGAACACGTCTCTCCTGGTAGGGTAGTTTTTTGTTATTTTTTTTAATAAAAGCTTTTGTATATACGTTTTTTTTCCTTTAAATCAAACTCGTTCAGTAAAAGTATCCAATTAACACCCTGTATATATTTACCTATACCTCAAGGAAACAGGTGACAGGATAGTCAATAACCTTTACCACAAAAAACAAATTAAATGAATTGTAATTGGTCAAAAAAGCGAGTGTGCTTAAACCACGCCAACCGTTTGGAATCTAAAGGGTACGTTTTTGTACTTGACTATCCTGTCAAAATATATATCCTTGCTTCGCTCCGTGTCGTGGCAACGTCGCAAAAACTTGACGTCAAACATGACATGTTAAACGTCAAAATTTGACATTTCAGATAATAAAATTAAAAAATGATATTTTTAGCTAGTATTACTGCGTATATCACAAATCCGATGGATATAATCAAAACCAGAATAACTCTTGCAGATAAAAGAATTTGGTCGGAAGAGGAACTAAGAGTTACTGAAGTTTATAAAAGAATAGTAAAAAGATTCGGATATGATGGATTAATGAAAGGAGTCTGGCCAAGGGTTGCTTCAAAAGGTTTTGGCGGGTTCATTTTTTTCGGAGTGTTTGGTATGACGACTTCCTATTTCGAAGATTACGTTTTTTAATGTTTTGTAGCCCATTTCTGTGATAAATAAACGTTTTGTAAATTAAAATAGGTTTTTTGTCCGCTATAGTACAACTGTAGTTCAAATGAATCGAAGTACTATCGCGGACAAAAAAATATATTGTTAAAATAAAACATTAATTGGTATTTGAACAATATTTAATAGGTAAATTCTATAGATTCGATACAAACCTCTATATATAGTGTATAATACATGTATATGAAAAAACTCCTAAATATATTAAAAATAAAATTACTTTTACGAATAACATTATAAAAATATAAATATCTTAATAACTAGCATAAATTTAGTGTGGAAACAAAGCCATTTGACAGCCAGCTTTATTATGTTCCATAACCTCTAATTTTAACAAACCCACTGTCTCCTTTAGCTGACTCATCACAGTACTTAAATCTGCATTCTCAGTTTTGAGCAGCTTAACTTTGTCTTCGAGCTTCGAAATACGCTCCAATTTACGCGTACGACATTTTGATGCTGCCAGACGATTTCTCTGCCTTTTACGTTCCAATTTCATTCTTTCTTGATATTCCATATCTACAGGCGACATTGGGGGGCTATTGTTTATATTTGGGACCGTTTGGGGCTCCTCTTTGATCTGGGGCATAAAAGTCTGGTCAAATATGCTGCTTGTGTTGCTGTCTGAACCTAAATTAACAAAAAAAAGCATTACACAATAATTTTTGACAGTTTAGACGTAAATGTTATTTTATAAGTAATTTTGACGGTTTTCGTAGGTTAAATGTACCACAAATGTCATTTCTAACGTTTATAAAGGTGGCTTTGATAACTGACACTTTGTCAAATGTCAATCTTTGACAGTTCTTAAGACATTTTGACGTTTATAGTAGATCAAATCTACCACAACTGTCATTTCTTAACCTCACTTACCTTGTTGTGAGTTATTATTGTGTAAGTTGTTCAAGGCCTCCACGAATCCACCAACAAAAACTTCCTGTTCCTGTGTAACATTTTTGGGGAATATTAGAGATGATGGTGTTGGTGTTTGGGTCATGTTTGTGTTTAAAATCATGTTTTCCAGCTCTGGAGTTCCAACTTGAAGCATTTTTAAGTCTGGTGATGAAAGGATTGAGTTGTTGAGTGGTAGGCTGAGGTTTTTTCGATTTAGGTTGAGTTTGAGGTTACGTTTCACGTTGTTTATATCGCGGTTGTTTTCTGGATATTGCCCCGACATTTTAGTTGTTTTTGTAGAGCTCAAAGCCTAACCAGGACCAGAGATCAAAGAATAACTTCACAGGGATTATTACGAGTGTCAGTAAGAAGTAATATGGAAAATCAGCTATTTCCATAAAATCTAGAACAAAAATTAACCGTTAGGATAAAAAATTTTAAAAACAATGTAAAATTTCTCAATATTTACGTATTAGATCATCAGAAAAGTAAGTGAAGGACATTATTTACTTACATCTACACACATAAAATCACTGCACACCTTTTGACTTGTTTACGTGACTCACCGCTGAATAAAAATGATTCCAAGTGGATTATTTAATTTCTCCGCGATATTTCGAATAGACCAACCCAAGTTTTCTTCCAAGAAAACGTTATACACAACGAAAAAGCACCTATGACTCACGCACTAACACGGATTTTCGAAGAATTAAAAACTGACGTCAATACGTGAGAAGTTTGCCGCAAGTTGAGGACCTGAAGTTGGCGCTGAGGTTCGCGATAGAGCTTTTTACGTAAAATTAAAACTTATTTTTAATTTATAAATCTAATTCAGTAAAAGCATATTTACAAAAAATTATTAAACATCCTAAAACAAAACAATAAACAATTGTAAAAGTGGTTTTAAAACCTTACAAAATTATTTTTCAAAGTTTAACACCAATTTAATTAAAAACGTTAAAAAATTCATATATAAAAATAATAAAAAAACAGTAGTGTAATTATTGAAATAGAAGGTTTGGAATTTGTTTTTACTAAAAACAAATTTTCCATTACCGTTTCAAAAATAAAAAGTTTAAATTTGTTAACAAGTTAGGATGATTTTTTTATAGAAACTGTCAGAAACTACATCTATCAACCATGTTAATTTCAGCGCTGTTCATATAACATCCATTTTAAGATGTTTTATACGTATAAAAAAGGCTTTTGTAATTTATCTATGCTTAAAAATCCTCTTCTCGCGTTGGTGTGTCATTTTTGGGACAACATGTATATAAACTTGGTTGCGAAGTTTTTAAAATTAAATTTTTTAGTAACTCGCATAAATCAATATCAATAATTTTAAGACGAAATTTTGTATATTTGACAGTTTAATCATGCTTTTTTTTTCTTTCTGAAAATGGATTGGCGTTTTTTTTTGTTGAGATTTTCTATCCGAATCAATCTTAATATTAAAAATTCGAAAAAAAAAATTTTTGAACCTAAATTATGAATTTAAACAAATATTAATTTAAATTTTTGTACTAAAGGAACATGTTTCACAATTAAAAACTACATATTTTTAATAGAATCTCAAAACACAAAATTACACAATTGACCTTGAAAAAACACGAATGCAAGTTTACGTAAAATCCCCTATAACGAACCACCTATTGAATTCGCCTGATAAGATTACAATTTTTAAGCAAACAACCTGATAATTACCCGCGTTATCAAACATACAGACCCCAACCTAACCCAAAATCATGCAGAAACTCTAAAATCAACAAAAAACGTCCCTAAAACGCAAAGGGAAAGGAAAATAGCGCGGTTCTTTGTTGTTTTTCTCCGCGGTGGCTCCCTCTCGCGTCTCTAGACGGCGTCCAATGATAAGAGAGTCTTAGCAGCAGCCAACTTGATGGAGAGCCGTGTGCGCTAATCAAATCTTAGCACAGACTACTAGATTTATAATGGCAGTGCCTTAAATGCGTTTATCGGGAATAATACGGGGTTTTCTAGTGGTTTCAGTGGCTGTGAGAGGTTTTTAATGTGTCCAAAAGTTCGATAATAATGTTGAATGTACCGCAAAAGTTTTATACATTGTGCCGTCTTTGTTTAGCGTGTGATAACAACGGCAATAATCTGTTTGACAACGATAATGTACCGAGCAATGTGCCCGATAAGATTATGACGTGTTTGGATATTACGGTAAGCAGCATGAATCATATTAGTTTAAGATAAGACATTTATTAACCTCGGAGGAGGCTGGTCTTTGCTGTATTCTTTTGTTATCGCATTGCGCGTAGATGCCATGTCGCAGCTGCATAAATGCTATTTTCGTCCGATTTTAGAGCCCGTAAAGATATAAATAATACGGCTTTTTTTGTTTTAACAACATCTGCTTTGCGTGGGCCCAGCACAATGCATACATTTGATTACAGCGGCCCTTAAAAACCACGCGAAACACCTGGCTACTCTAGATGGTCCGCTGTTTTACCATGGAGAAAGTTTGGCAGAGATGTTACAGATAAGATTCAACGCGATTGATGATAACCGCGCTGTTTCTTTGTTTGCCTTGTGTCCGCCAAGCTGAACGCCGATTTTATTTTGTAATACAGTTTTTCTGAACGAAAAAACATTATAAATACCTTTCAAATTGCGAAATCGACAAGAAAAACAAACTGCATGGTTGCAAAACAGACAAACTTGGCAACATTTGGTAACCATTTTGACGTTTTTTTAACTTTGACAGCTCAAACCAAAACAACCTTGATTTCAACACAAAATTAAGTTTTTTTAGTTTAAACATGAAAATCTCGAAGTTTTTCTCGAAATAATATATTTTTACGTTACTTTTCGTTTATTTAAAAGTTCAAAACCAAAGCAATTTGATTTAAACACAGAATTAAGTTTTGACAGTTTGAACTCAATTTGACAGTTCAAAACAATCTTGATTTTTTCTTAACACAGAATTAAAATTAAAAATTATAACAAACCAAATGATAAATCATTGACCCCTTGTTTAATTAATGGGATAAAACGTAAATAGGTAATTAACGTAAATTTATGTGATTTATTTCATATGCCGATCTAGATAAGGCCATAGAGTTATAAATAACAAATATAACAGTAGCAATATTATATATTACTTGTATTTTAATAGAATGGGATTGTATACCTATCATAATTATTTTTAAACTGTAGCCTTAGGTGTTGTCTTAAATTGATACCCTTTAAATTTTTTGATATGTATTTTAATGATATAACCAAGGTTATTGAATTAGACTTATTTTTACCTTACACATAACATTTTATGATGAAATAAGGCAACTTAATATTCATTGTTTCTTCTTAATTGTTAACCTACCCAATTTGGGAGTGAATTATAATAATTATAAAATTATACTGTTACTTTAGAAATTATTTTGCAGTGGGCTTGATTATAATTATTTTTTGTTTTATTTTTTCTTAAATCATGAAATAATAAACAATATAATACATATACAATAAAGGTAATAACAAATAATATTTGTTAAAGCATGAAAACGTGAAAAAATTTAATAAAAATACAAATTTTTAGAACATTTTATATAATTTCACAAAATTTGTCAATAAAAATAGGTTTTCCCGTTCGAAAACAAATTGTGTTATTCATCTAATAAAGTTGGCCTTGAATGTGAAACAAATCAAGATCGTGGGCCGCCATGATATCAGCTTTTGTTATCAGCTTTTGTTATCAGACACACAAGCCTTCTTATTTTAAAACGTTTAAAAGAAATCAACGTGGCCAGGTATACGTACTATCAGCAACGTAGATTTAAAGAAAAAAAAAACTGGTCGAATAATTCTATAAAATATTCCTAGTCTTTGTTCATTGTGGGATTAATGAAATGCAGAAAGATAAGAGTTGAATACAAAATAAGTCTTGATTTGCTGATAAATCTTAGTAATTACCTAGAAATTATGTTATGTTATAAAAAGACGTAGGTAGCTTAGTTGTTGAAAATCTTTTATAGTTTATGTATACCTATATGTTGTAGATCTCATTAAGACTAACACTGTTTTCAAATATATATTTTATTTGAGCTTTTTTCTAATTATCGACCTTGTTTTGTTTTTATATAAACCCCTTTATCTTTGTTGGTTGATATTTTTGTTAAAATTTTTTAACACAAAAATTGTAGATATTAAAGTGACAATTCCAAAAAACTTTAATTTTTTAAAATACGATCATAAATAAACGAGATAAAAAGGTTATGTAAAAAAACAAAAGACTGTCAATTTTGAGACTCAAAATTTGAGTATAAATACCCTGTATAATGGTAGTTAGGCTTTATAAGCAATTAAATAAATATTGGGCGCAAATTATTGAAACGTGTTCAATGTAGTTAAAAACAACTTATGTTGCAAAATAGATTGTGAAATTACAAAATATAGACAATAAACAAGCGATTATTTATCATTTTAATTTATTTTTAGCGTTTAAAACCCGACTCCTCCTATTTCAGCGTTTATATCATTCTTAAATTTGCGCGATCAATCAAGTCAGCGGTGACTCATTCTGCGAATTTAAAATTCAGTTGTTTTATCTTAAAATAAATCTCATGTAATGCGATTTACGAGTTTGTCGTAAAATTAACCGGTTACTTTGCGCGCGGAGACCTGCCTTAAGGGTGCGAACAGCCCCTTAAAGCGACGCACAAAAAGGAAATCGCTTTTTGCAGCGGTAAAAACCGTGATCTAATTACGTTCGGTGTGTTTTGAGATAAACACAGATAAAACGAACGCTAATAGACAGGAAGAACTTTCTAAAACTTGGAACGCTGTCAAGTATATGTATTAAAAGTGAATTGTGCAGCAAAACATGCTTACATCGAAAATCTTTGATTTAATTCATAGTTGGCTGTAATTTTTCACGTTTCATATGTCAAATGTCAAAATTTTACGCAAAATTGCGACATAACCTTGAAATGTGTATTAAAATCATTCAAATTCTTGTCAAGCATTGTATTCGGATTATATAACATGAAGATTTTATTGTATCATATTACGAAACTAAAGTATCCTAACAATGAATAGGATTTGAAAGTTTTTATCAATTACTTTTCTAGAATATTTCGAAACCTACCGTTTACTCTTATTAGATTAGATATCATGGGTTTTCCCAAAAAAACTTTATCGTAATCATTAAAACCATTCTACCGGAAATTGTTGATAAATTAATAATTTTATGTTTTTACAGGTGACTAAAGAAGATTCAATGCCTCAAAAAATATGTCCAAAATGTATGGAACAGTTGGAAGTGTTATCAAAATTCAAGGAAATGGCCAAAAAAGTCGAACATCTACTTAAAGAATTCTTAAATTATACAAAGCTACTCACAGGCAGTGAAGAAGTATGAACAAAACTATTTTAATTTTTATTTGATTTAATAATGATAAAACAACATTTAGAGAACAAATACGCCATCTATGTTTTAACCTCGGTCTTAGGTATTTATTAGATGGTTTTAACCAAAGTTTTCACATCAATTGTCAGTTTTTAACACTTGACATTTAACTAATTAGAAACGTCAGAAAACTGATTTATTTAATAAATAAACTTTATTTAAAATGTATAAAAAAATTTAAACCATTTAATTATTTTTTTAGTTACCTATTTGAAATAATAACAAAAATAAAACAATGTTTTTTACGTAGTATTGACACACACATGTCAAATGACCTTCAGTCAGAAATGAACTATTAAACGTCATTTAAAACTTATTTTTAACCTTTTTTAAATGTAAAACATTCTTTCTAATTAAATCCACCATGTATATTGACTGGATTATACCTAACCTCACTAACAAAGGGGTAGTTAAGGTTGCGCTGAATTCTACGCCACCTAAATAGGAAAGTTGCTGCTACCCCCAAAGTGGCCAGCAATAATAAGGTGCAAATCGCTATAATGGTGATTCTCAGCACGTTAAAGCTGTGCGATACGTGTTCCTTCTTCATGTGACTCTAAAAAATACTTGTGTCAGTTTTAAATAATTTTTTGTGTGGATTTTTTACCGGCGTTACTCTACAAATGTCATCTGTCAAATAAAATACCGGCCTACTTTTTACAACGCGCAGATCCATACATATGGGACCGTCTTGTTGCCGGGTTATTTTTTTGCTAAGCTTCTCGTGGATTTTGAATAAATTACACGAACATTTTAGCGGGTTTCCTTTAAATTCGAATATTTTAAGTTTTGACCATTCAAGAAGTTCAAAACTGATGTCGTCAAATGAGTTGTTGTTAAGATAGACCTAAAATGTTATAACTAGAAGAGCTGGAATATTGAACTTTTTTATAAATACAAAATTAATTGTTCTTAAGGTGGTATCTCTATTTAAAGAGTTTTATAAATAAATAACAGCAGGCCGTGACAGTAAATTCAGCGGTGCCAAAATAGCAAAAATTAAACGTTGTATTTTGGTTAGCAAATTATTGCTTTATTAAAAATTAAAGTATCATTAAAAACTAAAAACAACGTAAAAAATAAATAAGTAACAATATAAATTGTTAATTTGTTGTTATAATGGCAAAATTAAGGTTTAAAACTTATAATTTTGTGTTTCTTAAGTTGGTAGCACAAAATTTGAAATGTCAATTTTAAAAAGTGCTATAGCACAATTTATTATAATAAATTGTTTTAAACAAATTTTCCAAAAAAGTTGTGAAAATCAATGTTTAAGCCATTTCACAAATAAACATAAAAAGGGGTATGGTGTAAACTATACCTCGGCTAGGTCTGGATGTTCTGGAAAAGTTTGGGCATCAAGTTCTTCCAGAAGTGGATTATTTGATAATTTTAACGTTCTGAGTTTTTTTAAAGGTGCAAAAGCGTTTGGTAGAATATTGTCCAGACGATTCATGTTGTTCATTGATAGTTGTATCAAGTTTTTGGTGTCTAAAATTAGTTTTTGAATATAGAAAATTATTTTATTAGGACTTAAAATTTTTACTTATGAATGAAGAATCTGTGAGCTCAAAAATTGGGTTCCCATCCAGTATCAAGTTTTCCAGAGATTGGCTTATTTCAGAAAGTATAGCCGGGACAAAATCTAACTTATTGTAAGACAGGTCCAACTCCACTAAATTGGTTAAATTCATTATGGTGGTACTTGTTATCTCCGTCAATTTATTATCGGCCAAATTCAATCTCTAAAAAATTAACTGTTGTATAAACAGCTTCAATAAATGCAAAGCTTTTTACCAGTAAGTTTTTGAGAGAGTCTATAGCTAGCTGCGTAGCTTCATCCAGAACTCGAAAGTTGTTTCCTTTGAGATTGAGTTCCTCAAGTTTTGGAAGAAACTCGAAAATATTATTTTGCAGCATGTGGATTTCGTTGTAAGCCAAATTAAGGGTTAGTAAGTCCAGAGGTTGCCAGGTATCGTTGACGTAAGTCCCGCGGAAGTCTTCTGGACTTAATTCTTCACCTATAAATACTTTTGTAATGCTCTTAATTTAAAAATATGGCTTAACTTACTGGTTATTTTGTTGTGGCTTAAATCGACATACTTGATTTTTGGAACGTTTGTAAACACTTCAGGGTTAACTTTTTGTATATTACAATAAGTAAAAACTACCTCTACAACCTTATCTGTTCCTGGTAACTTTTCCAGGGTATCTAAAATCCAGTAATAAATAACACTCTATATTTATCCTCATATTTTACCTATGGAATTTTTGCTAAAAGATGCAGTAATGGCCTTGGTACTATCAGCCATTTTGGGCCAATTCGCCAAAACATGGTTCAACCCTTTTTCATTACAATTTATACTAAATGTTGGGTCATTCTGTGTACATACACATTTTTGACAAACCGTTTTGGAATTTTCGTAAGTTTCACCGTAAACATTTCCTATTAGCAATAATAAGCATACCTACAATATACCTTTATCAGTTTTTTGCTTAATTGACTATAAAACTTACTATTTTTTCCAACACTACACTTTTAGCTACCATTTTCAATGTTAATGTTTAAATAAACCTATACCTTTTGCAATGACTCTTATCTTATCATTTTATTTGTTTAAATCGTAATTATGATGTTTTATCTATTATTAGTCAACGCTTTTTTTAATAATTACCGGTATATTTTTTCGTATTATATGGGTGAATATATTGAGATGTCCCCCAAGTGAAAATGATTATTTTTTATTTTTTGTTGTTTCACTGTTAGTCTAGAATGGGGTTTTTGGGAAGCCACCAGGTCTAGTAATAACATAACATAAGTGGTTCTGCACTAATGCAAGAATTTTAAGAAATCATACATTTTGAATATTAGAGCTTCACGGAGGTTAGGATTTCGTATGTTTTTTTAAACATCCCTTTGTATATTTAAAATAAGTTATTGTATCTTTTGACACCTTAATATTTTTAAAAAATACAATTGTACATACATAAAATATTTATAAAAAAATCTACTTACTGAGATATTACACTTCACGGTGGATAGGTTTTTAAATAGCAAATTAATGAAATTAAACTTTTGAGTTATAAAACAGCAACACTCTCATCTGCATATCAATTCTAACTGACCTCCAGGAATCACATGCATCTATAATGTCGTAAACAGAGGTTTTTGCTTTTTTAAAATGATTAAAGCGCCATCCGTTGCTAAAAATTTAAAGCAAAAACAGATTCACGGAGGATAGAATCAATTTTTGTAACACCTACATAAATGGTTATAAAAATTATTTCTTTTAATCTTTAATAATATTTTATATTTGATTAGATTGCTTTGGATGTGTTTAATTTACTTGGTGAACTGACATTTTTAGTATGCTTTTACTACCTCAGATATTTGAAAACATATAGGTTAACCTAGAAAGAGTAACAGTCACGGAGGATAGGTTTTAGACTTTTAAAACATTGTAAAAAATAATTAATTGTGGTTAAAAATCTGGAACCTGAGCTGTAATATCTACTTAATTATGAAAGATCAAAACACAATAAAAGTGTAGGTCAGACTCATTTATTTTTATTAAATATCACGGGATAACACCATCGGGGGACATTTCGTGAGATTCACCCATATCTTATCAGTATTTAAGCCTAATACCTCATAAAAAAGCTACGCGAAGCTGATTATGAGGCTCTGAATTTTCTTTTTATGATGCGCATTTTTGTGCTTTAGGAAAAAACGCGTCGATCCGAATCCCTCATAGACCAGATGCTGGTTTCAAGCCTAGTGCAAAAATCTCGTTCAGAATCTCCAATCAGTATTAAATCGATATTAAAAAAAGAAAACGAATCGCCGGAAATAAATTTCCCGAGCGAACCAATGCTTAGAATACGAAGCGAAAGTGTCCTTAAATACCCGAAGCAGGTCGAAGCGCCGCAAGTGACGTGCACGTCGCTGGTGAAGCTGGAAATCGATGAGCACGGTTTGGAGGAAGCGGCCGTGAAACCGGAAGACCTGTCCCAAAAACCGAAACCTGAAAATTTAACGTGCGTGCCCGAAATCGACTTTATCAAAGAGGAAATCAACGATAACGTGTCAGAGTACAGCAACAGCTCGGATCCCGAACGGTTAGAAGTCGATATGTCGCAGGTGAGAAATCCGAAGCTGTGTAAACTTTGTTGATATTGATGCCATGCAAAATGCAATACATTTTTTGAAATCAGTGCGTTTCAATTAGTATACCCTGAAAATTTGGTTATAATCGCTCCATAAATAAGGAAGTTCCATAGCTTCGAACTCAGCTTCGAAAATGTTAACTTTGTTATTTATGAAGCGATTTTAATGAAATTTTCAGGTTATACTAAATAAAATACGTGCATTTCACCACAATTAATATTTTAGGCGACAGAAGACCATTCTAACTCGACCACACACAGTGCAATCTCGCCTTTACCCGAAATATCCCACCCGCCCGAGGAAGACGCCAATCTATGGAACGCCTTATCTCAAAACGGCTACAACCCGCAGATGCCTTTATCGAACGAAGCTACCCACTTGCTTCGAAAATTGATCACCTGTAGGAAGCTAGGGATGAGCATAACGAGCATTACGCCGTCCTCGGGGCCTCACATACTTAATTACAGCTTGTTCCAAGAGAAAAATCACCCCGATCAACCGTTGAATATGGAAGTTAACAAAACGTCGGCGAGGAGAAAACAGAGCTTTCCGTCCAAGGCAGCCGTGGAAACCGAAAATCAACGAATGGAAACCGATGCCAAGGACGACGGCGACGAGTACATACCGGATTTTACGGGCAGCAATCCATGGTGTAATGTGCAAGTTGTGAAAGGAGGAAAAGTAAGTTTTTAATAGCGACACATAAAAGAACATATTTTGATTATTGTCACCTGCAAATTTCATGAAAATCCGGCTATAAATAAGGAAGTTATAATTTCGAAGCTGAGTTTGAAGCTATGGAACTTCTTTATTTACGGTGCGATTTTCACCAAATTTGCAGGGTTTACTGAAGCAAATGCGCTTTTTTCAAAACTGTAATCGGTTTTACTGAAGCAGATGCGCTTTCTTCAAAAATATAATCGGTTATTTCAAATGAGGAAAAGTAAGTTTTTAATAGGAACACGTAAAATAACGTATTTTGATTATTTTAACCTGCAAATTTCATGAAAATCCGGCTATAAATAAGGAAGTTATAATTTCGAAGCTGAGTTTGAAGCTATGGAACTTCTTTATTTACGGTGCGATTTTCACCAAATTTGCAGGGTTTACTGAAGCAGATGCGCTTTCTTCAAAAATGTAATCGGTTTTACTGAAGCAGATGCGCTCTCTTCAAAAATGTAATCGGTTTTATCAAATGAGGAAAAGTAAGTTTTTAATAGGAACACGTAAAAGAACGTATTTTGATTATTTTAACATGCAAATTTCATTAAAATCCGGCTATAAATAAGGAAGTTATAATTTCGAAGCTGAGTTTGAAGCTATGGAACTTCTTTGTTTATGGTGCGATTTTCACCAAATTTGCAGGGTTTACTAAAGCAAATGCGCTTTCTTCAAAAATTTAATCGGTTTTACTGAAGCAGATGCGCTCTCTTCAAAAATGTAATCGGTTTTTTCAAACGAGGAAAAGTAAATTTTTAATAGGGAAACGTAAAAGAACGTATTTTGATTATTGTTACCTGCAAATTTCATTAAAATCCGGCTATAAATAAGGAAGTTATAATTTCGAAGCTGAGTTTGAAGCTATGGAACTTCTTTATTCACGGTGCGATTTTCACCAAATTTGCAGGGTTTACTGAAGCAAATGCGCTTTCTTCAAAAATGTAATCGGTTTTACTGAAGCAGATGCGCTCCCTTCAAAAATGTAATCGGTTTTTTCAAATGAGGAAACGTAAGTTTTTAATAGGAACACGTAAAAGAACGTATTTTGATTATTTTAACCTGCAAATTTCATTTAAATCAGGCTATAAATAAGAAAGTTATAATTTCGAAGCTGAGTTTGAAGCTATGGAACTTCTTTGTTTATAGTGCGATTTTCACAAAATTTGCAGGATTTACTAAAGCAAATGCGCTTTCTTCAAAAATTTAATCGGTTTTACTGAAGCAGATGCGCTCTCTTAAAAAATGTAATCGGTTTTTTCAAACGAGGAAAAGTAAATTTTTAATAGGGAAACGTAAAAGAACTTATTTTGATTATTGTAACCTGCAAATTTCATTAAAATCCGGCTATAAATAAGAAAGTTATAATTTTGAAGCTGAGTTTGAAGCTATGGAACTTCTTTATTTGCGGTGCGATTTTCACGAAATTTGCAGGGTTTACTGAAGCAGATGCGCTCTCTTCAAAAATGTTATCGGTTTTTATCATTTTTTTTAGGGCGGTGGTAGTCCGAATATGCCCCGCAGGGTAGATTTGGCGTGCACAAACTGCGGCACTCAGACAACGACAATATGGCGACGGAACATGAAGGGCGAGATGGTGTGTAACGCGTGTGGCCTATACTACAAGCTGCACGGAGTCGACAGGCCTGTAACGATGAGGCGCGATACCATTCACACGAGGCGTAGGCGGTCGAAAGCGGCCGAAAAAGAGAAATCCGGTAAGTGAGATTAATAGAGCGTATTTTGTTTGGGATAACCTGAAAATTTGGTTGAAATCGGTTTTTAAATAAGGAAGTTCCATAGATTCAAATTCAGCTTCGAAAAAGCGATTTTATTGATTATAAATAATAGTTATAAATTAATATCCCTATTTTAGCACCAAAAAAGAGTGAAAGCAATGACACTGAAGAAATGTTGACAGCTTTAAGAAGACAGCTGCAGCCTCACTTGATAATGGCTTTACAGGGCCAAAAGAATACGAATTCGGCTCCACATAAGGTGAAATAACCAAAATTGGATTAAAATTTTTTTTTTTACTTTTTATATTTTTTAGCCTGCCAGATTTCCGTTTTTGCCTACTTCCGGTGCGTCTCCGGGTGGTTCGGCGCCGGAAGTCGACTCGGAAGACGATTGTATGGAAGATTTGCCTTTAAATCTCGTCTCAACTCAAATGACGGAAACGGAAACGCATTAAACAGTTAAACAAATGAATGAATGACGCAACAACATGGCGCTCTGTCAAAATTGACGTTTATCAACGTACGTTGGTAGCCTTGTCATCTGACAGTTTTGATTCTTTAATTATTATTTATTAACATTTTTTTGTTGAGATTAAAAAGCTCTCTTTAACCCAGTACTTATCCAGTAATACTCATTTTTTACACGTTGACTTAACTTTTGTACGTTTTTATTATTTTATTTTTGCAGATTGTGATATTTCCACAAGCGCATTATTATTTTTTGCCGTCGATTTTTCGACGTCGAAAATCGGAAACATTTACCAAACTTTTTTGCTTATGCCAGTAGTACCTTAATTTTTAGTATTACCTGTAGATTTTTTTACTTAATTTAATAATAAATCCGAAATTATTTTATTTATTAAATCCAAAAAATACTCCATTAATTAATACTCATTTTTAATTATTTTATTTATTCTAATCAGCTCTCTTTTGACCAGTATATTTACGTGTGATTTTGAACCCCTCTGTATATATTATTAATATTTCCCCTTTTTACAGGGCGTTTTTGTATACCATTAATAACCAGTTATTTTTACTTTTTAATATTTTTTTACTTTTAATCTTAGGTTTAGAAGGATTTTATTTAAGCTTGCAAATATTTGTTTTCTATTTTGTCATTTATAATTTGCAGATTTTTATTTGGTGGCATTTAATATGCAGAGTGCTCCGAAAATGGCAAACAACGATTTTTCCAATCCAATTGTCAGAAAGTCGGCTTTTTTGTTGAAATTTAAGTAACGTCAACAATTTATGCAACTCAAATTACTATTTTACTGTCAATTTTTCCTTAAAAATGACTTTAAAAATCGATAAATTCTCTTGGTAACGTGACGTCACGATGATATAATATAAAAGGTACCTATAATCATTATAGTATAATGGTAGGTATAATAGGCGTGTCAAGTTTTACAAATTAAGTATCTGCAAAGATAATTATTCCGAACATAACCAAATTCTTTGACAGTTATTATCTTTTTACTTGTTATAAACCATAAGCAGCCTATTTTAGTATAAAGTTCATAAAATTATTTTATCTATTCTGCGTTCATAATGGCTTTCGGTGCTGTAATAAGATACTTTATCCCACCCAAAATTTTGATTTTATGCTTGGCTATACTTTAAACGGCATAATATTTTGCATATTGGTTATAATATTTTTATGATTTTTCAAGTACTTACGAGACTTTTCTGGCAATAAAATTTGTTTAACACCAAAGAAAATCCTTTTTTTCTTCTTTAACATTAACAGCCGCTTATTGTAAATAAGTAAATTAAGGACGGCATGGCGAATCGATGTTGACATTAACTGTCAAACCAATGACTGTGATACCAACTATCTAAAGTAAAATTCGACCAAATTAAATTTAAGGTAACGATTTAAATAAAATATTGAACATAACATATAAACCATGCTAGAAACAGATGTTGGATTCATTCGTAATTCTTGACACATCTGACATTGTTATAATTTTAACCGTTTTGTGGTGTTTAGTATTTTAGCGTTTTTATGTTTTTAAACTACTTTTGGTACACAAATATTGCGCAAGGTATAAAAAGGACGAGGTGATCTTATCTTTCAAAAATGATCAGTATTACAATTTTTTAAAATTGTTATCAGTATTCTGTAAATTATAAATGACAATTTGGTGTCCTGTGTAGGGTAGAACCTATTAGTATTAACATTGAGTGATATTTCTTAATTTTAACCCCCTTTTTTTTATTTTTTTACATTATTAAATTAACTTATTAAATTTATCAGTATTCAACACTTTTTATATTTTTTAAGCTAACGCTAGTTTAGTTTTATATTTTTGGCAGCTTGTTTAAACTTTGCCGTTTCGTGCATTAATTACAGGGAAATTGTAAAAATTGGATCTTAATGTTTTTTGTTATTATTAATGTAGTTGCAGGGTTTTATTATTGTTATTGGAGTGCCTAAACAATATTAATATGAAATAAAATACTGTTTTTGGCAATAATAATTATCAAGTATTTTATTGATTTTAACATTGTTAAAAAAAATTGATGATAATATAATAGTTGTAAATTGTTAATCTTGCCCCTTTTGAATAACATGTTAATATTTTTTTGTATTTGAGTGGATTTTTTCTTATACATTCATATATTTATAATTGTTTAATAATTGTAACTAAAATTGGCTAACTAGAAATTTAGAATATTTTTTTATACATAAATACATGGCTGCTATTACTTACTTGTTTTATTTCGTGGTGGAGCAGGTAAAAATTAAAAAAGCTTTGGTGTAAATAATATATTTATTGTTCTCTTGTACAGTTGTTTAAAATAAGATGTAGGCAGAAATAATACGTCGGTGTAGAGAAATTTAACAGAAGATAAAATAGGTGTCCAGAAAATTATAGACGTGTTGTTCAAGAGATACAAAAAAACAAAGAAAAAACAAATCATTTGGATGGTCGAGCTACAGTTTTTTTATATATATATAGTTACGGAGTTTTAGAAATGTTTTTGTTTAAAAAAATGGATATTTAGTAGTACATTTATTTTAATCATACTATAATCCCATAAAACAATGAAATATCTACAACAATACAGCAGCAGGCTCAAATACGTGATGGCTCTCTAAAATACAATATATATTGTGGAACGATTGAAAATTTTGTTGTTTTTTGTTTATTTAAGCCTCTAAGTCCAATGCCAAACCAATTTTGTGGCCCCCGCTATTGAAGTTCTGTCCGTCAATCAATAAGGATAATGTCAATGTTACACCTAGAAAAAATCAACGTTAAAATTTATACTCCTATTGCATAATATTGGCATTATTGTTTGGGGCTTTCTGCATATAATGGTATCGATTATAACCGCCCCGCCACGTTACTTGATAGAAATAATTATGGTTAATTTTCTGTCATAGTCAAACTAATTTCGTCCTATTTTTTAAAAATAATACAATAGGTATAGGTATTTTTTGTGTCTTGTGTATTATACAGTGTGACCCATTTGTTTGCGACTCACCCCTGTAAAATCTTGTGCGATTTTGTGTAGATCTTGATAAACTGTATTTTTGAAGCAAAAAACGCCATATTTTTACAAAATACAAGGCCTATGTCAGTTTTTAATAGTACATTTTTAAGAATTCATATTAGCGATTATTTTAAACAAAATTGGATTCACCACCCCTCAAAACGACCCTATACTAAATTTTATTAAAAAATTTTAAATAAAAAAATGCACAATAATAACTACAAAAATTTATTTTGACGTTATCCATAAAAAACATTGAAATAAAATTAAAGTAATAGTAACATGGTACTATTATTATAAGTTTAATTTTATTTCAATGTTTTTTTCATGGATAACTTGACAGAATAAATTTTTGTAGTTATTATATGCAGAATGTATCTTTTACGGGTTACGTCTTACGTCAACCAATCAGTGCTAAATATGGACATATCAAGGGCTGTGATTAGTTGACGTAAGAGGTAAAATATAAATTCTGCGAGAATAATTGAATCGGTGAGATTAATTACAGTACAAGTCCAAAAATTTCATTTTGACAAATCATTTTCTAAAATCAATTTAAAAGTTTAAAATGCATTTTTGGGAGAATTTATAAATCATTCTATTAAATATAGTTGGTATATTTTATAAAATAGTTAAAATATTTTCAAAAAATGTATTTTGAACTATAAAACTGATTTTATGAAATAATTTTTAAAAATGTAAAAAGTTCTTAAGCCTACTTTATAGATCGCCTTCCTTCCTTCCTTCCTCCCGTAGAAGATGATCAATACAATCCCGTACGGGAATATATAAATGGCACTATTTTTCATCTTTTACGGGAGGAAGGAGGGAAGTAAGGAAGGAAATCTATAAATCAGGCTTTAATCTCACCGATTCTATTGTAGACCGGACTTTTTTATATTAAAAATACCGTAGCGTGGTCGCAAAACGAAATTAAGAACATGAGTTACATCAAGGACAATGATTAAATATTTTATTTAAACAAGTAATAACAAATAAGTAGGCGAAATTCCCTAATTTTGCCCAAGAATTCCCATTTACCGACATTCGAAAAAAAATCCCCAGAACTAGTTACTGGCGTAACATTTAATAAAAAATCTATTTTGTTTAGGTAATGAAAAAATCTTGTCTTTTGTCAAAGAATGCTAGGTTATGTCATCTGTCAGTTTTTTAGGTTTTTTCTTTGTAAAAAATATTTTCATTGAAATATTGCAACATTTGATAATCTGATTCAAGAAATTTCAAAAATTTCTGTCATCCATAAATTATTTTTAGTAATTTTAACAAAAATCTATTATGTCCAATGTCATCTGTCATAGATTATATAGTACAAAAAATTTCCATTGAAATATTGTAACATTTGATAATCTGAATTGAAAAATGTCAAAAATTGCTATCATCCATCAATAATTTTTAGTAATTTTGACAAAAAATCCATTTGGTTAAAAAATAAATTCTTTTGAAAATTGCTGTCAAAGAAAACATGAAAATCATATTAGATTATGTCTTCTGTCAAAGATTGCTAGGTTATGTCCTCTGTCATAGTTTTTTAGGTTTTTCCTTTGTAAAATTTTTTTCTAAAAAACATTTGATGATCTGTCTAAAGAAATGTAAAAAAGTTGTTGTCATTTATCAATGATTTTTAGGAAGTTTGGGAAAAAATCTTTAAAAAATCTTTTGAAACGTCAAAATTGCTGTGATTTGTCAAAAAACATGTAAATCATATTAGGTTGTCTTCTGTCTAAATTTGTTAGGTTAGGAATGTCAAAAATTGCTTTTATTCATCAATGCTTTTTAGGAAGTTTAATAAAAAATCTAGCTTGTTCGAAAAAAAAATCTTTTGAAACGTCAAAATTGCTGTGATCTGTGATATTAGGTTATGTCTTCTGTTAAAGATTGTTAGGTTATGTCATTATATGTCATCTGTCATAGCTTTTTTGGTTTTACCTCAAAAAATATTTCGAAAATCGAAATATTGCAACATTTGATAATCTGTCTCAAGAAATGTAAAAAATTGCTGTCATGCATCAATAATTTTAACAAAAAATTTATTTTGTTCAATAAAAAAATCTTATTAATACGTCAAAATTGCTGTGATCTGTCAAAGAAAACATGTAAATCATATTAGGTGAGGTTTTCTTAGAAACAGATGACATAACCTAACAAACTTTTGACAGAAAAGTTTTCTGTCAAAAGTTTTTTAGGTTATGTCATTTGTTATAGATTATATAGGTTTCCCTTTGTACAAAAAATCTCTATCAAAATATTGCAACATTTGATTATCTGCCTCAAGAAATGTCAAAAATTGCCATCAATTATGAACAATTTTTAGTAATTTTAAAATAAATCTATTGCTTAGAAAAAAAATCTTTTGAAACGTCAAAATGGCTGTGATCTGCCAAAGAAACCATCGAAATTATATTAAGTTATGTCTTCTGTCAAAAGATTGCCAAGTTATGTCATATGTCATAACTTTTTAGGTTTTCCCTCTGTAAAAAAATTTCTATCCAAATATTGCAACATTAGATGATCTGTTCCTTTGTACAAAAAATTTAAATCGAAATATTGCAATAGTTGATAATCTGTTTCAAGAAATGTCACAAATTGCTTTTATTCATCAATAAAGTGACCAGATCCTGTCAAAAAAAGAGGGACATTTTATATGAATGTACCTTAATTACAAAATTGACACAATTATACAATGCAAATTATAAATTTGACGTTATTTAATTTTGATTGTGTCATTTTTGTAATTAAGGTTAATTTACACAAAATGTCCCGCTATTTTTTTGACATAATCTGGTCACTTTATTCATCAATGATTTTTAGAAAGTTTAATAAAAAAAAATTATTGTTCAATAAAAAAAAGTTTCAAAAAATTATTCAAGAAATGTCAAAAATTGCTTTTATTTATCAATGATTTATAGGAAGTTCAATAAAAAAAAATTTGTTAGGTTATGTCATCTGTCATAGTTTTTAGGTTTTTCCTTTGTACAAAAAATTTCTATATATTATTATTATTGCAACATTTGATAATCTGCTTGAAGAAATTTCAAAATTTGCTTTTATTCATCAATGGTTTTTAGGAAGTTTAATAAATAATCTAGTTTGTTCAGAAAAAAAATCTTTTCAAACGTCAAAATTGCTGTGATTTGTCAAAAATAACTTGTAAATCATTTTAGGTTATGTCATCTGTCAAAGTTCGTTATATCATCTGTCATTGTTTTGGAGGTTATGTTTAAATGTCAAAAAGACTAAAAAAAAAGTAGGGTTAGGACTTACCATCGCGCAATCTTTGCTGGTATCCCAAGCCGACCAAGCTCTTGTTGTCTACCTTGGCGCGCACGCTGGCGTCCTGGTCCAAGACGTACGTCGTGCCCAAGCCGAACTGCGTCTCCTGGTTGTCGCTCTTCCACGCGATCTGCACCGCGGTCTCCAGCTTGGGGCTGAGCTTCTGGTAGAACGAGCCGCGGAACACCTGGCCGTCCATGCTGCCCTCCTCACCGGATTTGTCGTCGTCGCCGCCGCCGTCGTCGTTGCCGCCGTCGTCGTTTTCGTTTTCGTCGTCGTTTTCGTTTTCATTTTCGTCGTCGTCGTTTTCGTTTTCATCGTCGTCCGATTTTTTTTTGTCGTCGCCGCCGTTACCGTTACCGCCGTTACCGTTACCGCCATTACCGTCATCGTCACCACCATCACCACCGTCGCCGTCAGCCATTGGGCATTCCCTTCAAGTTAGAACACATCAAATATTTAACGGCTGCCTCACACCCAACAAATGCCCTTTACGAACTCTAAACAACCTCGCTCATATGCGCCGTTATACTTACCAACAACAATCTTTTACTTACTGTATGCAGAGTCGCAAAAATGTAGTTTGAATACATTAAGCATTAAAAAAATTTAATACTTTCATTACACATTAAAAAATTAATGATTAATGAGTAAAACCCTTATATTACACACTAAAAAAAATGTGTAACGAAAGATAAAACTGTTTTTATAAAACAAATTGTAGATAATTTATTATATAATATTTTGGCATCAAAATTGTCAAACATATTCTTCTTTTATTAGGTTATACCATTAAATAAAAAAAAACGCAAGACATATTTTATAAAAGTAGAGATAATTTTAATATTTGACAGGTGATAAATCTTTTTTTGTCCCGTCCACACCTTTCAATTATTGCAATTATCTCTTTTATAAATTATTTCTTGCGTTTTTTTTCTATTTTATGTATAACCTAATAAAAGAAGAATATTTTTGACAATTTTGATGCCAAAATATTATATAATAAATTATCTACAATTTTTTTTATAAAAACAGTTTTGAAATTCGTGCTTCAAATATAGAAGTATTAAGGGAAATGGAAAAAGAATACTGTGATAAAGACTTAAATATAATCATAAGATCTGGATATCATGATACAAAAAGTTCAAGAACCAAAATAGGACAAAAACGAATATTGACTGGTGCCAGACTCTATAATGATATTGCAGAAGAGATCAAGAATACAAAGAACTACATAAGTTTTAAAAAACAATTTAAAAAATTCTTTATTGTAAACAAAAGACAAAACAATTTAATCTAATGTACATTTTTTTCCTTGTTTATTGCTGATATTTATATTATTTATACCATTTTTTTGCTGATAAAATTAACGCATAATAAGTAAAAAAAATTTTAACTCTAATTTGCCTTTACCAATCTTTATGAAATTTTGTATAAAAATACTCCAACTTATATATCAGTTTACGTGTTCGAGGGTTTTTCGAGAAAATATTTTTAAAGCCCTTTCATTTAATAATAAAAAAATTTCCAAAAAGTAACTTTTAGGGATTTTTTTATCTAAATAAAAAATATACTGTTAAAGACCGTATTTTTGTTAGTATATCCTGAAAATTTTGTACAAATCAAACGAACAGTAACGAAGATACATTGCTTCAAAGTCGGTAAAAATTACCCTTTTTTGATTATTTTGCTGAAAAGTGGTCATTTTTGACGACTTTGAAGCGCTGTATTTTTGTTACTGTTTGTTTTCAGGGTATACTAACAAAAATACGGTCTTTCACAGCATATTTTTTATTTACTCAAAAAAAAATTTCCTATAAAAGTTTTTTTTCGAGCGTTTTTTATTATTAAATAAAATAGCTTTAAGGATATTATCTCGAAAAACAAAATTTTGTAACTATTTGGATATTATCTTTAATATAAAAAAGTACCCATTAAAATCCCTTTCTGGTTAAGTTTGATATTTTTTTGACTACTTGTTCAAAAGATATCAAATTTTCAAAACAATCGCGTTTTTTGTATTTTTTGCTGCTAATTTCTTTAAAAATTACCTGTTACATCAGTGAAAAATGATCAGGGCTAGGGTTGATGGGGTGATTTTTTGTAAGGGGCATTTTACACCAAGTCTGACAGTTTCAAAAATGTTGATTTTATATTTATTTTATTTTTCGATATTTCAATAATTCAAAACAAAAGTTTAAAAGATGTGCCATGCAATGAAAATAAGTTCCTTGCCCACTAAAAATTAGTAATTTGGTACATTACTCATTAACATAAAAAATTGTAATTGAAAATTTCAAAATACTCATTACAAATTAAAAATGAGTAATTACTCATTGGAAAAAATGTAATAAGTAATTAACTTAATTTTCGTTAAAATTAAACACATTACTCATTATTTTAATAATGTGTGTTGAAACCATTGATGCATTAAAAAAATAATGCATTATTTGCAACTCTGACCGTAGGTACTATAGTTTTACTTACACAGACGTGTTTAGCACGAAGTCGGAGGTTTGGAAGCCAAGGGCGAAATTGTTCTTGGTCAGTTTGATATCGTTGACGTCGAAGGCGGCCTGGTAACCGGCCAACCAACCCTGATGACCCACCACGGCGGCCGCGTTGATAATCGGCTTGTCCTTGCTGATGTTGAAATCGGCGTTTATCGCCACCTTCTCCTGGCAGAAGGCCGTCTTGACGGTCCCCTTGGTCTCGCTGAAACGAAATCGAGTACAACGTGATGCGCAGCCTTCTCGGCCGATTCCGGTGCGCTACTCGGCCATTTCAAGCGGATGGACGGGACAAATCACAAAACTGTTTTTATAAAAAAAATTGTAGCTAATTTATTATATATTATTTTTGCATCAAAATTGTCAAAAAAATTCTTCTATTATTAGGGTATACATTAAATAAAAAAAATCGCAAGAAATATTTTATAAAAGTAGAGATAAGATCAATAATTGACAGGGATGGACAGGACAAGATAAATCTTTTTTTTGTCCCGTCCACACCTTTCCATTATTAAAATTACAGTGCTTGCAAATGCAAGTCCGACCGCACTGGAAAGGACGGCTGTTCAATACCCGCGTGAAAAGAACAAGGATAGAACGCCAAATAGAATTTGATTGGCCAGAGCCCCGGATGCGTGCGAATTGTAAGCGAGGTCAACTCTGGGCCAGAGTCTCTGGCTGCATTTAGACTAAATGATTTAGTGTTAAGCAAACTGCGTTGGAGTGGAGATGCACATTTTAATTTTCTTTTTAAATATTTTATACCCGAATCCTAAAAATAAAATGTTTTGATTTTTTTCCTTGAGAACTAGGGCAACAACAAAAATAGTATTCTTAATAAAAAAGATTTCTCAAATAAAAATAACTAAAAATAAAAATATGTCCCAAATACACTGTAATTTATTTGATTTGAAATATTTATTATTTCGCCTTATTTTGACTTAATATCAAAAAAGCACCCTAATTTTCAATCAATCGTAATCAGAATGAAGTATCTAAATTCAATAGTATGATTTACATGTATTTTTATATTTTATGAGATTTTCTGACATAAATGTTATTAGAATTTAATAAATAAACTTTTTAACTAAAAAAAATTGCAACAATCACATTTTTTTGATGAAATTGTACATAATGATTAAAATAAATTTTCGAATTCGAGTTTTTTTCGTTATTCATTATAATATTTTTTGCATTTTCTGAGAACATTTACCATAGTAATGTATATTTTTTACACCATCAGAAAGTAGAGATTTCAACAAACAAAAAGCACACCGACTTTTTGAAAAAAGCTGATATTTTGATGCGAGAATTTTCGATTGAAAATTAGGGTGCTTTTTTGATATTAAGTCAAAATAAGGCGAAATAATAAATATTTCAAATCAAATAAATTACAGTGTATTTGGGACATAAAAAGGTAAGTTTTCACCAAATTTCGTGGAAAAAATTTTTTTTTTGAAAAAGATAAAAATAAAAAACCAAAAACTTGGTTTTTTGAATTTTTCCCATAAATTTGGAGGTTATGTAAAAAAATTGTAATTACAAAAGTTGTAGATCCTTTTATTACCTACAACTTTGCCATTTAACTTTTTTCCATAGGACTTGTAGTTTTACCGGAAATCGAGATAAACCATTTTTTACCCTTAAAACCCCCCCTCCCACTTCCCAAAGTCAGATCGCCCGTAATTTATTTTTCCTTTTATTTTTATTATATTCTTCTCCTTTTCCAATGGGTTTCATCCTACTTTTATTTTTTTTGGTTTCAAAAATTATCGACCCTGGTCTAATAAAACTCTAAAAATAAATAAACTGAAAAATTAAATTAAATGTTCGAACAAGCAATTATTAACGGTTCGTCGAATTGTTTCTCTGTTTGGTCTGGCCTCGAACATTCCCGCAAATAATCTTTGAATTTCTCGTTCAGAATTACCAGCAAAATGCCAGATTAAAATCTGAACTTTTTGTTCCAACGTGTACCTACATTTTTTAATTAAATAATCTTTTTTACTAAAATTACTACCTCTTGGCAAGAGGCTCTTGCTGGCACCACTGCAGTTCTCGTTCTGATATCCTCGACGAGGATTCCTCGTGTCAAGCACGCTGCGAGGTGCGCGATGGGTATGCGTTGTCGTAGCCTGCCAGCTGGCCAATCAAATTCTATTTGGCGTTCTATCCTTGTTCTTTTCACGCGGGTATTGAACAGCCGTCCTTTCCAGTGTGGTCGGACTTGGATTTGCAAGCACTGTATATCTACTTTCATAATATATTTCTTGAGTTTTTTTTTATTTAATGTATAACCTAATAAAAGAAGAATATTTTTGACAATTTTGATGCCAAAATATTATATAATAAATAATCTACAATTTTTTTTATAAAAACAGTTTTGTAATTCGTGCGTTTCGCGCGCTTGAAATGGCCGTACTGCGCAGCACCGTCGCGCTTACCCGGTGGGCGGGCTGAAGGTGACGTTTCCGGAGGTCTTCAGGCCGGTGACGAAGTAGTCGGCCACGCAGACCTCCGTGAAGAGGTTGTTGTCGGTGGTCCACCTCTCGGTGAAGGTCACGTTCGGGTCCTTGACCTTGTATTTGGTTTCCAAGGCGCCGAAAACCTTGCCGCTGTCCTGGTTGCTGTTGCCGCCGGTGCTGAGCTCGACGCCGCCGGCCGTCTTCGTTTTACAGTCGAGTTTCAGCAGGCCAAAGTGGTAGCCCTTGCTGAAAACGTCCGCGGCCTTCTTGCCCAAGTCTGAGTAGCATGGAGGAGCCATCTAAATCATAGACCAGGGTCGATAATTTTTTAAACCAAAAAAAATAACAGTAGGATGAAACCCATTGGAAAAGGAGAAGAATATAATAAAAATGAAAGGAAAAATAAATTACGGGCGATCTGACTTCGGGAAGTGGGAGGGGGGGGGGGGTTTAAGGGTAAAAAATGGTTTATCTCGATTTCCGGCAAAACTACAAGTCCTATGGAAAAAAGTTAAATGGCAAAGTTGTAGGTAATAAAAAGATCTACAACTTTTGTATTTACAATTTTTTCACATAACCTCAAAATTTATGTGAAAAATTCAAAAACCAAGTTTTTGGTTTTTTATTTTTATCTTTTTCAAAAAAAAAAAAAAATTTCCACGAAATTTGATGAAAACTTACCTTTTTATGTCCCAAATACACTGTAATTTATTTGATTTGAAATATTTATTATTTCGCCTTATTTTGACTTAATATCAAAAAAGCACCCTAATTTTCAATCGAAAATTCTCGCGTCAAAATATCAGCTTTTTTCAAAAAGTCGGTGTGCTTTTTGTTTGTTGAAATCTCTACTTTCTGATGGTGTAAAAAAAATATACATTACTATGGTAAATGTTCTCAGAAAATGCAAAAAATATTATAATGAATAACGAAAAAAACTCGAATTCGAAAATTTATTTTAATCATTATGTACAATTTCATCAAAAAAATGTGATTGTTGCAATTTTTTTTAGTTAAAAAGTTTATTTATTAAATTCTAATAACATTTATGTCAGAAAATCTCATAAAATATAAAAATACATGTAAATCAAACTATTGATCAATTCGAATTTAGATACTTCATTCTGATTACGTTATTCATTATAATATTTTTTGTATTTTCTGAGAACATTTACCATAGTAATGTATATTTTTTTTACACCATCAGAAAGTAGAGAGTTCATCGAACAAAAAGCACACCGACTTTTTGAAAAAAGCTGATATTTTGACGCGAGAATTTTCGATTGAAAATTAGGGTGCTTTTTTGATATTAAGTCAAAATAAGGCGAAATAATAAATATTTCAAATCAAATAAATTACAGTGTATTTGGGACATAAAAAGGTAAGTTTTCACCAAATTTCGTGGAAAATTTTTTTTTTTTGAAAAAGATAAAAATAAAAAAAAAAAAAACTTGGTTTTTTGAATTTTTCACATAAATTTTGAGGTTATGTGAAAAAATTGTAAATACAAAAGTTGTAGATCTTTTTATTACCTACAACTTTGACATTTAACTTTTTTCCATAGGACTTGTAGTTTTGCCGGAAATCGAGATAAACCATTTTTTACCCTTAAACCCCCCCCCTCCCACTTCCCGAACTCATATCGCCCGTAATTTATTTTTCCTTTAATTTTTATTATATTCCCCTCCTTTTCCAATGGGTTTCATCCTACTGTTATTTTTTTTCTCTTTTTACCATTTTTAAAGGCTTCTGCACTGGTCTATCAACCAGAAAAACGCGCTCAACTTTTTTTTGGAATAAATTCAAATTTTTACTGTATTAATAAACCTTACATAATTAAAAATTACTTTTGGCAAACGCAAGAAAAACACCAAATACCTTAACAATATTATCAATATTCTAGAAACGACTGCTTCAAACCAGAGTAGGAACACCACCAATTTAGTAATCTAATTTTATATTAAACTACATCGGAAAATAAAAATTGCGCGGTGCATTGAACTTGACATTGATATTGGCAAACGATTAAATCTATTAGTAGTACGAAAAACAAACAAAATCCACCCGGAAAAAATTAAATCGTAAAAATACCGCCCCATCTCTCGGTAAACGCCGAAGCCCTTTTCAGGGTCACGCCATGTCACTATAAAATGGCGACACGAGATCTCTTTTTAATAAAAAAAAAAATTAACACCGAAAAATAAAAAACCAAATTGTTGTAACAAAATTAACACACCTCATTACAACAATTCGATATACGTGTGGCTTTACCAGAGTTATGTAAGAGAAACCCCAGAAAAATCAATTTCAAAAATCTTACATAACATTTAAACAACCAAAATTAGTTCGTTGGGCTTAAAAACAATGGAATCAACTAAACAAATTCAATCTTCCGGCAACATAGGGGTTGTTTGAAGGTGTTATACAGGGTGCACGACTGTCACGAGCCAAAAATTAGGTTACCATTTTGTCCCCATTAAAATTTCAATCCTCACCTAAATTAGGGCAAGACTCACCTTTAATTCGTCGGGTTTAATTAATTAACTACTGGTTAAAACTGGCTAGGATGGCAATTACAGAGATTTTGCACCCCTACAGAACAGAACACACGTAAGACCACGAAACAAGAACCGTTCACCCGGCGAAATATTTCAAGACACCGTTCTCGCAGAGATAAAGAAGGTTTTCCGATGGATAAGAAAGGACGGGTATACAAAATGCGACGTTGCCGTGCCCGAGCCAAGTAAAAAATGGACCTATTTTTAGATTATCGTCGACATACACAATCGCGATTTGTTTATAATGCGTAAAAAGATTTATTAGCGCTTTGTCAAAGTTAATTACGCAAATTGCTCGAGAAATTGATAAAGTTAATTGAGAGCGTGTGGCAACTCAGCTTGCCTCCTGCAAAGTCTGCAAAAAATAATCAATTTATTCCTATGGTTCATTTTCTCTCACACAAGAGGGTTCAAGGTCAAGTTTTGTTTTAAAATTATTTAAGTTTACTTAAATCAGTGCCTTTATTTTGGGTTTACAACAAAAACTCTTCGATTTACAGAAATATGACAACAGTTTTGTAAAACTCATAAGGATTTAAGTAAAAATTGTTGATTTTAAAATGTTAGCTGCGGGACCTTCATCCATTATTTATTAAATTCTCCAACTAGGTATATAGAGCTACAAAAATCAAAAAATTGCTAAAAAACAAAACTTATGTACAATTTTCCTTCCCCAAGTTTATGTGGTATTTCTTGTATGTTGTATAAACGTTATATAAAAGTAACGCTGTACTTATTTTAATTTTAAATAGTGAATTATAAAATCGAAATTAATTGAGATCTAGAAACTAACTGACATAAAACTGAAGATCTATCAAAAGTGAAAGATTTCCATCAATTTCTATTTGAAGCGCTTTGTTCAGAGTGTTTTAAAACTTACGGAGGGGTCAGTGCAAACCACAATTGGTGGAGTTTCTTTTTTTGAGCCAAACCATCCCGTAGATTTTTTGCACGACTTGTTTTTTTCTTCCATGGCGGGACATATATACTTTTTCTCTTCATTGGGGGGCTTGCATGTATCCATATTGAAGTGATTTTTATATTTTTAAAGGTATTTTTTCCAGTGAATTTTTTGACATTTTAAAATACGAAATTTCATAATTTTGTTCAATTGTTCCGATATTTATTTATACTGCGAACGTCAGCAATTTTATGTTCCGTTTGCATTCACTGATTAATTTAAAAATTTGGGGGTATAATTGGGAAAAAAAAGCTAAAAACGCTTCACCGATACGGATAATTTAGATTTCGCGCGCTATTAATTGTTTAGGAACTTTTGATATTTACCTGGCAGCCATGCAGCGCTTCTAAGGTCACGTGATCTGTCAAATTTGAGTATGTTTTGAATTGTTGTCTTTTTATAGGAGAGTTTGAATTTTTATTTAATATTATGTCGTTTTCTGATAAAGGTATTTAGCGTTTTAAGAAACTATGTATTACAAGCAACCAAATTAAATCAATTCCTGCCAAATTATACTGCGAACTTGCTAGTTTTAAACGTTTTTAAAAGCGTTTTGGTGTGCCCAAGCAAATTTTTGAATATGTGACAATTTGCGTTCGTAATTTTAAATTGATGAACACTTGAAATTGCCTTAATTAATCTAATTTAAACACAAATTGCTGGGATTTACTTCCCCATTCACTTAAAAACTCACCTATTGCTCAGATTAATCAAATTTTGTTTGTTTAGCTAATACTGAAGATGGAATTCTTGAAATTGATGGGACTTCTTTGAATGAAACAAACTTGACTGGACTCACATCCACTGATTTTCACACATTATCACAATTATCACAGGAATTAACACTAAACACAGAAATGGAGACTGATGGTAAGTACAAAAAAAACCTATCACATCAACATGACAACATTTAACAATTGTATTTTGCAACAATTAAACACCTTAGTTTCATAGATAAAAGAATGTAGTGCTAACATATAAACTACATAATAAGTTTTTGCACAATTTACAATACAATAATAAAAATAAACTGAACATTTGACTCCCAAAACAGAGTTGGTGGTTGAGTCCCAAGGTGAGGATGTAGTGCACGAAGAGGAAGTACAAACTGAAATTGGCGGAGAAGAAATAGAAATAGAAACAGAATTAGAAGCAGAAAATGCTGTTGCTACGATAGCAATTACCGAAGATGCTACAGCTGACACTAAAAAGGCAGTGGTGCCACCTTTAAGACCACTCACTATAGCCCCCAAACCAGCCAAAATCCCTGTTACGATGAAACCTCTAGGGGGTGGGCAACAGCTATTACTTTTGCAAGGTATTTAATACAACATTTTGTAAATTTACACTTTTGCAGCTGTAAATGTAAATTTTTATTGTAAATTTACATATTTTATTATTTAGGTTCTGGTTCTGGTACTCAGGCAATTAAATTGGTTTCTCCTCAAGGTCAGGAGTTAAGTTTGGCCAATTTGTCACTGACCAGACCGGTTACCATTAAACCGGCCATAAAGACTATTACTTCTCAGGGTAATATTTCTTTGGTGCAACAAAAGCCTGTGGTCATGAAGAAAATTTTGACTACCGGGCAAAAAATACAGAAACCATTGGCTACCCTACAAGGAAAACAGGTAGGAAAATTACAATTTTTATTAGTTCAGTATTTTAGTAAAGTTACATATTTTAAGTCTAAAACCCTAAATAAAGCAGCATTACACTTTTACAGATTTATTAAAATAGTAAAAAAACAAAAAAGGAGACACCTCTATTTTTGTGTATAAATTTTTTTATACAACCCTATAAAAGTTTTTGTTTTCTGTAAAAACGAGAAAAATTAACGTTTTGAAAAAAAAAATACGAAAACAGGAGTTTTTTTTAAATCTTAAAATATGCAATTTTAAGAAAAATTTCATAGGAACGGTTTTAGAAAAAATTAAATTTTCAAAAAAGAAAACAGGTGGGAAAATTACACTTTTTTGTATTACAGTCTTTTAGTAAAATTACATATTTTAAGTCTAAAAAATCTTTAAAAAAAAGCAGCATTACACTTTTACAGATGTGTGCAATTAAAATAGTAAAAACGAAAAAAGATACACTTCTTATTTTTGTGTATACATTAGGGTGGTTGTTAAAAAATTATTTTTTTTAGACGCCCTCTTGTAAGTTTTTGTTTTGTGTAAAAAAACGGGTGAAATTAAAGAATTAAGTTAATTTTTCGCAGTTTTTTAATCTCAAAATATGCAATTTTAAGAAAAATTTCATAAAAATGGTTTAAAAAAAATTAAATTTGTTACAAAAAGTGCCCCATCCGTTTTTTCATCAAATCTGTATTTAAAAAGCTATTACAATTTAATAATAGTGTCACTATGATTAGAATTAAGCAGCCACTGATCAATCAATTTGAAAAAAAATTGTGTTTACTCATTCATGAATGATTCTGTGAAATATCTATAGGTCCACATTTTATGGAATAAAATGCATTGGACACTTTTTGTAGAAAAAGTATTTTTTTCTTAACTTTTCAATGAATTTTTCATTAAAATTGTATACTTTATTAGATATTTACAAAAAAACTACCGTTTTTATCATTAGGGCTTTTTAGCAAATTTACATGATTTTATTTAAAAATTGTATACAAACAACTAAAGATGAATTTTCGTAAATCAAAAAATTCTATGTAACTTTTTGGTAAAATTACTAATTGTTAATGTAAAATAACACTGGTTTGTGATGAAAAAGTTTTGTGAATACTTTCATATAAAACGTACTCTCTAAAAATGAATTAGTCAAAAATGACTAATTGCCATGGCGAAAAAGCAGCCACTAATAATTCTCGTCAATAGCAATTTGTATCCCGAACATTTAGCAGTCAATTTCTATGTAAAATTGTCCCCTGAACCCGAAAACGTCGTCAAAAGTAAAAAAAGTAGAACAGTTTTTGAGATATAGTCAATTTTCATTTAATATGGAATTGACTATATCTCAAAAACTGTTCTACTTTCATAATTTTTGACGGAATTTTCGGATTCAGGGGATAATTTTACATAATAATTGGCTGTTAAATTTTGGGATACCATGGTATCCCATAGTTAACCATGGTACCAAAGCTAATTCATTTTAATTTTTAGAGTATAGATTTTGACCCAGTTATTCCAAATATAATCTTTTTTAAACAGATCACATCACAAATCTTTTTTATTCCCAAAAAAGGTGAATGATCAAGTTATAAAATCTCCCCTAGAAATAACAGGAAAATATTTTTTTTGTTTTTTCTATGTGTAGCCACTTTTTTATATAAATGACTAATCATTCTCAAAGAGCATTACATTTTCTACAAAAAATTTCATTGGGTCAAGTTATATTTTACTACTAAAATACTTATTATTATAGGTTAAAAAGTTAAAAAAGAAATTTTATACTACTATGCTCCACAACCAAAAGTCCCTCCTTGACATTTGAATACAAAAACCGCCATCTGGTGGCGCTCGATAGTAATATTGAACCGTTGAACTGTTTAACTTGAAGTAAACCATAAATTTTTATTTTAAAAACCGTTTATTAAGTATTTAATGAAATCCATAATATTTCAATAAATAAAAAAATCTTTAAACTAAATAGAAAATTTTTAAAATTAAAATATATATTTACAAAATAATTTTTTTGGCAATTGCTCCATTTTGACCTTATAAATTAAAACTTTCTACTAAATTCTTTGGCGGTATTTTGTCTGTAATAAAAGTTCTAAAATTTGTAAAATTAAAAATGCACCTACTTACTTATTTTAATTGAACAACCATTTAGGTATTATTATTATTTTTTATGTGGTATAACACACATTAAAACTATAGGAATTACACTGGGCGTCATTTTTAAAATTGGCGTTAACCAAAGGAAAATTAAAGTTTTATATACAGAAAACATTTGCCAATTTAATGTTTTTTTAAAGTCCATTAACTTGGTTTATTAAAACATTCCTGTAAAGGCACACTACAAGAAATAAAATGAAGTGATTCTGTAAATTTACACTTTTAACTGTAGTTTAATATTTTGTGTATTAGGGGCAACAATACATGGTAGTTCAAAAATCCGACCAAACTCAACAGTTAAAATTAATTCAGGGCACTTCGATACAAACCCTGCCGAGCCCCACAAAAACGATAACATTCCAGCAAGCTCAAGAGATGGGGCTTCTGAGCACGAAAATGCTGCCGACGCAGGGGGCGGGCGCCAAAACCGCCGTCCTCTTCAACCAGAAGCAGCAAAAGACGATCAAGATAGTGCCGCAGGCGGGCGGCGGCGGCGGGCAGACCATCGGGACGGTGACGGCGGGCGGCAAGACGATAGCGCTGAAGTCGCCGCCGCCGGCCAAGATTCTGCCCGCCGCCGCGGTGGCGGGCGGCAAGGCGCAGCAGAGGATCGTGTTCAAGACGGGCGGCGGCGGACAGGCGGTCCTGCCGGCCGGACAGATCATCCAGCTGGCCGGGAACCAGAGCCTCAATTCCGGTCAGCTGCATCAGATCAACATACCTGGAAAAGGGGTGAGTTGTAAAAATTTTTCATCTAAAAATCTTAAAACCAGAAACTTCAAGCTTCAAATTGCTTTTTTTACGGCCCCAATACGACCATTTTTAACAAAGATACAGCTATCCGAAAAATCGCAAAAAATTGTATCCTTTAATTTTTTCCAGTAGTGTAGAAGAAGTTTTACATTGTTATTGGTTTCTTATGTGGATTTTTTAGTCTCGGTAACAATTTCAATAGTAAAAAATATATTCTACATTTCACTTTATTATTAATATACATTTTACTCAACATTTCATTTTGAAAAATTACTCAATTTTTTAAGATTGATGTTATTTATTGACATAACATAATTTGCTTTATTGTAGCGAATTTGAAAAAAAACGAAAAAAAACGGTTTTATCTAGTTTTTTCCTTGTTTTTTTTTTCACATCTGAAAAAAAAACCGTTTTTTACATCTCTAGTTAGTAGGAGAATAGGGTTGGAAATTGAGGGTAAATTTAACTATAATATATTAAGGTTTGGTACTTAACTTAATATTAATATTGACAGTTTGTTTTTTAAGGATTTTAAAATATTGTCAAAATTACAAATTAATAATTTAAAATTATAAAATTAAAACTTTTACCTTAAAATAACGATTTAAGGGATGGAGATTTAGCATAGAAAAACCGGCCACACGATAAAAAGTATAAGTATGGTTTTTGAGATATTCAATTAAAATAGTGCCAATTTACAAAAAGTTGTATATCTCAAAAGGTAGAAAAGCTAAAATGTTGAAATTTCGAATAATCTTAAAAATTATTTTTATTATTTTCTTCTATAAATTTAAATATTTTATCTACAGTAGCTTAAAGCTAAAAGATTATTATTAGTTATTCAATTAAAATAGTTTTGCGCCAATTTGTAAAAAATTATGTATCAAAAAGTTGATAAGCTAAAATGTTTATTATTGCCTTCTCTAAATTTAAATACTTTATCTAGGGTACAATAGTTTTTAAGATATTTGCGATTTAAAACAGTTGGGCGCCAATGGGTAAAAAGTTGTACATCCTAAAAACTGAAAAATTATATAACTCAAAAAGTGGACAAGATTAAATTTTGAATAATCATAGAAAGTATTTTTACAATTGTAATTTGAAGTCAATTTTTTGTTTTGTTTTTAAAGATGTCTAAGCTTAGAATTCAGTTATATCCCTGGGATACCAAGTAAAATGTACCATTTCCTATTTTTCTCTCTACATAACCACATTTAGCTTCTAGGGTCCTCATATGTTATCTACAATAGTTTTTTGAGATAATTACGATTTAAAATGGTTGGGCGCCAATTGGTGAAAAGTGGAAAAGCTAAAATATAAAATTAGGGAGAAAAGAAGAAAATATTCTTATAGTTGTCTTAAAATTTTAATATTTTATCTAAAATGGTTTTTGAGATATTCAATTAAAATAGTTCTTCAATTTACACAAAGATCTATAAGTATCTCAAGAAGTGGTCAAGCTAAAATGTTAAAATTTGGAGTATTCTTGTTGTAAATATTTTATTTACAATATATTGTAAATAAAATATTTAAATATTCATACTATAGTTTTTGAGATATTACCAATTTAAAATAAAAATAAAATGTAAAAATTGGAAGAAAATTAGGAAATATTTGTATAGTTATCTTTATATTTTAATATTCTATCTACCAGATATTCAATTAAAATAGTTGGTAAAAAGTTGTATATCTTAAAATGGCTAAAATGAAAAATTTGGAAGAAAAGTAGAAAATATTATTCCTATTTCTATAAAATTTCAAACTATTTGTTTATTTTTAGAATTTTCAAAATTTCAAAACTATTTAAAATATTCTACCCAAAAACTTCTTGTTGAAATTGAAACAATTAACACGCATTGAAATTATTTAAATGTTTTCTTTACTCTGTAGATGCAATATATTAAATTCGTAACCACCAGCAACGCAGAAGGCAGTGGTACCACCATAAACACAATAAAAACCACCACACAAGCAATGGCGGGTAACCAAATGATTCTATCGGAATTAAAGGTATTTCATTCGCCAACGATAAAACACGGACTATATTTAAAAAATAAACCCGTTTCTTCCAGCCTGTAATAGCACCGAAAACGCTAAAAACCATCCCGCAAAAAATCAGCACGGGGAGCGGCGGTCAGCAAATGGTCGTCACTTATACCGTCCCGCAGATGCAAAAAGTGGCGATACCGCAGCGCCACGCCGCCGCTTCTCAAGCCTCGTCCGCTCCCAAGCCCGCCTCCGCGGTGGTGAACGACGCGGGGGCGGCGGCCGTCTCCAGCGCCGCCGCCACCGCCGACAGCATGGAGCCCAACGGGATCAGACCCAGGTGAGCCGTTCGTCAAGAATGCCTTTTTTTGCTTGAATTTCTTTTGTTCACCTGTAGAACATTTTGTATCTTTTTACGAGTGACATTTTTTCTTGAAAATGCGATAACTTGACCAAAAACGTTTCGATCCTTGGAATTTTTTTGTTAAATTCTAGGTAAATGTTTACCGCATACAAAAAAAATATAAAAAAATTAAGTGAATTTACTCAATTTTTTTTTTAATTGTTTGTACTAAAAAAGACAATAAAATAGAGGTCAAAATTTTAAAATTGAATTTGAATTTGAATTTTTTTTTTTTTAATTAAATTGAAATTAATTTTTTTTACTTTATATTTTTTTGTTTGAAGTTAACTGTTTTATTTTAACGGTCCCAAAAAATTTAAAAGTGTGGTTATGTAGGTACTAAAAAATACTTTTTTTCTACGTATAAAGAAAATTGGAAAATTGATCAGTAAACAGGGAAAAACAAAAAGTTTATTTTTTTTTCAATGGTTCACCCTATATATGTATTTATTTTTCGATTCCTTGTAAAATTCTAAGCATATTTCATATAACATACCATATACCTAAATTCAACCGTTTCTGAAATATTTAAATTATTTTTAAGATAATAATTTGAAATAGTTTGTCTTTCTCTATCTGGGTGCTCCATTTTTACTTATTTAACATGACATATTGACATAATGTCACTAAAGTAATTTATTTTCAATAAAAATTTTGATATACTGAGGCTTCTTGATTTTTAACAGTTTAAAAAAAATAAACTTTCTGTTTTTCCCTGTATACTGATCAATTTTCCAATTTTCGTTATAGGTAGAAAAAAAGTATTTTTTAGTAACTACATAACCACACTTTTAAATTTTTTGGAACCCTTGAAATAAAAAAGTTAAAGGAGGCGACATTATAGGGGATCACCCTGTACATACATAAAATATTTATAAAAAAATCTACTTACTGAGATATTACACTTCACGGTGGATAGGTTTTTAAATAGCAAATTAATGAACTTACTTTTAAATTATAAAACAGCAACACTTTCATTTGCATATAAATTCTACTGACCTTCAGGAATCACAAACGCATCTATAATGTCGTAAACAGAGGTTTTTGCTTACCGTAATCACGGGTGACTTTGCACCCCGCGGGTGACTTTAACCCATTTATGAAAAATCTTTTCGCGCTCGATAAAATTAACATTTATAATTTGTTGGTCTAAACCTGTCAATTGAGCGATTCTATTGAATTTATATTACAGGAAAATCAGTGTTTTAAAGAAAGAAATGGGATTTATTACACTTTAAAATTGTATATATCGCATCAGTGCAAAACTCTTCAATCCATTGGAATGATGATCCTTGGTTAAAACTACAGGTCGATTTTTTATTTTTTTATCGGTAATCCCTTGCAATAGATATATGTCGCTGCTAACACGTGTCTAATAAAAATAAAATATAATATTGAATTTATTTTATACAGAAAATACACTGTGAGACAAAGTAACCCGCAACCAGGGGGTAACTTTGCACTCCCAGTTTTTAATTTTTATTTTTGAAACTCAGCCCTATGTAATAATATAACATAGTTATTATGAAAGAGCAACTCAGGGCTCAAATTTTGGTATACAAAATTTAATGTTTATGATTGTTAAAACCACAAAAATTTTAAGCTTAAGTTTGAAAGTGAGCTAAAGCCACCCGTGTTTACGGTATTTAAAATGATTCTCGGCAAATATCACGTAATTTTTTTTTCCGAAAGAAAGAGTGTAAAATTGCGAGAAAACTGGGTTAAATTAAGTAAACAATAATTGTTTACTTAATTTATAATTATTATAAGCAAATTGTTTTTTTTAATAAATCTAATGGAATCAAGCACAGATTAACTTATTTACATTAAAACCATGCATTTTAAAAAATCTCACGTGAGATTAAGGGGGGGGAGAGAGGGGGTCGAGCAAAATCTCACATCTCACCAAGGGGAGGGGGGAGTCGAAAAATCGCCAAAATTGTCTCACGTAATGAATGAACGGCCCCTTATCTAGTGTCATGTGACCTTTATAAAGTCTAATTTTGAACTTTTTGGCATATTTAACATATTTTTGTCACTTCCGGTTTCACCGGAAATGGTCTTAACTTTTTATTTTGGAATGAAACACCCTTTGCATTTTTACATATTTCGATTTAAAATAAAATTCTGAATACTTACATCTGTCATTTCTCAATTTTTGACAGGTCAAATCATTTTTATTTTTTATTTAAATTTCTATATCCTTTCTATGCCTTGAATTCATGTTGGGCCAAGTAGTCTGGAAAAAATACCTTTTAACTCCACGCGGTCTATAATTTAAACTTTATTGTTGTCAACATTCGATAAAGAAATACCTTGTTATGGCCTAGGCCGATAAAAAATTTTATGAGGCAAGTAATTAGTTCGATTTTTTCTCGCTAGGGGTATTGTTTTGACCAATTAATCCTTTTCTAAGAAATTAACGTACTAAACTGATTTAATTTATTTATAATAACCACTAATTTATTGTTTTACTGTTAATGTTTAATATTTTTTATTAAATTATTGTAAAATTTAATATGAAAAATAAAACAAAAAGTGAGGTTAGGCAACCAAGAAAACGCACGATTTTTTTCTACGATTTAAATTATCTTTTAGTTTTAATTTGCTTTAGGTTTTCAGTGAAATTAAATGTTAAACAGCTTAAACATTCCAAACTACCTATTTTTTAATTAAAAATCCAAACAAATTAAAATTACATACCTACCTATTTATTAAACAGTTAATTGAATTCAATGTAATAGCAAAAATCCATTTCTACTTAAATCATGTTGCTAGGTTTTGTCAAATTATTACTGCTTCTAAAAGCAATAACAATTATTGTACATTTAATGTAATCTTTAGCTAATAAATAAATGAGATTCTAAAAAAGTGAGGTTAGGCCGCTTTGATGTTGAATTAAATTGACCTATATAAATTGCTTTGAAGATAAAATGTTGTATGCCATTCGGCCAAGAAGTGCCTTTTTGTGCTTCGCTCAATTGAGCTTAGCACAAAAAGCCTTACTTCTTAACCTAATGACATAAATAACTTTTAATCTTTTTGTGCAATGCTGGTTTTTTGTTGAAAAATACGTCGTACCCCTTTTTGCCTGGTTGATTTGAGATGGAAAGACCCCTTTATTTTATTGCCAACAAACTTTTTTTTCATCATTAGGAAACCTTGCAACTGCACGAAATCTCAGTGCCTGAAGCTGTACTGCGACTGCTTCGCGAACGGCGAGTTCTGCTACATGTGCAACTGCATGAACTGCTTCAACAACCTGGAGAACGAGGATCACCGCCAGAGAGCGATAAAAGCGTGCCTGGAACGCAACCCGCACGCCTTCCGGCCGAAGATCGGCAAGTCGAAGGACGCGGCGACGGGCGAGCAGGCCGTGCGGAAGCACACGAAGGGCTGCAACTGCAAACGGTCCGGCTGTCTGAAGAATTATTGCGAGTGCTATGAGGTAAGCGAATTGCAGGAAGACTGCCAGAGTTGGGGAGTTGAAATTTGGAGGCAATGTAAATAATAATGTGTTTATTAACGTGCCCGAATTACAACGTTCTAGCTTTAATAGTTTTTGAGGATTTGTACGATATAAAATGGTGTCCGCCAATTACAAAAATTGAAATCTTTAAAAAACTGGAAAAGCTATAATGTTGAAATTAGGTATAGTTACTAAAAATACTCTTATTATTGTTATTTCCAAATTGAAATATTTTATCTACAATAGTTTTTAATATATTTGCGGTTTAAAATAGTGGGCGCTAATTGGTAAAAAGTTGTATATCCAAAAAACTGGACAAGCTTAAATTTAAAAAAAATGTAGAAAATCTGTGGGTAAAAGGCATAAGGGGATAAGTCAAAATAAGCAATTTTTCAATAGTCTTTAACGTGTTCGCATTAATTCAGGAAATATACTATATTTATGTTTAGCAGGTATACGCTTTTGTTAGCATAGGACATGGGCTAACAAAAGGGTATACCCGCTAACCATAAATATGTTTCCTGAATTAATGCGAATACGTTTGAGGCTCTACTGAAAAATTGCTTTTTTTTACTTATCCCCTTATGCCTTTTACCCACAGAAATATTCTTATAGTTGTCTCCAAATTATAATATTCTATCTAAAAGAGTTTTTGAGATATTCAATTAAAGCAGTTTGGCGCCAATTTGTAAAAAAAATTATATCTCAATAAGTGGACAAGCCAAAATGTTGAAATTTCGAATAATCATAGAAAATATTTTTCTTATTGTCGTTTTATATTTCAAATAGTGGACAGGCTAAAATGTTAAAATTTGGAATAATCATAAAAAATATTTTTCTTAATGTCGTCTCCAAATTTATTTATTTTATCTACAATAGTTTTTAAGATTTAATGATTTAAAATAGTTGGGCGCCAATTGGTTAAAAGTTGTATATCTTAATAAATGGAAAGTAGAAAATATTTTTTCTTACTACCTCGGCTGAAAATACGTTGTTTCGTCCCCGATTCCACGTCAGAAAGTTTACGTTTGATGCATTGGTCAAACTATACGTATTTTCGGCCGAGGTAGTAAGAAAATGTAATTTTCTTACTACCTCGGCTGAAAATACGTTGTTTCGTCCCCGATTCCACCTCCACCGCCCTCTATAATATCGCTCGTGCCGCAAATGTCGGGGCGGGCATCAATATGTTTCGATATACACATTTAATTTTTTCCCGTATTTTCGGCCGGGTAGCAAGAAAAATAGTATACACTACACGGGCAGAAAGTGTGAGAGTCCTGAACTGCGCGCCATGATGCCATCATGGCGCGCAGTGCAGGAATCTCACACTTTCTGCTCTTGTAGTGTAATATACTATTAAAGTTGTCTCCAAATTTTAACAGTCTATCTAAAATGGTTGTTGAGATATTAAATTAAAATAGTTGGGCCAAAATGTTGAAATTTCTAATAATCATGAAATTTTTTTTGTCGTCTTCAAATTTAAATATTTTAACTACAAATTGTAGACGACAATAGTTTTTGAGATATTTACGATTTAAAATAGTGGGCGCCAATGGGTATATTAGAAACTAACATTCAAATTTTGAAAAAAGTAGAAAATATTATAGTTGTCACCAAATTTTAACATTCTATCCACAATGGATTTTGAGATATTTAATTAAAATAGTTAGGCGCCAATTTGTAAAAAGTTGTATATCTTAAAAACTGGACAAGCTAAAATATTGAAATTTTGAGATATCATAGAAAATAGTTTTCTTATAATAAGAAAATTATTTTCCATAATATCTCAAAATTTCAACATTTTAGCTTGTCCAGTTTTTAAGATATACAACTTTTTACAAATTGGCGCCCAACTATTTTAATTAAATATCTCAAAATCCATAATTGTCGTCTCCAAATGATTCTCTTTTATCTACAAAAGTTTTTTACAAGATATTTACAATTTAAAATAGTTGGGCGCCAATTGGTAAAAAGTTGTATATCTTAATAACTGGTTAAGCTGAAATATAAAATTTGTAAGGAAAGTAGAAAAGTAGAACATATTTTTATTATTTTTATAGTTTTTATAGTCTCCAAATTTTAACATTCTATCTACAATGGTTGTTGAGATAGATATTTGCGTATATCTTTAAAACTGCATGAGCTAAAATGTAAAATTTAGAAGAAAAATAGAAAATATTCTTATAGTTGTCTCTTAATTTTAACATTATATGCACAAAAGTTTTTGAGATATTCAATTAAAATAGTTGGGCGCCAATTTGTTAAAGTTGGATATCTTAAAAAGTGGACCAGCTAGAATGTTAAAATTTAAAGTAATCGTAGAAAATGGTTTTTTATTATTGTCGTCTTAAAATTATAATATTTTATCTACAAGAGTTTTTGAGATATTTACAATTTAAAATAGTTGGGCGCCAATTGGTAAAAATTGTATATCCTAAAAACTGGACAAGCTAAAAATGGTAAAAAAGCAATGAAGAGAATATTGTTTTGACTACAATATTTTTTAAGATATTTATGTCAATTTATAAAAAGTTTCTTAAAATCTTATAAGTAAAAAAGTAAATTTGGTGGTAATATCTCCAATAACATTAAGGGTATGTTCCGTAAATCAACTTGGTTGGTTTGGTTTCGGTTAAGGTGTCCCGTAAATGAAAAATTCCTGAAAATTATGTAGTTAAGAAACGCGGTTCCTGAAAAATAGGTTAACTAATCGTTACCGAAACGACCGACGCTGTATGATCGGTTAAATCGGTTACCAGTGCTGCAAACCAAATGGAAACAGTGTTGCCCTAAACAAAATTACTGTTTTTTGTTGGTTATCTAACCTAAAAATTTAACACAGGAGCAGACTTCGCATACAAAATACGTTTTGTCCAAAAATAATTGAATTCAGTATATAGGGTGTTTAAGGTTTGTTTATGTAACTATAGAAATATTATTAAAAATATATGCAAGTTGTAGTTTTTGACACAAATAAAAGTTGGGTTATGTTTTTTTTAAATAAAGGTGTCCCGTAAATATGAACTAACCGAGAAAACCAGGAATTTATTTCAGTAACCAGACCGGTAACTCGTGTGTATTTACGGAACATATCCTAAAAGTCAAAATTTCAAATTTGACACATCTAAGAACTATAAAACCCAAAAATATTTTAAAATCCAACCTTTATAAATACTTTGGTTTTTGAGTTACAGCGAATTTTGTTTTTCAGGCCAAAATAGCTTGTTCAAGCAACTGCAAATGCGTGGGATGTCGAAACATCGAAGACACCATGGAAAAGAAGAACATAAGAATAACAAGTATAATTGACAGTTGCATGAGCAACACCCAGCCAATGAACAAAATGATTGTCAATAAAGACCCGGCCATGTTTAGACCGAGAAGAAGCTCCAGCAGCGGGTAAGTACAACATAACCTCAAACTTTGACGTTTCTACTTGTCAAAGTTGACAATAACGGTGCATTTGATCTACCCATGCAACGTTGCCGCATCCCTATAAACATATTTTTTGTTTAGTAAACAACCCATCAACTTTATTACCGAAGACGTCATAGAAGCGACCTGTCAATGTTTGCTGACGATTTCCGACAGCGCAGAATCGAACATGCAGGAAGAAGAGTTGACGAAACGTCAAATAATCGAAGAGTTTGGCAGATGTTTGACGGAAATCATAGAGTGTTCGAGTAGTAGGCATTTAAATTAGAGTGTTTTTGTTTTGTGTGTGACTGTATTTAAGTATCAATTTAGGTTAGGCGAAATTTTATGGCAAAACGTTTTTATATGTCAATGGTGTGTAATATACAAAATAAAAGTTATTTTATGTCAAATTGTGTTTTTTCTCTTAACCTTACCTTTTTGCCAGAAGAGACCGTGTATGGCACTTAATGTAAAAACTGCCTGTTTAATGGTAAAATTGCAAAATAACAATAAAAAGATTGGCATAATATATTATTATTATTAACTAAAAAGACTACAAAATATAAAAAGGTAAATATGGGGCGCCGTTTTATTTTTTATTTAAAAATGATTTTTATGTGTAAACACTTAAGTGATATTTTCAATTAGACAACAAATATCATATAAGAATTTTTATTTTGCGAATTAAAAATATCAGTAGATATTTAAAAATTTAGTGAATTTAAAATATCTGTTTCTTATATTTGTATTTTTTAGTTAACACATATTTTTAAATTAAATTCAAATTAATAACATCATAGAAGAAATTTTTAAATGCATTAAAAATATCATAGGAGATATTTTTAATTCATTTTAATTTTTATTTTTAATTTAAGCAGATATTTTTAATCGAATGTGATATTTTTAATTTAGATTGAAAGTTTGGTATTCCAAAATAATTCTCTAGGTAGATCCCTGCACAATCACTGGGATCCATATACTTGGAGTGGGTTGGTTTTTGACAAAAACTTTTTGTGGCGTTTGGAATAACAGGGTTATCCAAACTCTCAGTCGGAATTAAAAATATCACGTATCTAAAAATGTGTTTAGCAAAAAAATACAAATAAAAAGCGAATATTTTAAATTAACTAAATAAAAAATATCTGTTTGGCATACAAATTAAATCTTGTGTTTAACAAAAAAAATACAAAAACAAGAAACATATATTTTAAATTCACTAAATTAAAAATATCAGCTTGGCATAAAAATTAAATATAATTTAAAAATGTTTGCTATGCACAAAGTTTAACGGCGGCCATTTTTGTTGTTTAAAATTCTTGTGCTTTCGGTTTGTGCTGTTTATACAGCATCGTTTTAAACGTTGTGTTTCTTACAGAGACACTTGTAAACTTTAAAAGAGGCTTTAACGTGCTAAGGGCAAACAGCAAAAATGGCCGCCGTTAAACTCTGTGTGTGATTTTTAGTATGCACAAAACGAGATAGAACAGAACTTGTTGTGTGGATTGTGGCTATGATGTTAGTAACTCGCAGAATAAAAATTCTTATGTGATATTTTTTATCTAATTGAAACTATCACTTTAGTGTTAACACTTAAAAATAATTCTTGAATAAAAAATAAAACGGCGCCCCATAAGGTAAACGTGACAACGTCGAAATAATAAAATGAGGTTAGATGCGATCTGTCAAAATCGAAGCATAACAAATTAAGAAAAAAACTATAAATAAACTGCTACACTAAAGAAACAGATGTGGAATATGGGTCCTTATTGAAAATTTACATTCATTTTCGACTGTGCATTTAAAAATATGAGAAATGTATCAAAACTTCAACCACAGTATTTTCAACAACCTTATTAAAGTAGAAGATAATGATATTGATATGGAACCGGTGCAATTTTACGGTTGTAACGATAATTATAGCAGTGATACAAGAGTAAGCAACAATGAGGCTGAAATGGAGAAAAAAGTAAGTTGCATGCAAAATAAATGTTGTTTTAACTGTTTATTTTGTAGATTGAGGAGGTCAAAAAGAAAAAACCAGCATCACAGACTTGCAAAATATGCAATAAAGTGCTTTCATCGCCTGCAAGCTATTATGTACACTTAAAACAACACTCTGACAACAAACCTTACGAATGTCTATTCTGCGATGCCACATTTTGCAGAAGGGCCTACTTGGATGTAAGTTAACCCCAAAAAAATACAAAATAATCAATAAATATTGCAGGTGCACACCCGTACTCACACTGGTGAACGCCCCTTTGAGTGCAGTGTATGCAAAAAACGTTTCACGCAAAAATCCAGCCTAAATACCCACAAAAGAGTTCATACAGGTGAAAAACCTTACAGTTGCAAAATATGCAACAAGAACTTTGCTGCTAAAAGCTACTTACAGGTATAAAAACTCATATTTCTACATTTCTGGTAATCTACCTCTTATTTCAATTTGTTTCAGGCACACCAATGGTCGCACATGAAATATATAGGCATGACTTGCCCTGATTGCAATCAAATATTCAAAAACAAAAATCTTTACTTACAACATGTCAAAACTCATAGAATTGATAAGTCTTTGCCGTGCAATTACTGTCAAAAAGTCTTCACAAAAAACTCCTATCTTATAAGACATGTAAATAAGTTTCACAAATCCACTGCACAAAACAATGTAATTAAGAACTCCTTGGAGAATAATGGAAGGATGTTTTAATTTGTTATTTAAGTGCTCCATATAATACTGCCTTTGAACAGAAACACTAAACCATAGTTTTTTAGTCTAGTCTTAGAATATTTATTTTTTTACTAACATTTTATTAATAATAATTATTAATATTTAAGTTTGTAGACTGAATTAATCCCCTCAAGCCCTTTCTGTGCCATGTTATGTAGTTATTTAAATTTGTAATCAATATGTTACTCAATAAACTTAGATTCTTCCATAAAATTTGCTTTTATTTACTTAAAAAATCCATAATGGGTAAATTACGTGGGTGGAGTGCTTTATGTTACGTGTGGGGGTAGCTTTAGTTTGACAGCTTGACACGTCATTGACATATTATAGGCAGTGGTGACTTTTTCTGCGTTATTTGGGGTGCAAAGATATGAGTAAGGTTTGCTTTATTAATATACCGGCCCTTTTCTTGCTGTTTTGTTGCGTTTTGCTGTAAAAATGTTGAAATTTGGAGCGGTGTTTGAATTTGGCGCCATAGATGTCGCTAAGCTAGCTTCCTTGAATACCGTTCGTTTTGGCGCGCGCATGCCCATGTTGCCTCTTTTGGATTAGTTTCCATCTTGTACACATGTGAGTGCTATTTTTTTCATAAATTTTATTTAAATAATAGATACTACCTGAACGATTATTGTGTTAATTGTTGCTTTATTGCAGTTTGATTGTTGTAAGTGTTTTTCAGCACGTCGAACAATTGAATACCGGCTGTTTACGTTAAATTCTATTGGTTGTTTGACAGGGGCATGATTTTGCTATTCGTTCGCGCCATGTTGTATTAAATTTTCGAGGATTTTTGAAATAATCTCGTACAATACACTTGTTGAATAGAATTTGGCGTAAAAAGTGCAAAGTTTAGACCTTCATTCGCATAGTTCTCGTTTCGCTAGAGTGTTGTGTACGTAAGTTTTTGCACAATAATCGTTTTAGGTGACCACATGTTTGTGCCGCGTGTACACCGCTAAAACCCATTCGAATAACCCTATTTCTCTCTTATTTAGCTTGCAAGGTAAAACCTTAATCACACACACAACCATGGCTGATCTTGAAGACACCCAATTCCACACTGGAGACTCCGGTGCCTCTGCAACATACCCAATGCAATGCTCGGCCCTGCGTAAAAACGGTTTCGTCATGCTCAAAGCCAGACCCTGCAAGATTGTCGAAATGTCCACTTCCAAAACTGGCAAGCACGGACATGCTAAAGTTCACTTTGTAGGAATCGACATTTTCTCAGGTTAGTACCCCCAAAAACAAAAAGCGTTTGTGCTGCGTATTTCGCAAAATTCCGGTGTTTTTCAGTCATAAATCCAACAAGTGGGTAGGGTTTGTTTAAGCTATATGTTGTTAACAAAGACCTTAATATGCTTTAGACATGCAAATCAGCATTTCCATGAACAAGCATTATTTTAAATAGCATCCACAATTATTGCAATAGCATCAAATTGATTTGGTTTTTTTTTTAGTTTATTAGCTTTATCAAGAGTTCATACATATTAAGAAGAATATAAAAAACAAAAAATGACCTTGAATCATGACCTCATAAAAGAGTCATCAAATTATTTACTGTGTTTTGTAACTTTAGGTGTCTTTTTATTTGTATTTAGAGACCTTTATAAGGGAATTTTAAACCTAACCTTTATTTTTTTAAATGTCATAATTTGACACTTGTATTTTGATAAAGTTGGCTTAGAAATTACGTTTTTCCAAATCTAATTTAGTGACATTTTTTGTTCCATTCTCAACATTTTTATGTCAATATTAATAATATGAATGGCTTTAATAAGAAAATAGCAACCTTCTATGCTTAAATAAAATGGGTCTTTTATGTTGGTTAATACTTTAAGTGCCTTTGTTTTAAGGACCTATAGGTATAAATGAATTTTAAACCTAACCTTAAATAATTTTAAAATGTCATAATTTGACATTATAAAGTTGGCTTAGAAATGACAAATGTTCAAAATAAAAAATTACGTATTTATTCTTTAATTCTTAACATTTTATGGATTTTTTATGTCAATATTATTATTACAATTGTAATTCTAACTTGTTTTGCTTAAGTAAAAAGGGTTTTTATCTTAAATGTTTACCAATGAATGTGCCTTTAAATGAATTTTAAACCTAACCTTAATTTTTTTTAATGTCATAATTTGACACTTGTATTGTTATAAAGTTGGCTTAGAAATGAGAAGTGTTCCAAAATCAAAAATTACGATTTTTTGTTCAATTCTCAACATTGAATGGATTTAAAAAGAAAATAGCAAAATTCTAACTTGTTTTGTTTTGGGTTTTTTATGTTAAATGTTTACTAATTAAAGTGCCTTTTAATTTGTTTTAAAGACCGTTAAAAATACATTTTAAACCTAACCTTAAATATTTTTCAAATGTCATAATTTGACATTTGACAAATGTCATTTGTATCATTATAAAGTTGGCTTAGAAATGAGAAATGTTTCAAAATCTAAAATTTCCTAGGTATTTATTCTTTAATTCTTAACATTTTATGGATTTTTTATGTCAATATTATTATTATGATTGGTTTTAATAAGAAAATAGCAACATTCTAACTTGTTTTGCTTAAATAAAAAGGGTTTTTGTCTTAAATGTTTACCAATGAAATGAATGTTAACCTAACCTTAAATTATTTTTTTAATGTCATAATTTGACACTTGTATTGTTATAAAGTTGGCTTAGAAATGAGAAGTGTTCCAAAATCAAAAATTACGATTTTTTGTTCAATTCTCAACATTGAATGGATTTAAAAAGAAAATAGCAACATTCTAACTTGTTTTGCCTAAATAACATGGGTTTGTTGTATGTTAAATGTTTACCAACTTGAAGTGTCTTTTTATTTGGTTTAAAGAGACCTTTATAAATGAATATAAAACCTAACCTTAAATATTTTTCAAATGTCATAACTTGACACTTGTATTGTTATAAAAGTTGGCTTACAAATGACAAATGACAAAGTGTGTCCCAATAAAAAATTACGTTTTTTGTTGTATTCTTGACATTTTAGGGATTTCTATGTTAATTTTAAAATTACGAATGGGTTTAATAAGACCATAGTAGCAACATTCCAACTTGTTTTGTCCAAATAAAACTTGTTTTTACTGTTTAATGTTTTCCGATGCAGTGTTGTCAAATTGACGTGTGCAGCGTTGCCACATGTACGCACGCGACGTTGCCAAATTGCACGTTTTCTCGGAAAACGTATTTGAGCTCGATTTTTTTTTTGCTTCAGGCAAAAAATACGAAGATATCTGTCCATCCACACACAACATGGACGTCCCGCACGTTAAGCGCGAGGACTTCCAGCTGACCGACATCTCCGACGACAACTACTTGTCGCTGATGAGCGACAACGGCGATCTGCGCGAGGATCTCAAAGTGCCCGAGGGCGAGGTGGGCCTGCAGCTCCGTACGGAATACGACGCTGGCAAAGACATCCTTTGCACCGTGCTCAAGTCTTGCGGCGAAGAGGTGAGTCCCAGCGGCAACGCCGCATTTTGGTTGTAGTTCAGGTTGCACCGAGGGGTCACCCACGCCTGGGAATCCCTGGACATTTTAGAGGGGGAATACCATAGGTAGAGATGCGACTTGAAAAAAAACGGTCCGTTTTTTTGTTTTTTTTCAAATGGTTTTTTTCACCTTTTAGGTTTTTTTTTCAAGATTAGTCCCATTTGCCTAATTTTTTTATGTTTTCATAGACTAAAATGACAATTATTAAATGTAAATACAGTCTCGCGTTATGCACTCGCCACAACCACCGATTTGACCAATAAGGGCGGCTCTTGTTTTGATTTGGTCCTAAAAAAGTATTGAGAGCTTGATTTTTTAAAAAGCTACCAAAAGCACTTTTTTCATGATTTTTCAAATTTATGTAGAGTATGGAATTTTTTTTTTCAAAAAACAATAGCAAATTCTTGTAGAACGTTTCTTCATTGGTGGTCAGAACATTCCGTGGACCAAAAAAGATATAAAAAAAATCGATTTTTTTATTACGGTATTCGTTAGAATTGAGCGTTACAGAACTTCAAGCTTTATATTGCTTTTTTTACGGCTCCAATACGACCATTTTTAACAAATATACAGCTATCCGAAAAATCGCAAAAAAAATTTTTATCCTTTAATTTTTTGTATTAGTGTAGAAGTTTTACATTGCTATTGGTTTTTAATGTGGAAACTACCAAATAATAAGATTTTTTAGTCTTGGTCAAAATTTTAATAATGAAAAATGTAATATATTCTACATTTTACTCAAAATTTCATTTTGAAAAAAAACAAAAAAAACCGTTTTTTTTTTCTAGGTTTTTTTCATGTTTTTTTCACATCTGAAAAAAAACCGTTTTTTAACATCTCTAACCATAGGAATACAATGGAAATACATAGGAATACAATAAAATGTAATGGGAATACATGGGAATCCCTGGACGTTTTCCCTTTGGGTGGTTGACCCCTCGTGTTGTACCGACATTCCGAACGCAGCTTTGTATTTGAGGTTCTGTGTGGAGATTTTGAGGTTCGGAAAAAGTTGGAAAAGAAGAGAAAAACTATTGAATTAAAAATTATTTATTTAAAATGATATTTGATTGCATAATTTTTCTTCTTCCAATTTTTCAACTGGATTTTTTCGGTGATTTACCGAAATGCGAATTCGCTGTTAAAAATTTGTAACCATAAATTTGTCATGTTTTCTGAAAATACCTTTCCTCCCAGTACCGTAAACACGGGTGACTTTGCACCCCGCGGGTGACTTTAACCCATTTATGAAAAATCTTTTCGCGCTCGATAAAATTAACATTTATAATTTGTTGGTCTAAACCTGTCAATTGAGCGATTCTATTGAGTTTATATTACAGTAAAATCAGTGATTTAAAGAAAGAAATGGGATTTATTACACTTTAAAGTTGTATATATCGCATCAGTGCAAAACTCTTAGAAATACACGCTATACAATTTCTAAATTATGCGCAATCCTTTGGAATGATGATCCTTGGTTAACTACCGGTCAATTTTTTATTTTTTTTATCGGTAATCCCTTGCAATAGATATATGTCGCTGCTAACACGTGTTCTTTTAAAAATAAAATATAATATTGAATTCATTTTATACGGAAAATACTCTGTGAGACAAAGTATCCCGCAACCAGGGGGTAACTTTGCACACCCAGTTTTTAATTTTTATTTTTAAAACTCAGCCCTATGTAATATTATAACATAGTTATTATGAAAGAGCAACTCAAGACTCAAATTTTGGTATACAAAATTTAATGTTCATGATTGTTAAAACCACAAAAATTTTAAGCTTAAGTTTGAAAGTGAGCTAAAGCCACCCGTGTTTACGGTACTAAATGCGTTCCAAATTAGGACAAAAATTTAAGTTTTTATTTTTTAAACCAATCTAACAAAATTTTGTTTGGTTACTATGCTAAATATGCTCTTAACTCAATAACTGAATTTTTTATTAAATCAGTTGTTCTTTTGGGGTTTTTGTTTCCTTACCAATAATGCCTTCACTACTGGAAAATGCATATATTTTTTAGTGAACACACCAAATTTCAGCAAAATTGGACGAAAAATAATGAAGATACCGCAGTTTTAAATATTGAGGTCACGACTGTCAAATAATGACAGCTATAACCTTGAACCTAAAAATAGTCATATTTTTATTATTTATAAATTGATTTTTACCAAATTCGGTTAGGTTAAAAAAGTGAACATTCTCTATAACATGGGCTTTAAAATATCAAGGTCACAGCTGTCAAAATACAAATAATCACATTCTTAACCTTAAACCTAAAAACAGCTATGTATATCACTTATTATTAAACTGATTTAAACCAAATTTGTTTTTGCTACCAAAGTATAATATTAACATAGTATAACTTAAATGTTTATTAAATCAGTTGATCTTTTGGGGTTTTAGGTACCTTATACCAATAATCTCTTAGGACCACTAGAAAATCCATACATTTTATAGTAAACACATAATAAATAAAGAAGATACTGCCGTTTTAAATATTAAGTTCACGACTGTCAAAAAATGATAGCTATGGCCTTGAACCTAAAAATAGTCATATTTTTATTATTTATAAATTGATTTTTACCAAATTCGGTTAGGTTAAAAAAGTGAACATTCTCTATAACATGGGCTTTAAAATATCAAGGTCACAGCTGTCAAAATACAAATAATCACATTCTTAACCTTAAACCTAAAAACAGCTATGTATATCACTTATTATTAAACTGATTTAAACCAAATTTGTTTTTGCTACCAAAGTATAATATTAACATAGTATAACTTAAATGTTTATTAAATCAGTTGATCTTTTGGGGTTTTAGGTACCTTATACCAATAATCTCTTAGGACCACTAGAAAATCCATACATTTTATAGTAAACACATAATAAATAAAGAAGATACTGCCGTTTTAAATATTAAGTTCACGACTGTCAAAAAATGATAGCTATGGCCTTGAACCTAAAAATAGTCATATCTTGCTTATTTATGAATTGATTTTTACCTAATTCGGTTTGGTTATTAAAGTAAACATTCCCTATAACATGGGTTGTAAAATATTAAGGACACAGCTGTTAAAATACAAATAATGACATTTTTAACCTTGAACCTCAAAACAGTCATATATCACAAGCCAAATTTGGTTTGGCTCTCAAGCTTAGGCATAAACCTTGTATTTTTAGTAGGTTTGTCTTATTTTTTGAAAATAGCTGTCTTCCCAGTAGTAAATGCGTTTGAGTGTATAAAGCTTACAATTTAGGACAAAAACGCATTTTATCTATTTTGCGTTCATAATGACTTCATTATAACACCGCTTTCGGTGCTGTAATGAGATACTTTATCCCACCCAAAATTTTAATTTTATAGGTTGGCTATACTTTAAACAGCATAATATTTTCCATAATGGTTATAATATTTTTATGATTTTTCTTGTACTTACAAGACTTTTCTGGCAATAAATTTTGTGGAACGCCAAAGAAAATCCTTTTTTTCTTCTTTAACATTAACAGCCGCTTATTGTAAATAAGTAAATTAAGGACGGCATGGCGAATCGATTTTAACATTAACTGTGATACCAACTATCTAAAGTAAAATTCGAACAAATTAATTTTTTATAGAATTTTTGCAAAATTAATAAATTAGCATAAAGACCTCATGTCATAAGACCTTTTGTCGCACTCGTCCATTATTATAAATTGTCCGCGTACGACAAAATTACGTCTTATGACATGTTCTTTAATATACTATTTTAAAACTTGAACCTAAAAAGAACCATATCTTGGTTATTTTTCAAACCAATGTAACTAAATTTTGTTTGGTTACTATGGTAAATATGCTCTATAACTTAAGCTTACTTTCATATAACATTAACTTAAAAAGTGAGGTTAACCTTTTGACAGATGTCAGATTTTATTTATTTATTTTTGAAATTTATTTAAAGATCAATCAATTAGAGTAGTTTTTCTTTTTTAAAAATATTTTTTGACAATTTTTTTTTGTTAAAGGTGGTGATTGCAGTAAAAACAAACACTGCCCTGGACAAATAATGGCCAACGAGAGTGGGGTGTGGGGGCCAGAGTCAAGTAAAAACAACAACAACAACAACACACAAAAAAATAATATCCAAACAACAACCTACAATCAGCAACATCGGCATGTTTGTTTTTTGCGAAAGCCCGCCTAAAGGCGGTCCCCTGCTACAGCTACTACACACATATTGGACCAGTTGTATCAAAAAATTTAAAAATATAAAAATACTTAAAAAAATACTAAGCTTACACCGTTTTTTGTAACGGAACGGGCTATACCTAGCATCTAATGTATAACATCTTGTATTTTGTTGGCAAAACTACTTTTGCGCAAAAGAAAACAAAAACTGTTCAATAAAATTTAATTTAATTTTTAAACTGTAAATTTTTTTTATTATTATTTTTACCATTGGGACTGCCTATTCCGACCCTACACCCATACAACCGTTAAAAACCTTTTAGTTAGCAACAAAACCAACGAATAAGCAGTCCCGATAAAAAACACAAACACTATTGTTGACTTTAAGTTTTTTGAATTCAATAAACGTATATAGCAATTTTTTTAACACTTGTTTTTGATATTGTTTGTAAATTAAGTTTTTTACTTTGAACTCGACATTTTCATGGCTAAAACGCGTCCTATAAACGCTATTTTTATTGGAATTGGTTAAAATATATGAAATGTGGATTCTATCAGACTTTTATTACCTTTGAACGCTGAAAAGTTCTCAAATAATACACCCGGCCCTCTAGGAAGCCTAATAATTATTATACTTTATTACTTACTATAATAATACCTGTAGGTAACATTTTTAACTATCAGTGGGTTTCTTCCTTTTTCTCGTGCTGTACTCTTCTGGATGCCTATAGGAAACGTGTTTTCTTAGCGCATCCCTGCTGCGCGACACGTGTGGACACGATTGACACGCGTGGTAAGTCTCTTGGTGCGTTTCCATGTGAACGCGTAAGTTGTATTGGTTGCTAAGGTATTTTCCGCATATAAAACATTTGCACGTTTCTGAGCCTTCTTTGTTTGTTTTTCGGTTTGTTGTCGTCAAGTCTTCGGGTTTTAGTAACGTTTTTTCGGAATCTACAAAGATAAATATAATTTGTTGTAACTTGACGATATTTTCTTACCAAAAAGGTTTTTGTTCCATGAATTATTACCATCTTCGAAATTATTTATATCTTCGTTATTGTTCTCTGAAATTTCGGTTTTTTGTCTTTTATTGTAGTCGCAATTGTCTTTTTCAGTTTTGATCGGAATTTTTTCGTAATTTTGGCAGTTTTCGTTTCCAATCAGTCGGTCTTTTTGGGTTTCAGGTACCTTTTAACAAAATTCTATCAATATCACTAGAAAAAACGTGCATTTTAGTGTAAACACCAAATTTCAACAAAATTGGCCGAAGATAATATTCAAGGTCACAACTGTCAAAATTTGACAGCCGTGACCTTGAAACTAAGAGTAGCTATATCTCCCTTATTTATCAACCGAATTGTACCAAATTTGGTTTAACTACTACAGTAAACATTTTCTATGAATTGCATAACTTTAAACTAATGTAACTTTTTGGGTTTTAGGTACTATGCACCACATTGACATTGGAATATAAATAATTGAGGTTATCTATCTGTCTAATTTCGTTTTATCTGATATAAAAGGTTAAACCGTCGATTGAAGATACCTATCTTCACTCAGCCGTTAAACTGACAGATACATAACCTCAATTATTCGTATTCAAATATTTAAGTGGGACTTTTGGGTGTGGATCATAGACTATGGCGGTTTTCATTTACAATTGTCTTTTTGAGTTTCAGGTACCTTTTAACAAAATTTTATTTATATCACAAGAAAAAACGTGCATTTTTAGTGTAAACACCAAATTTAACAAAATTGCCCGAAAAACAAGAACGATCGAACTATTTTGTTTCAAGGTCACAACTGTCATAAATTGACAGCCTTGAAACTATTTATTAACCGAATTTTCCCAAATTTGGTTTGACCTCTACCAAGCTTTTTTCTAGAAATAAGCATATTTTTATACTAATGTAAATTTTGGTTACTTTCCTATACGATAAACTCAAATTTTTAGTAAATCAGTTGATCATTATGGTGACTAATTTCGTCTTATCTGAAAATAAAACAAAACAGATTCATAACCTCAATTTTTTGCATTCAAATGTCAAAGTGGGCCTTTTGGGTGTGGATTATAGTACCTTAACCCAAAAATAAACAACAAATTTCCCCGAAAATAACGAAGAAACTGCCCTTTTAAATACCAAGGTCACAACTGTCAAATAATGACAGCTATGACCTTGAACCTAAAAATAGTCATATCTCGCTTATTTTTTAACCGATTTTTAAAATAAACATTCCATATAACATAGGCATGAAATATCAAGGTCACAACTGTCAAAATACAAATAATGACATTCTTAACATTGAAGCTAAAAATGGCCATATCTTGCTTATTTTTTAACCGATTTAAACCAAATTTGGGTTGGCTACTAAAATTATAATTCTCTCGAACATAGGCTTACTTTCATATCACATAAACCTTGTATTTTTAGTAAACGGCCGACTGAAAGTAGACCGGGTAGTTCTTCCTGTGTTACCACGCATTGGCCTCTATATATGAATGATAATACAGCCCTGATGTCTTCTATTTTGACATTGTGCAGCACTATGACTGGGTGTTGCGCGTACTTCATTTCCTAAAAGTTTTTGAATGTTTGGCGCTCGAAATACAACGTTAAATGTCGGTGTATTTTTAAACTGGATAGTTCTATTTTTGTTTTGTGAAATAAATGGCTTTCTTACCTGAAATAGTTGTAGAAAGTAGGAGCTGCACATAGCGAGGATCACTTTATGGGCTCGAACCTGGTGGTGGCCCACCGATAGAGTGATGTCGGTTAAAACGTCGTTTTCTATCAAAAACGGCAGGTTGTGTAAAATGGTCGTTTCGTGGTAATGCCACCGCAAAATAAACTGCTGTTCCGACATTTTTCGACGATTTATTCATGCATTAATTAAAAACCAGTGCGTGATACAGGAAACAAAAACTATTCTACTGGCCAAAATGCCCAGAAATTGTCCAGGTCTATTTTTACTGTCAAACGCTGGAGAATTATAAAACAGGTGCCAAATTTTTTGCACCTATTTAAATAAAACAACAAAAGAAAAATTAATGGTTTTATTTTACAGTCTTATTGTATTGCAACTACTTCTATATTAATTAAGTAACAACAAATACTTTAATCATTTAAGTTTAATGGAAAAATTTAGTAGAAAAAATATTATTTATTTATCCCATCAAAGTCGACCAAATTATGCCAGTTTTAAGCATCAAGGTCACAACTGTCAAAATATGACATAAACGACCTTAAAACATTAAAAAAACTCCTGATTTAAGTTATACCAACAAAATAAAAAAGTGCAAAATATTGGGGTGGTGTTCTTAGGATTAATTAACTTGAATAATACTCATTTATTTCTTCAATGGCATAAAGTAGCGTCGATTTGAGTTAAATGGTCGTTTATAATTTTCAATTTTCTGCGATACATAACATCTTCAGCCACAGGGTTTCTTTCCAGATATACCGTTTCCAGGTTTTTGTTTTGCGCGATGTTTTCGACCGACGTCCAATCAGATATTTTGTTGTCGTTTAACTGAAAATGAAAGTCGGAGATTTAGGGACATTTTGCACAATCTGACAACATTGCAATGGCCAAGGTCAGTGGCGGCCCGTGACATTTCATTTTGGTGAGGCAGAGGCAGGGTTTCGCCCTCATTTAAAGGCGAAGAAATTTTTTAAACCCAACTTAAAAAAATTGACGTCGCAGTTCACAACCTATACTTAAAACTAAGTAAAAAACTTAGTCTGTGGTGGGGAAGGAATCCTCTACTTTGTCAATGAAATACATTTTATTGTAAAAATGACGTTTATTTTAAATAAACCTCATTTTTGTCTTATTAATATTTCATTGTTCAGCAAGAACCACGTGAAGATCAACAATATCGGTACAATTTCTCACCGTAATATCCCTAATGACTAAATTCACATAAATCACCAAGTTCAATGAACTAAACCCACAGAATAAACCACTTACAAAAGAATCATAAAATAGACAAACTCATAGAAAAAGAACAAACAAAATATAGCGTAAATAACCACAGATTTGTTCTTTAAACAGTTCAGAATTTTATAACCAAAACAAACCTAAAGAAGTATTTATTTTATTGGTTACTGTGATGGCTACAAGATGGCGATAGTGTTAAAATATGTTTATTTTAGAATAGAAATATAATTTCGATTAAATCGATTTATTATAAGAAAAATAATACCATTTATTATTGAATTTTGAAAAACGTGTGAAGTATAATTTATCTAAAATTCCGCAACAGTGTTGCCACAGCACCTGCTTATTTCCTTGGATGTAGGCGTGCCTGCCTCGCGTATGCTAATACGAGAGAAGGAGACAACTATAATATCGCATTGTAATAGAACGAGACAACAAGGCTAACGCCAATCGTGAGTCTAAATTAGTTCAGGCATGCTTCTGAGCCAATCATCTAGCTATAAATATTGGTTTAAATTGCGGTCGTTTCAAATTCAAATAATTTAAATGTTGCTGGGTATTCCATGTATAAAATCAATCAATTTTATTGACTATTTTACAATTTATAGAATATTATAGAAACTAAAATATTTAAATTATACTAAATTCAAAGGCAAGAATTACAGCATTTATAAATAACACAGTGTTGCCAAGTGTACTCACCCACAACTCTTTTAGCTTTTCCAAATGCGCGATGTTCTCGATTTTTTCGATTTTATTTTGGGCCAGATCCAGCGTTTCCAGCTTTGCATTCTCTAAATTTTCCATTTTTATGATGCCATTTTCAGAAAGATATATTTCGTTTAGCTCTGTCAATGCATTGAGGTTGTTTATTTCTGTCAATCTGTTGCTTTGCAAGCTTATACATGTTAGTTTTTTGAGGGAGTCCAGGTTTTTTATTTTGGATATTTTGTTCTTGCCCAAATATAAGTATTCCAAATTGGTCAGTTGGTCAATGTTTTCAATTTCCTAAATTAAACATAATAAAAGTGTTTTATGTATTTAAGTATATAAAATTAGATACCTTTAACTTGTTGTCGCCAAGTTCAAGCAATTTTAACGTTTTTAAATGGTTTAAATTCTGTATTTTTGATATTTTGTTCGATGACAAAAACAATCGTTCCAACTTCACCAAATTTTCCAAACCCTCAATATCTTTGATCCTGTTGAAAGATAAATCCAAAATCCTTAAAAAACACGATAAAACCTCCAGAAAAAATCAAAAAAACACCGCAAAATTACTCCAAATTGACAAGTGCCCCCAAATTCTCGATTTTTGTAATCTGATTATCATAAAGCTCCAATTCCTTCAAGGTAACCAAAGTACTTAAATTCTCAATTTTACTAATCAAATTCCACCTCAAATAGAGCCTCTCAATGCACACCAATGGCTCCAAATTTTGAAGTTTGTCAATGCGACCATGATTTAAATCCAGTTCGGTGGTCTGTGGGTCATCAATGATGATGCAATTTACTGTGGGGTCATTAGGTTCGGGGTCGTCTTTACGGGGCTCCACTGTGACCTTTTTTGAACACCCTTAAAGTATTAAATTATGATGTTTATGTTTATGACAACTTAACATAACCTTAGACTAGAGTGATTGTTGTAGCATTGAGTAAGATGTAACATCTTACTCAATGGTTGTAGTGTTTTCAGTGTAAAATAATTAATATTGCGTTTTTATTTTATTATTTTTATTTTAACTTAATTATAAACAAGAAAATATTGATTTTAACCCATTATGATTTTAACTAGTCAATTATGAGTTTATGTTCTGTATATATAACATATCGGCTATTATAAGTCATCAATTACTATAATTATAACAATATTAATCATTCATTTCCAAGAATTATAGCTTAAATACATAAAAATCGCAATATTTCACAACGTAATTTAAGGTTAGACCATTAACTTACCCTGGTCTCCTTCGTCGGTATTTGGTACCGGCATTTTGTCTTAACTCTTTAAAATGAAATTTTTATTAAAAAACACTTCCGTTTAATTGATTTTACACCTTAAATTAACACTTTATATTTGACAACTAAACGTCAAAAGTTTGCACGTTTGACAGATAAACATATGGGCCGCATGCGCGAATCGCGATCACTTTTTGTAATTGAATAGGCGTAGGTGCTTTAATTTAGATTAGGGTTTAATTATTGCAATTAATTCGTGTTTAAAATATATTTAGGCGATTCATTTTAATTTACCAGTTTTTGGGTGGGTCAATGAACCTTTGGTGATAATTTTGTTTGTAAAGCAATTTAAGGATAGTAAACAACCTTTATACTCTGTGGCACAATTCATTGTGCTCTGTGGTAAACAATACACAAAAGATTTATTTCTTTATAATCTGTGGTAAACAATACACAAAATCTTTATTTCTTTGTAATCTGTGCACAAAATGGTGCTGGAAACATCAAAATCGGTGGTTGTTACTAAATTTGGTGGATATGAAAGCATACAGGTAAGTAAAGACACTTCAAAACTATGATATACTATTTATTTCGCTTAACAGATTAAAGAATTTGACCTACCTTCGCTGGAAGGCACAATAGAAGTCAAGGTATCTTATGGAGGACTTAATTTCGCCGATTTATACACCAGACAAGGCCTAATGATGGACAAAAAACTGCCTTTCGTGCTAGGAATGGAGTGTTCAGGCATCATAACCGCTATTGGAGCGGAAAACACGGATTTTAAGGTAAAACCACCTGTTGAGAAACGTCAAAAACAATCATAACCACAATCATTTGACATCTGTTATTCAAGGTCGGTCAACAAGTGGTTTGCTACGATCATCAGGGCGGCATGTTCAGGGAGAAAATTAGAGTGCCACCTCGACACGTTTTTGCCGTACCCGACGATCTAGATGGCGATGTTGCCGCTTCTTTGTTCGTCAATTATTTGACGGCGTATTTTGCGGTGTTGCAGACCGGGAATTTGAGGGAGAATGAGCAGGTTTTGATTATGTCTTGCGCAGGTACTATGCCCACTTTGGCATTTAAATACAAATAATTGTGGTTATATATCTGTCAGTTTAATGCTCTTAATTTGGAACGCAAAAAAACACATAAATTGTATTATTTTCAGAAAAAACGAAACTGACAGATAGATAACCTCAATTATTTGTATTCAAATGTCACTTTTGAGTGTGAAGCATATTTTATTTAAATTTGTTTTTTTCTGTAACATTTTAATGTTTTTTTAAGGTGGCTTAGGTTGGGCGGCTACGCAACTGTCAAAAACAGTGAAGGGGGTGAAAATAATTGGAACAGGTTCGGATTTTAAGGCCAAATTCGCCATGGAAAATGGGGTGGATATTTTTATCGACAAAAATAATGTAGGGGAATATAAATATGATTTGATTTTGTGCACAGAATCAGGCCCCATTTTGGAAACCTTGCAAAACCTATTAAACCCGTTGGGTAGAATTGTTATGTTGGGGGCTAATAATATAATTCAAAATGAAAATAAATTATCGACATTATCTCTGTTGAAATTGTGGTGGACCACTAAAACAATTTCACCTGAGAGTTTAATAATGAATAATAGGACTTGTTCTGGACTCCATTTGGGGACTTTAATGGAATTGGAGCCCCAAAAAGTGGACTTGGCATTAAAGAAAATACTGGGAATGCTAAATGATGGCAAAATTAACCCTAGAATTCACTGTACTTACCCGTTGGAAGAAATTGTGAGTGCTACTAAAGACTTGGCTAATAGAAAAAATATTGGAAAAGTATTGTTAAAATTTTAATAATAATAAAAAACTTTTTATAGCAATGTTTTATTTATGTATAAATAGTTAAAATAATACTATATGTTATACAACAAATACAAATAATTATATTGGCCTTAATAAAAAACAATCCACTGTATACAAATAGGAAAAAAACACATAAAAATGCACAATTTCGGAATATAAAGCATAACACTTGGCTTGTTAATAAATGCATTAAAAATTAAATGAAAAAATAAATAATATAATGAAACATAGTAACTTTTACATAATTCGTAGTTAATAAAATCACTAGAACGGGGTGATAGTCCACAACTTCGTGTTGCAATCCTGACCCACAGACACCAAGGTCGTATTGTCAACCCACGACAATCTAGTAATTTGACTTTGAGCGTGCGCATCTGTAAAAAATTGAATATATGTCAAATTTGACGTCTTATCTGTCAAAACTGACATTTCTGTCAAAAAACTTAACCTCAAACAAGCCTACTTCGGCGTTTAATTCACGGAGTAAAAACAAACAGATGCGATACTCACTCTTGATAATGATGTGCTTGGCGGGTTTTTCCACGGACCACACGATAATGCTGGTGTCCAAACTACCGCTGGCGACCAATTGAGAGTCGGGGGACCACGCAACGCAATTCACGCGCGCGTTATGGAAGCCCCATTCCTGATTATTGGCTTTCTAAAAAAATTAATGATTTTTTTTAACTTGGGTCATTTTATCAACTCCCGCGGATTTTTTAAAAATTATATGGACTTTTAACTTGGTGGAAAAATTCAATCAAAGTAAAAAATGCGTTTTTTCTAAAATTGCGGAATTTTTATTTCAAATTTGATTTTTTTTTTCTGAAAGCTGAGGTTTTTTGTTTCAACACAATTAGTTTAATTTAATTAATTGAATTAAATAATACAGTAATTGTAAGTAATTTTTTTTCAAATATTTGAGGTAATGTTTTTGTCAGTTTAACACCAATTTCGTATTATTTTTTTTTAAATGGCCTTTTGATTGGGCTGACATTTTCAAAATTTTTGTACCCACTAAAAAGATTTTTTTCAAATACCTACCCATAACTTTTTTAAAAATTTACATAATGGGATTTTTTTTATTATTTTGAATTAACTACTTTTCTAAAAAAAATACAACAAAATTTTCGATGTCAAGTTCTATACAATTTTTCAGTTTTGTTTAGAAAAACCAACAATTTTTTAAGTAATTCGCAGAAAATTTTTTTATGAAAAAAAAAGAAAAAATGGTGAACTTTGAAAGGCGTATGGTTTTTGTAAAAAAAAATTTCATAGAAAAAAATTTAAAAAAACGTCCTATTTAGTCAATTTTTTTTTTTTAAATTCGTAACTTTTTTTGATTGGGTAAAAAAATATGTAATTTTCGTCATCAATACAGTAATTGTAAGTATTTTTTTAAAAATATGTGAGGTAATTTTTTTGTCAGTTTAACACCAATTTCGTCTTATTTAAGGTTTTGTGACATAAACTAAGAAGTTTAAAAAAAAACAAGTATATTATAGCAATTTTGAAGGCATTTTGATTGGGCTGAAATTTTTTAAATTGTTTTACCCACTAAAACAACTTTTTCAAATTATTCTACCCAAACAAAAAAAAATGGCTTTTTTTCAAATAGCCATAACTTTTTAAAAATTGACATGATGGGATTTTTTTTATCATTTTAATTTAACTTCTTTTCTAAAAAAAAATTTCGTCATGTCAACTTCTACACAATTAATTGTTTATCTAATTCCAATTGCATAATTTTGGGATTTTTTCCGTGAATATTGTTAAACATTATAAATTCACTGCCTAACAACGTGAATAATAAACTCATTATTCACGTTGTTAGGCATCAGTGATTGGCCGATTTCAATATTCACTGCGATTTTAACCAATCGGGTTTTAAATTGAAAGAAGGCGACTATAATAACATTTAAAATTGGTAAAAAGTAAGGTTAACCATTTGACAGATGTCAGATTTTATTTATTTAATGAATGATTCGCAGAATTAAGTTTTTTTATGAAAAAAAAGAAAAAATGGCGATCTTTGAAAAGTTGATGGTTTTTCACAAAAAACTGCAAAATTTAGTGGAATTTGACGTCAAAAAATTTTTTTGTATTTTTTTCTAAAAAGTGCATTAAAGAACGAAAAATTTAAAAAAAGCCCATATGTTAATTTTTAAAACAGTTTTTTTAATAAAATTAGTAACTTTTTAGGTTGGGTTTAAAAAAATTAAAAAAATTCTGAGGAAATTTTTTAGTGGGTTTAGAAAAATGTAAATAAAATCTGCCAAATCAAAAGACAAAATTGACAGATACATAACCTCATTTATTAAAAAAAAAATCATTTACAAATTGCAAATTACAATTACTTTCTATTTTATTGGTTTTAAACAAAAAATAACCTCATTGTGAAATTCTCAAATTTAAAATGTCGCATTTTTACGTTAATTGAATTTTTGAGCGTCTTCCGTTACTTATAACATTACTAACATTCAAAAAAATTAACGAAATTAAAAAAAAAATCGTAAAAATTTTCATTATTTTGATGTACAGAAAAACTCCACAAAATTTAAAAAAAAACCGCAGAGCAGAATATTACACATATGTAAAAGAAAAATAGAAATTTGACAACACAGCAGCGAAAACTAAACAGATACTTACGATCTAGAATCCCAGCGAAAGCAATTGTTAGGTAATAGCATGAAATAAAACGAAAACATGTTAAATGTAGCCCGAAACCGAAAATGTCGAAATTATTATTAACAAACCTTGTATTCCTGCGTCTCATACAGAATCACTTTACGGTTGGCATCACTGGCGACCAAGTGTTTTTCGTCCGGGGAGTAACTGACGTCAGTCACGGGCCCCAGATGTTCCAAATCTTGCAGGGGAACCAAATTGTTGTTTTTCAGTTCGTACAAGTGAACTTTGTTGTCACCGGTGGCGCCGATGGCAACGTGGCCGTTCGAAGCTACACTCACACTGGAAGGTTCGTAGGTTACCTTAAAAATGGCAACGTTGCATTACACAGCACACCCTGCTCAGAGTGTTTTTAGAGATAATTCAACGAAATTTAAAATGAACATAAAGAACAATTATAAAAAAATGAGTAAATTTACTTAATTTTTTATATATTTTTTGTATGTAATAAACATTAACCTAAAATTTAAAAAAAAATTGTAACGATCGAAACATTTTTGGCCAAGTTATCGGCATTTTCAATAAAAATCGTAAAAAGAGAAAAATCGATGTTTCTGTCAATTTTTAAAAAATTTCCTACGGGCGAATAAAACAAATTTAAGAAAAAAGACGGGTTTCATCGATTTCGGTAGAGAAACTGTAAAAAAAATTTCGTTGAAAAATAACGAACTACCCCTTTATTCCTGGTCGATTTGAGATGGAAAGACTATACGCTAAAGAAGTATCGGGTTTTCGCAACGCGCGCGCCATCTGGTGGACTTCGATAGCATTGCGTGATTTTAAGAAATGTCAACAATACATTTAAACCACAGATTATACATCATTTTTATATAAATTGGTAGTTTTTTCACAAAAGAGAGGAAGGCACAGCTAAATCGCGGACGTTATTTGTGTTTTACGTTGCAAGGAAAAAACTAAAAAAACTGGTTTAGTACGCGATTTCGATTGATTATTATTTATATCATTGATTAAGAAACTTAACGCTTAAATGTTACGTTAGTGAGGGTAAAATACCCTCAGATAAAATATCTAAGGGATCATGGTAAATTATTGTGTTTTTAATTGTAAATAAAATTCAAGAACTAAATCGTTGCATTTTCATGTTTTGCCAAAGGGTCCAATTCGGTGTGTACATTTGTTGGTGCAGAATTAACTAATGATAACTTTACCTAATAAAATTTATATTTAAGTTTGGACATTTTTAAGAAATTAGTAAAAAGTAATTTTTGCACAAACATAACCTTAAAATCAACCATTTTTATATTTGAGTTCTCTAAACAACGCCGACAACTGCATTTTAAACAACAAAATATACAGTAGAAACCGTCAATATATGAACGTGACTCATCCGACACATTCGTACGAAGCAATCTATCGAAGGTCACGGTCCAGTGCAGTCTCGTTTGTAAAAAAATTTTAGTGTAATGTTGGTTGCTATACTTATGATATATTTGCTTTTAAAGTTAAATAATTAACATCTAACATAATTAACATCTACGATAATTAAATAAACTGTAATTTTCTTAGAAACTAATTAATAAATAAACTTTTCTTTTAACTTTAATGAAATATTCTATCATCTGATTACAGAATGTACACTTGTGGCGACATCTCTGATTTTAATAACAAATTTTTAGACCGACCCAACCTCACTTTCTTCCAATTAAATTCTTAGTATAGTCTGAAACACGTTTGGAATTGCATATTCCCCTCTCGTGAAACCGTCAAACTTGTTACAGAATATACTATTCTTTTAACTGTAAACGCAAATATTTCAGAATTGGTGACAAAAAACAAAAATGTTTACGCAGGTCAGGTACAAAGTGAAAGATATTTAAATTGTGTGGATATAAAAACAACTTGCGTTAGTTTCACGAAATTTATTAAATATTGACAATTGTTTCGCTACACAGTAGCTTCTTCAGAATGTATTAAACTAATACTAGTACAAAATTTATATGTATAATAAAAATATTTTTGTATTCTAGCCTAGAATTTCTAGGTAAGGATTTTTATACGACATCTACCTGTGTTACATAATATAAACCACTGCCACTACAACGTTTAAAACGATTATTAATCCGTAAACACACAGTAGAAACAAGATATCGTCGCCTTCAGGAGAAAATTGCTTAACTCCATGTAGTAAAATTTTACAGGAGGAAAGAAAAACATATTGAAGGTGTATTGGTGTATCTCCACATTACCGCCAAATTGTTTAATGGAAAATTACGTATCTCCAATATGTACTTTATGTTAATAAAAGTAACCTTAAATTATTCATGGTACCTTAACTTTACACACTATACAATCTTTCATACTTACTTTTAACAAATTTCACTTCGGAAAACAAAGGTTTTACGCGTAAACAGAAAAAATAACTAGGCAATAACTTATACTTGTCAATGGCACTGATTTGTATACTGGAGTTAGGCATTATTCCCTGGACGCTCCTCCACGATTGGAGATACGTATATTTCTTTTTCTAAATTTAAAATTAGCGGTTTATTTTAGGACTTCTGTAACTTGCATATAAATTAGTTACAGTTTTATCTAACAGATGCGACTAAAATACCATTTTAATGAAAATGTGGAGTTACGTGATTTTCTCCTGAAGGCGACGATATGCAAAAACAAAGATCATATGACATATAAAAACAAATGGCCGACGGTAAAGTTGGTTGCCTTACTATGTAATAAAATAAAATAAATTCCTAAAACACGAACTCTACTGACTTCCAATAAAATTAAGTAACAAGCTAGGACACAAGCGTCATATGTCCATCTTTGTCCAACACCTAGGCAGTTTTACATCACAGATGGCGCATTTTAGACCGGATGCTTAAAAACCTACGTGTGAGTACATTTACCGCTGCATCGAATGTACAAGACAAGTAAAACATTACTGCTAGCATGTCTGAGATATGTTCGGCACCCGATGAGTCACGTTCATATATTGACGGTTTCTACTGTACCTACGAATTCATGGCAACATAATATTATATATAATACATAATATAATGGTATTTTACCGTTGAGTGGAGACTTTCTTAATCAACGCTTTTAATAATGCTAAATGCTGTTTAAATTTAGACGACTTATTTGTTTGACGATTTTTACTGAATTGAAATGTTTACCCTTTTCACGTTAATCACTACTAAAATGTGTATTTATTGTATCTAATAGGTACAATTTATATTTACAGGGACTGTATGAAATTTATTTCTTCATTCAGATTAACACTGTTTATTGGAAAACCGGTAAAAACTCAACCCAGGATTTCCTCTCGAAATACACCCAACAACACAACAAATCGAGCCAAGGTTTTTTTCCCGATATTTTTTAACATTTTCCGGCTTTATTCTCAAAAACACTCGTTTGTAACACACGCGTTTGACAGCTGATAACAGCCGAGTGGTGGCGCCACTAGCGATACTTCTTTAGCGTATATCACCGTAAAAAATAATCTTACCTTGAGGGTGCTCAACTTCTGGTTGTCTTTCGACACGGTGATTTCGTTGACGCTGGCCGTCACAACTGTGCCTTCCTCCTTGTGGATGTCCATGCCTCTGGGTTGCGAGCCCAACTTGAGGTCTTGCGGTTTGTAGGTTAGGCCTTCGATTTCGATCTGCTTCAGGCTGTCGTCGATCCCGCAAGTGTACAGGGTGCCGTTGTGGGGCCGCATGCCGTTTATTTGGTTGCCGTGCCCGTTACCTTCGACCCTGTCGTTCTCCCCCGTTTCGGTGTTCCAGCTGTCGCAGAGAATTTTGAGGTTAGTAAACTAGGTACTTTTCAGAAATGTTTAAGAAGGTTCGGGCACGATATTAGTCGCTATGAGAAAATGTTGAAAAAAATCTAGGTTGTATTAGAGTCTACTTAAAAGATATTTACAAAGTTTTTTTTTAACTTTCACCGCAGTGTCCAACCAAAATTATCAATCTGTCATTCTCGTCTGGAAGATCCGGCAACATTGGATTACGAACACGTAATTATCTAGGTATATTTGGTTACTACCATAAGTAAATTATTTAAAAAACACACAATTGTATAAAGTTATTTTTTTTAATAATTAGACAATCCTTCTACCTTCTCTAGTTTTCTTCTCTTTGTTTTCTGCTCTTTCCTTTAGACAAATTTAACTTAATATTTCAGAATTTTTATTTTGTAATTAAAATTATTCTTTTTAAAAATTTAGGAATTAATTTTATGTGTAGATACATATAATAGAATACTATATATACACTCATTAATTTAAGAACTCGCTCGCAAGCTCGCTCGTGCCTAAATTAAATTCGTGTATAAAATGGCGTTTATCAAACTTGATATATACTTAAATTAATGAGTGTATAGAAAAGTTTATAAACCAGGTGCATACTATACTTTTTCTACGACAAATACTTATTATTATCTTAAAATGATTTAAATCAAAAATTTGTATAGAGCGCCATCTATGAAACAATAGGGGAATCTGTGTGTCACCGTCAAATGTCAATTTTTATTTTTTTATTTTATAAACACAGATTATAAAATCGAAATGTATTTCTTAAAAATTGACAGCTTTTCACAGAAAAAGTAAAGAAAATGTTTTAAAATGAGCACTTTACAGTGGAAATAGTTTAACAAAATTAAAAATATAAAGAACGTCATAAGAAATAAAAATAGACCAAATTTAAATGACGCAAATATTAATTCAACTAACAAAATAATACCTAAAATGTTTAAAAATATTCCTATCAAATTAAAGTTTATTACCTATAAAATTTAATTATTATTATGCCTAGACATAATTTTATTTAATTATTATTGTCTTTAGGCTGAAGGACCCTGGTCGATGGCCTTTTGTATATTTTGTATTATATGTTCTGTATTGTACTGAATATGCAATAAAAACTTTATTTATTTATTTATTTATTATTGTCAGACATAATTAAAACCTACTTAAATTTCTTTTACATTTAAAACATATATGATTAAAAAGTGAAATATCGCGGGCCACAATACTTCATGTTTTCTGTTGCTATATTTGTTATTAAATAATTTTTCTTTGTAGAGGACTTCTTTCTTTTTCACAACTCATTTTTAGATTTTACATATCCAGATGCGTAAATTATAATAATTAAATTTTATTTTAAATTATATATTTTATATTTATTTAAATTTAATTATAATTTTAATTAATTTTATAATTTTATTAAAATTTAAATATATAATTAATATATAATTTATTTTAATTTTTATTTTAATTATTAATTTTTTAATTAATATTAAATTTAATTTAATTATTATATTTATATTTATTTTCGGACAAAGTTAAGACGGTAATCGGCTTGTTGTGACCCTTGATGACCCTCAGACATTTCTCGGGATTGTTGACGTCCAAATAGTTGATGAAACCGCTCAAAGAGACGGTGAGAAGATAGTCGTTCTGCCACAGGCAAGACACCTGCTGATCTTCCACGGTGCTGCCGAGCTTGAACTCCGTGACGGCCTGTCGCGTCTCGACGTCCCACAGCTTGGCGGTCTTGTCGCCGCTGGCGGTGAGCAGCCGCCTGCCGTCGGGGCTCCAGGCGACGCCGTAGACGCCGCCGGCGTGCGCGGGCGCGCCCACCTCGCCGACGAGGTCGCTGCTCGCGCCGTCGTACAGGTACACTTTGCCGTCGAAGCCGGCCGACGCGAACAGGTTGCCCGAGGGGGAGTAGCGGACCGCCTGCACGAATCGAGAGTGCTCCTGGTTGAGGAAAAAAAACGACAGTTTTACTTTTAATACAATTTTAGCAGGCTGTGTAAAAGTAAGAGAGAGATGGATATAAATAAATCAAATATGGCGGCCGCCGTAGGATGTGTTGCTCATTTCTTGATAAGGTGAGACGAATTTCCAAACATTTTAAAATATTCAAAATTTACGATTTTTTTTCAAAATTATTAAAATTTTTGAAGTTTCAAGAATCAAAATTTAAAATATTACAAATTTTAAAAATTTTTATATTTTTTAAAATTACACACACGGATTGACATGGCATCAAACGAAAGATTGATGAAATCTTTAGAATTCAGAAAATTTTAAAATATTTAAAATTTTAAAAAAGTTTAAATCTTTCAAATCCATTAAACTTTTCTAAATTTCCAAAAAATTTTAAATATTCAAATGTTGTAAATTTTCTCAAATTTTCAGAATCTTCAAAATTATCAAAATTTACAAAAAATTTAAAATATTCCAAATTATAAAAAAAATTAATTATATAAAATCTATAAACTTTTTAAAATTTCCATTATTTTCGTTTCCAAATTTTGCAGTTTTCAAAGTTTAAGTAAGAGAGATAGATATAAAAAAAAGTTAAGACATTCACAGATTTCCAATAAATTTAAATTTTGCAAATTCATTAAACTTTTCAAAACATACAAATTTTGTAAATTTTCGCAAAATTTTCAGAATCTTCAAAATTCTCTAAATTTACAAAAAATTTAAAATATTCCATTTTCATTATTTTCAGTTTCCAAATTTTGTATTCAAAATTTCACGATTAAAAAAATAGTGGAAGCATAAGTAAAATAGAGAAGATAAATAAATCCAATATGTCGGCCGCCCTAAGATGGCGGATTCACAACCTTGACATGAGAGATCAAATGAAAGTGACATTTTCAGAATTTTCAAAATTCACAAAATTTTCAAAAATTCAATTTTTCTTTAAATATTCTTAATTTCCAAAAAATAAAAAATTTTCAAATTCATTAAACTATTCGAAATGCCCAAATTTTATACATTTTCGCAAATTTTCAGTATCTTCAAAATTTACAAAAATTTTAAAATATTCTAAATTATAAAAAAAATTAAATTTTTTAAAATCAATAAACTTTTTAAAATTTACATTATTTTCAGTTTCAAAATTTTGTAGTTTTCAATATTTCACGATTAAGAAATTAGTAACTGTGTATAAGAGACATAAGAGAGAGATATACATATTAGGGTGATTTTTTTTCACGACTATTTTTATTTTTTTCGCTCCCAACTAAAAATCTTGTTGAAAATGTTCAAAAAAAAATTCCCTGAAAATTTGAGCCCTTAATATTAACTCAAAGTACTCGACCAAAGCGTATAAAGATTTCCCATTTAAAATATGTAAACTTTGATTATTTTTTTTAAATATCTATATCTCAGCCGCATTTTATGCTATTGGATTGTTTCAAAAAAGGATTTACTTTATATAATAATAGGATGGTACGGGTCACTAAATCTTATTTTAGTGAAAAATTATCATATTTTTGAAGATATTTCAAAAGTGACTGGATTCTTTGAAAAAATGTAAAGAACAAACTTGTAGAAAATTTAATTTTTTTTAAAAAAGGTCCTATCAGTTGAATTGCTAAGATTGATATTTGTTGAGATATAAAGCGTTTACATTGACAATTTATGAAATTTTTAGGATTTTCGTATCAAACCTTTTATAAATGATGATTTTCAATTGTTTATCAGTACAATTTCAAGTAATTACGTTTTTTCTACAGTCGGGTGATTAGAGAAAAATAAATAACTAAAACAATCAAGCATAATTATTAATAAAATAACATGTTGTATGTAATACACCTCGTTATATCAATTTTCAGGTTAGATATATCTTTTCTCTTTAAAGTTATGTTATTAATAATTATGCTATGCTATAAAAATAATCTTTAAAATTTTGAAAAACTTAAAATCTTCAGAATCATTTAACTTTTCAAAAGTTAAGTTTTGTAACATTTTCAAAATTCACAAATTCACAATTTTTTTTTAATGATTCACCTGCTTGGTCATCTTGAACTTGAACGGAGGCCCTTCGAAGACAGCGATGGTGTTATCCTCCGACCCGGTGACGACCCTGAACGGCCTGGTCGGCCTGAAATCGCACGAGTTGATCGGCTTCGACTGCCCGGAAATCTCCCCGACGGACGTTCCCGTCTCGGACATGAACACGTGCCCGAACCGCTCGCGGCCCTCCCCCACCACCACCATGCGCTGGTTGTCCGGCGACCACGCGATGTCCTTGATCGGCCCGCCGATCGGGTGGAACTCGTTCTTCAAAATGTGCTCCTTGTTCACCGTGTCCCAGATGCGGACCTTCCCCGATTGATCTGCGAACAAGTTAAGATAACAGGCAATCCGGCAACGTCGCATTATACGGGGTTTCACCTAATAAATTGTCATCCTTTACTTAATTTATATTTTGTTAAATTAACCCCAAAAATTTACCTTGAAGTAAAACTTTTTTAAAGTTTTATTTATGTTATTTTTACCTACCCAAGCAGCATTTTAAGTTTACAAATTTACTACTAAGTCAACTTTAAAGCATTTTTTTACGGTTAACCATAACGGTATAAATACGAAAAATTACCAAATTTGGGGAATGGTTTATTTCGTTATTTTACCTACATAATAACCTTTTTGATCTACTAAGAGAATAGCGTAATAAAAACAATTTAAATACCACAAATTTACGTAAAAATAACGCTATAATTACTAACTGTTTGCTCTCTCTTTCTAAAACATTGACATTCGTAATTTCTTTGTTCTTTTAATTTATATTTTACAAAATGGTACTTACAAAGTAATAAAGGCCACCCTAGAGTAAAATTAAAAAATATAACTTAAATTGTCAAAACTAATGCATTAAAGTTCGAACGCACATTATTTTGTTGATAAAAATATGCCCTCTAAATTATTGCTTGGGTAAAAATTCAACAAAACCTAAAACCTGCAAAATTTTATAAAATATTTTAAAAATCATTTAGTTTTAATCATTTTTTAATAACTAAAACTTTCCTTATTATATTTTAGAAAAATATTATGAAAAAAACACATTATGGCGACCTGAAAAAAAAATTATTTTTCACTTTAAACTTATTTTTCCTTGTTTTGTCAATATTAATAGTATTTATTACCACTAATAACCCTAAAAAATACGAGGCGAATAGGAATTATTTACGGTTATAAAGTAGTCTTAATATAGTACAATTATGACTTCTGAGTAACATTTACCATTAAGTAAAAATTCTGGCGTTTAAATTACCGTTAAATTTTCTTTTAGGTGAAATACACTTATAAGTAATTTTCTTTCGTAAAAATTACGTCCCTCATAATACTTTAAAGTGTTGAAACTTAAGGGTTATGGGTAAAAATAACATAAATAAGACTTATTAAATAACTTTAAAACAAGTTTTCCTTTAGTAAATTTTTAAGATTAATTTAACAAAATATTTATCTAAAATAAGTAATATTGCCTCAAAGCTCTACGCTTTTACTTAAAATGCTACTTGGGTATTTTAATAAACGTTAAGTTTCAACACTTTAAAGTACTATGAGGGACGTAATTTTTACGAATGAAAGAAAATTACTTATAAGTGTATTTTACCTAAAGGAAAATTTAACGGTAATTTAAACGCCAGAATTTTTACTTAATGGCAAATGTTACTCATAAGTCATAATTTTACGATATTAAAACCGTAAATAATTCCTATTCGCCTGGTATTTTTAGGGTTATTAGTGGTAATAAATACTATTAATATTAACTAAACAAGGAAAAATAAGCTTAAAGTGAAAAATAAAACTTTTTTCAGGTCGCCATAATGAGTTTTTTAAGATGGCATCCATTACTTATCTAAACATTTACCTATATAATATTTTTTCATATATATTTTTTTTAAATATAATAATAAAAGTTTTAGTTATTAAAAAATGATTAAAACTAAATGATTTTTAAAAGATTTTATAAAATTTTGTTTATCTCCACGCGGTCTATAATTTAAACTTTATTGTTGTCAACGTTCGATAAAGAAATACCTTCTTATGGCCTAGGCCGATAAAAAATTTTATGAGGCAAGTAATTAGTTCGATTTTTTCTCGCTAGGGGTATTGTTTTGACAAATTAATCCTTTTCTAAGAAATTAACGTACTAAACTGGTTTAATTTATTTATAATAAGCACTAATTTGTTTGTTTTACTGTTAATGTTTAATATTTTTCATTAAATTATTGTAAAATTAAATATGAATAATAAAACAAAAAGTGCGGTTAGGCAGCCAAGAAAACGCACGATTCTTTTTCTACGATTTAAATTATCTTTAAGTTTTCAGTGAAATTAAATGTTAAACACAGCTTAAACATTCCAAAACTGCCTAATTTTTAAATAAAAATCCAAACAAATTGAAATTAGAGACCTACCTATTTATTAAACAATTAATTGAATTCAATGTAATAGCAAACATCCATTTCTACTTAAATCATGTTGCTGATATTGTCAAACAATTACTGCTTCTAAAAGCAATAATAATTATTGTACATTTAATGTAATCTTTGGCTAATAAATAAATGAGATTCTAAAAAAGTGAGGTTAGGCCGCTTTGATGTTGAATTAAATTGACCTATATAAAGTGCTTTGAAGATAAAATGTTGTATGCCATTCGGCCAAGAAGTACTTCTTAACCTAAAGACATAAATAACTATTATTCAAAAAAGCCTCTTGGGCAACGAACACGTCAATACAAAGAAATATAAATAGCTGTATATTGATACAATACAAATACACAACGTATTAACAATAATTGAACGTACCTACAAGGTAAAGATAAAATAACAAATTGGTAAAATAGGTTTTAAAATAGGCTTTCAACTAAAATATTTTAAAATTTATAATCATAAAAACACTGAAGTTGTAATATTTTTAAAATTTCAAGTTTAAATTTTTTATATGATGTGGAATATGATTATAAATTTTTATTATTTAATTTTTCACACTTTTTTGAACTAATGACAAATTTGTTTTATCAGGAATTAAAACTTTTTTATGTCTAATTTCATAAGTATGAGTTAAGAATTGTCTATCAAAAAAATTGAGTTCTTCCTTAAAAACATAATACATTCTAGTTGAAGTTACTGTGAGAATTTTAAACTTAAAAAAAAATGGTCTATTGGGATGTTAGTACACGTCAAAACAAAAAAGTTTTTCACTATAATTGTTGCATTAGAGCTACTGTTTTAAAATAAAAAAAAAATTAATTAAAAAAAAAACCAGGGAGCACCAGAGGCAATATTACTTAATTTAAGTAAATATTTTTTAAAATTAACCTTAAAAATTAACTTTGAAGTAAAACTAACTAAAAGTTATTTAATAAGTTTTATTTATGTTATTTTTACCTATTTGAATAACCCTTAAGTTTCAACACTTTAAAGTACTATGAGGGACGTAATTTTTACGAAAGAAAATTACTTATAAGTGTATTTCACCTAAAGGAAAATTTAACGGTAATTTTAACGCCAGAATTTTTTACTTAATGGCAAATGTTACTCATAAGTCATAATTTTACGATATTAAAACCGTAAATAGTTCCTACTCGCCTGGTATTTTTTGGGTTATTAGTGGTAATAAATACTATTAATATTAACTAATCCAGGAAAAATAAGCTTAAATTGAAAAATAAAACTTTAAGGGAAATTTTTTTTCAGGTCGCCATAATGAGTTTTTTAATATGGCATCCATTACTTATCTAAACATTTATATAATATTTTTTCATAAATATTTTTCTAAAATATAATAAGGAAAGTTTTAGTTAATAAAAAATGATTGAAACTAAATGATTTTTAAAAGATTTTATAAAATTTTGTAGGTTTTAAGTTTTGTTGATTTTTTAAGCAAGCAATAATTTTTCTTAAAACCGTAAAATATTTAGAGGGCCTATAATTTTTAAGATGTATTTTTATCAATAAATTAATGTGCGTTTGAGTTTTAATGCAAAATATTATTAGTTTTGACAATTTAAGTTATATTTTTTAATTTTTTCTAGGGTTGCCTTTATTACTTTGTAAATATCATTTTGTAAAATATAAATTAAAAGAACAAAGAAATTACGTAATTATAGCGTTATTTTTACGTAAATGTTTTTATTACGTTATTCTCTTAGTAGATCAAAAAGGTTATTGGTTATAAACATTTTTAATGAATATAGATTATTGCCCATTGTGCAAGCATATTTTGCGTCAGTTATCATAGGTCAGGAACAACCAGTGGCGGCCCAAAATTTCTACTTTACTTATAAAAATTTTAATATTTTTTTTATTGAAAAAATTGCAACAATGCAAAAATGATACAAAAAAACTTTTTTATTTTGGCGTGTAATATTATCACCTTAATAGATGACAACTTATTTGGTGACGGCAACGTTGCATAAAAGTTGGAAATGTCAAAAATGATGATCACATAAAGTTGCACACTAACCTCCAGAAGCGATATAAAATCCGCTGGGAGAGTATTTGGCAACGTTGACGGCGCATGAATGTTCAGTGTAGATGTCAGCAATTGCGGGGTTCTTAAAAAAATATAAAGAAAATCATTAAATGTCGAATTTCGGATATTTTTTGTCTCAAGGTCATAAATGTCAAAACTGTAGTTTTGTCAAAAAAATAAACAAACGCCAATATCCGACTTTAAAGTGAACCAAAAAATGGCGTCGCTTCAAGGTGTCACCAAGTTTGTTTTGGGTTTTTACGTTTTCCCTTTGACATAACCTGCAAATTTGCTTGAACTCTTTAATTCAACGCCATTTTATGGTTCACATTTGGCACATTTGCAAGATTCTGATCACACCTCTTTCTCTTCCTTACTGAAAGTGTCAAAATCTGTTAGATGATGATTATGGAACTTTTAGAATTGCAAACTTGTTAATTGGATAATATGACAGTTACATCAAAAATGCTTGGAGTACTGTCAATTTTAATGTCAAAGGTAACTAATGTCAAAATATGACAGTTTCGACCTTGATAATCTTAACTTTGACAGTCGAAATTTAAACCTTAAAAATTTACAAATTTGACCTTGAAAACCTTGATTGATAACAATAATTTAATGAAATTCACATTCATTAATCAATTAATAAAAAAAAAGTTGATAAAATAGCAATAAAAATAAATAAATCATATACTGTTATCATTAAATTTTATCTTATAAGATTTTGTATACTAACCTGTATATTCCTAATGATAACCGAATTTCCATTGGTATACAAAAAATTCTTGCCCTTAGGGTCGCCCCCCAGAACCAAGGGTTGGCCCCTCTGGGTTTTTGGGAGGGTTGCATAAATATTTTCTGAAAAAAAAATATTTAAAAATAAAATTAAATCACCAGTTTCCAGAATTTTAGAAATACCTACTATTAATAGAACAGTGGTCAAATCTGACACACCTGTTATAAAAAATGTAAATATTACGAATTCAGCATAAAAAATTATGTTAAATCACGGCACTGAAACGAATTTAACTGATATAAAGATAACAATAAACAGGAAATTGCCTAAAACTCTTTGATACCCAACCAGGCATAAAAAATGTAATAATTCAAAGAATAGGCTTTGCACATATTATTCTTATGATTTAAAAGCTTTTTTATGGCGTACATAATGCAAACAAAATAGTTTTTTACTTACTTGATGAGTATGACATCTTATTACTAAAAAATCCGGCTAGACAAAAATAGAAAAACTGTAAATTTAACGCCTACAAATACTGGAAAATTTCAGCACGAACGATTTTCTAAATTTAATTCGGTCAATGCTGACTTTTCGTTGCACTATTTTATAGGATGTATATATATATAAAATACGGCTATTTTCTTAATCACTACGCGAAGCGGTTAGGTTTGCCATATAAGGGAAAAAACGAACGTATCCTTGAATAACCCGACTTGTACGAAGTTAGCGGCGAAAATGTGACATACGTCAAAACTGACAAATGGCAAAGTTTCTGCGACATCTATGAAAAAGTTGATGAAGTTATAAATAAATATGTTAATTTGTTAAAAAGGCTTTTTATGGTAAATAAAAACTAATTCGTCGGTAAAATTCACATGTATTTCAAACTTAAGCAACAACGTATTTCGAACTAAAACAAAGAATTCTTTAAAATATGTGACGCTTCCGATACTACACTAACCTACAAAATTTATTAAAACGTACACTAGTGTTTATTGTGTACAAAATGGGCCCAAAAACTTCTAGTGGACAAAAAATCGAAAAAATAAAACAGGATATAGAAGTGGAAGATTTTCAAAACATATGTAGGACTTGTATGTCCAGAAAAGACCTTCATTGCATTCCGGATGTAGTAAATATAGACGGTGTTAAATTAATAGAATTACTTCAACAATACATAGAAGTAGATTCCATAAACAATCAAAATATGCCACAGAACATTTGTAACAAGTGCACAATCGAAATATTTAAATCGTATGTGTTTAAAGAACAATGTCGGCATTACGATAGGTTGTTTGAAGACAGGCTTATTGCAAAGGACGTTTTAATTTATAAGGAAAATGAATTTAATAATGATAACATGTTTGAGATTGTTATGGATGACGATGATGATGATGATTCAGACCAACCACCAGATTTTTATTATGATGAGGAGAAGAGTGATGAAGAAGACGATGATCTTAAAACAAAAGAGGAGCTAGAACCCAAGCAACTAGATACTTTTGAACACTTGGAAGAGAAACCGTTTATTTGCAATCAATGCAATAAAACCTTTACGACTCGAACTTGTCTGAAAAGGCACGAAAAAACCCACACAGGAGAGAGACCATTTGTGTGTATGTGGTGCGGGAAAAAGTTCACACAAAAGCACCATGTAAAAACTCACATGAGAGTCCATGTGGGTGAAAAACTGTTTCATGAGTACGAAGATAACTACATAATTAAAGATGAGATTGTAAAGAATGAGTATGAAGATAACTGCATAATTAAAAATGAAGATGATGTAAAAAAGGGCATGAAAAAAATCAAAGGGGAGTCAAAACCCCACAAAACCAAATGTGCATTTTGTGACAAAAAGTTTGATAAATACACCATGAAACTGCACCTTCGTGTGCACACTAATGAAAAACCTTATGTTTGTGAAGTTTGTGGGGATTCATTTAAAATGCCCAGGAATTTAAGGCTGCATAGGTATAGGCACACTGGGGAACGACCGTATGCCTGTCAGGTATGTGTAGAGATGCGACTTGAAAAAAAACGGTCCGTTTTTTTTGTTTTTTTTCATTGTTTTTTTTTTCACATTTTAGGTTTTTTTTCAATATAAGTCCCTTTTGCCTAATTTTTTGTTTCCAGTCCAGTTCATGGACTAAAATTAGTCACTAAATGACAATTAGTAAATGTAAATACAGTCTCGCGCTATGCACGCGCCACCACCACCGAATTGACCAATAAGGGCCGCACTTGATTTTTCAAAAAGCTACCAAAAGCACTTTTTTCATGATTTTCCAAATTCATGTAGAGTATGGATTTTTTTTAAACAATAGCAAATTCTTGTAGAACATGTATTCATTGGTGGTTAAGTCAGAACATACCGTGGACCAGAAAGCCAAAAAAATTCGATTTTTTTATTACGGTATTCCTTAGGATGGAGCGTTGCACGTTTTTCATCTAAAAATCTCAAAACTATAAACTTCAAGCTTCATATTGCTTTTTTACGACCATTTTTAACAAAGATCTCAAGAATCGCAAAACATTTTTTTATCCTTTAATTGTTTGTATTAGTATAGAAGTTTTACATTGCTATTGGTTTCTAATGTGGAAACTACCAAATAATAAGAAATCAGATTTTTTAGTCTTGGTCAAAATTTTCAATAATGAAAAATGTAATATATTCTACATTTCACTTTATTATTAATATACATTTTACTTAAAATTTCATTTTGAAAAAAAAAACAAAAAACACCGTTTTTTTTCTAGGTTCTTTTTCATTTTTTTTTCACATCTGAAAAAAAAAACCGTTTTTTTACATCTCTAGGTATGTGGAAGAAGATTCAGTAGGCCAACCACGCTGAAAAAACACGTATCCAACATACATTTCAAGGATAAACCTGAGAAAGTTTACACCTGCGAGGTATGCAACCAGCAATTCAAAAGGTTCGTTTTATGCCAAATGCACGAAAAAGAGCACAAAGACGAGAAACCGTTTAAATGCGAGGTTTGCGGTAAAGGTTTCGGCACTACAGCCTTGAAAAAGGCGCACGCTGAGCTTCACGAAACCAAAAAGTTTCTGTGCAACATATGCGGGAAGGGTTTTGCCAGGAAAGGGGCTCTGACCATCCACACGAGAACGCATACCAACGAAAAGCCTTTTAAATGCGACCTCTGCGATAAAGCGTTCAACAATCGCAATTGCTTGCGAATTCACACTAGAAGACACACGGGGCAGAGGCCGTACGGTTGCGGTCAGTGCGATAAGAAGTTTGTGCTGAGGCAGCACCTTAAAAAGCACATGAGGACTCACACGGGGGAGAAACCGTTCGAATGCAACGTGTGCGGTAAGAGGTTCGGTTATAAGCGGGGTTTGGTGTACCACGGTAGGACTCACACGGGAGAAACGCCTTTCATGTGCGACTATTGCGACAGAGGGTTTTACGACGGGTCTGTTCTTAAAAGGCATGTGAGGAAAGCGCATCCTGAGAAGGTTGTTAAACAAAAAAATGATTTCAAAATAGAGTATGAATTTGATACGGATGATACCTTTGAAAATGTAGATTAAAAATGTTGATAAATAATATTAAGTATTTTAAATAATTGTATATTGTATATAAAATTATTATAAAAGAGATACTGCGCATTATTTCTAGTGTAATAGATACTATACTTTTCTATTCTTTACTTACTTTGTGATTCCCTAGAATACATTTTTTTAGTACTCGATTTCGATTGATTATTCTTTATATAATTGATTAAGAAACTCTGTGAACTCAACGCTTAAATGCTTATGGATCAGGGTGAATTATTGTGTTTTTAATTATAAATAAAATTTAAGAACTAAATCGTTGCATTTTCATGTTTTGCCAAAGGATCCAATTCGGTAAGTACATTTGTTGGTGCAGAATTAACTAATGATAACTTTACCTAATATAATTTATATTTAAGTTTGGACATTTTTAAGAAATAAGTAAAAAATAATTTTTGCACAAACATAACCTTAAAATCAACCATTTTTATATTTGGGTTCTCTAAAAAACACCGACAACTGCATTTTAAACAACAAAATTTACCTACTAATTCATGGCAACATAATATTATATATAATACATAATAATATTATAATGGTATTTTACTGTTGAGTGGAGACTTTCTTAATCAACGCTTTTAATAATGCTAAATGCTGTTTAAATTTAGGCGACTTATTTGTTTGACGATTTTTACTGAATTGAAATATTTACACTTTTCACGTTAATCAATACCAAAATGTGTATACTATAGTTATTGTATCTAATAGGTACAATTTATATTTACAGAGACAGTATGCAATTTATTTCTTCATTCAGATTAACACTGTTTATTGGAAAACCGGTAAAAACTCAACCCAGGATTTCCTCTCGAAATATACCCAACAACACAACAAATCGAGCCACGGTTTTTTTTTTCGATATTTTTTAACATTTTCCGGCTTTATTCTCAAAAAAACTCGTTTGTAACAGCGTTTGACAGCTTATTATTAAAAAAAAATATACTTTTGTTACGATGATAACAGCCGAGTGGTGGCGCTACCACAGAATATTCTGTGGCGCTACTGGCGATACTTCTTTAGCGTATAGGGCGCCGTTTTATTTTTTATTAAGGAATTAATTTTATGTGTTAATCCTAGAGGGTTATCTTCAATTAGATAAAAAATATCACAAGAATTTTTATTCTGCGAATATTAGGCCATATTAGGCAGACATTTTAAAATTAGATTTAATTTTTATGTCAAGAATATTTGCTTCTTATTTGCTAAAAATATATTTCTAATTCGCTAAATTAAAAATATCATAGGAGATATTTTTAATTCATTTTAATTTTAATCTTTAAATTAAGCAGTTATTTTTGATTGAATGTGATATTTTTAATTCCGATTGATTGAGAGTTTGGATACTCCTGTTTTTCCAAACTTCACAAAAACCGACCCATTTCAACAACAAACTAAGGTGTACTGTCCTTGTTTAGCAAACGCTGGGTCAGTGCGACATCGGACTCACGTACGTCGTAGATCCCAGTGATTGTGTCGCCATCTAGCGACAGAATTAGTTTGGAATACCCAGGGGTGTCCAAACTTTCAAACTGAATTAAAAATATTACAATCAATTAAAAATTTGCTTATTTAAAACCCAAATGTCAATATTTTGCAGTAGGAGTAGAAAAAAACCTTTATTTTGTATGACACCATTTGATTAAGAATACACTTTTTGATGTAAACCCTACAAATTTCACCAAATCCTAGAGGATAAACCAACCCTCCAAATTTCGATGTGACAACACTGCCAATTATTTTGCGGCCAACTTCACAGTTATTATGAAACGTCAAATTTAAATAAATTATTTTCAAAATCCAAGTAAATTCTAAATTTAGAATGCCGAAAGGAAAAAAAGGGAAAGGCAAAGGCAAGAAAGAACAAGCATTCGAAGTTGCAGCCCCGCAAAAAGAAACTGCTGATTTTCCTGTGACGAAAATTACTGAAAGTCTTCTGGGTCTGTGCGCTCTATACCCAGATTTGGGGGTGTTCAAGTTTGGGAATGTTGTTGTGCAGAGAAACTACCCTGAATTCGACGCGGTTAGAGTCATTTCCGGTGGTGCCTCAGGGTTTGAACCTTTAAATGCTGGCTATGTTGGGAAAGGAATGCTGATAGCCGCTATACAAGGTATTTATAAATATAAACGATTTTATCTAGTAAAACATGGTGTATTTAAGGCGAAAATTATACCAGTCCGCCTATTAAACTCATAGTAAGAACTCTAAGGGAGTTAAACTACAGTCATGAGCATGGTTTGTTATTAATCGTACAGGGCAATTCAGGTGATCAGATAAGTTTTACTTTGGCAACCACAAAGGCGAAAAATGAGAATATTCGTATGAAATTAATGCTAGTTGCTGACTCCTGTATTAATAAAGATTTACCATGCACAAAAAAGCAGGTAAAAACTTCAAATAACTATAGTTATACATAAGTATACATAATTATATATTAGAAGACTGGGCCAAAAAAATCGACTATTTTTTTTTGTAAAGTATATCAAAAATATTGTTTGGGGTGACAAAAAAAAACTATGGTGAAAGTTTGAGTCCATAATATTAATATTAAGAGGTCTATCATCGCAATTTTATATATTTTTTTTCCTGAGCGAGTTTTTGTCTCAGAACTCACAAACCATTGAGTTTAACAAAATTGACTTAAGAATCTTTTTTGAAGAAAATTGAATGCTCTACAAAAAAGGTTTGATTGGAATTTCCCGTCAGATGAACCGTTTTCTTACAATCATGCCTTAAAAATTGGTATACTTTTACAATTTGATATTTTAACATTGGAATTTTGTAATTCATGTAAAAATCAGTAAGTACCCGAAAAAAAACCCGATAGATATTCTTATGGGAAATAAAATGCTCTACAAAAAAAGCCTCCTAACATTTATTCAAGGTTAAATTTGAAGTCAACACGAAATTCTTGTTTTTTTCGCTCTAGATTTTTTTTGTGTCAGTTAAAAACTTGAATTCTTATCAGAGCTGGGCGGTACTTAAGTACAAGTACTTGAAAAAGTACTTAGAGTACATTTTAGGGTACTTTGTACTTGATACTTAAGTACTTCTTTGTATATGTACTTGGTACTTGTACTTGTAACATTCTGCTAAGAGTACTCAGTACTTGGGACTAAAATATAAGTACATTTTTACAAGTACTTTATACAAGTTGAGACCTGTCTGCGCCACAATTGTGAATAGTCCACGGCGCAATGCACTGACAGACGAAAACTTTGAGAAACTGGTAATCATGAAAGCAAACAAAGTCAACCAATAATTTGTTAGTTACTCTTACTCTTATTATTAAAAATAATAATAATTAATAAACCATATTATTTATTTGTAATAAATATTTCATTAAATTGCCTACTTTTAATTCACTTTGCCTATATTTTTGAAATTTTGAAGTACTTCTATCTATTTTGCGTTTATAATGACTTCATTATAACACGCCATTTAAATGTTTTGTGTGCTTTAATGAGGTTCATTATAGTACGCAAAATTTTGATTTCGAAGCTTGGCATCCAGATAAATTGTCAGTGACAATGACAACCTCAATTTGTTCAAGCGAATTTGATTAAAATAAAAGAACAATAGAATTTGTATATTTCTAAGATGATTTATTTCACATAATTATAACTTAACTTACGTTTACGTTTCAAAACTTTGGTATTTCCAAAGCTTCACTATTACCAAGTCTTGGTACCAGCGAGTCTTGTCTTGTTGACATGTACTCTTAAAATACAATTATAAAGTACTGAGTACTGTACTTGCAGTACTGTACTTAAAGTACTTTGAAATTTGTATAGTACTTGGTACTTTGTACTTCTTCAGGAATTATACAAAGTACTTTGTACTCGGTACTTAAGTACATTTTACTTGTACTTGGCCCAGCTCTGATTCTTATCGATAATAATCTTAATGTTATTGATAAAATTACTGAAAATTAAAAAAAATAACACATTCGAATTTTTTCGCTTTAAGAAGATATTTTCTTTAGAAAATATTATTTTCACTGTTGCCTATTTAATCGTTTAAATAATAACATAATGTTGTTTTTTTATTGGAAATTGTTAATTAGTTATATAATACACATTTGAAAAGAAAAAATCAAATTATCATCCATAAAAAAATAAATTTACAGAGGAAAAAACAAGAATTTCGTTTTGACTTCAACTTTAACCTTGAATAACTTTTGATAGAGTGAATTTAGCCAAAAATGTTAGACTTTTTGTAAAGCATATGATTTCCAATAAGAATATTCATCGTTTTTTTTTCCGGGTACTGATTTTTACATGAATTAAAAAAATTCCAAAGTTAAAAAATCAAAATGTAAAACTATACCAAATTTAAGGCATGATTTTAAGGAAACGGTTCATCTGACGGAAAATTTCATTTTAACCTTTTTTGTAGAGCATTCAATTTCCTTAAAAAAATATCCCTGAGTCAATTTTGTTAAACTCAATGGTTTGGGAGTTCTGGGACAAAAACTCTTAATATTAAAATTATGGACTCAAACTTTTACAATAATTTTTTTTGTTACCCCAAACCATATTTTTGGAATACTTTTCAAAATTTTTTTGGCACAGTCCAAGGTATAGTATACCTATAATATATAATAAAGTATGAAGAGCCAATTTTTTTAAGTGTTTAGCAGGGGTGGTTTTAATATATAAAATTGCCGGAGCAATGGCCGATAATAAAGAGTTACTCAAGGATGTTTATCAGTACTGTGAAAAAGTATTGGAGAATATGAGTAGCAGTATTATTTCAAAGGGTGATTTTCGACCACAAACCGAAGATTTTTGTATATGCAGAAAAAAAAGGTTTTCTAGTAATGTATCTATTGGCAAAGGGTTTCAAGGTGTTTATTTAACTTTTTAACGTTTCTATTATTAAAGTTATTTTTACCTAAAGGGGAACCAGGGAAAGATATAGCAGAAGATATAACAATTAATAACATAATTCCTGAATTAATAAAGTCAATATTTGAAGAAGAAAAATTTGAGTTGGAACCTGGCTGTAGCGTCATAGTACTTTTAAGTAACGTTGGAAAATTCACAAAACAAGAAGAGTTAATATTAGTCAGAGACACAATAATTTTCCTGCAAGAAATACAAGTCAAAGTCGCCAAATTTTACTGTGGCCCCTATTTAACAGCCAAAGACTACATGGGTATATCTTTAACAATCCTGAAACTATTTGACGACAAACTACTGGAATACTTGGACCACCCCTGCACAGCACCAGGTAGAAATAACGTCGAAACAAAAAATATATAAAAATTATAAAAAAAACAGTTTTTTTGCAGCTTGGGTTTCAATGTGTGAGCAAAAATGCGAGTTAAACTGTGACAGTTTTTTACCGACGCGTTTAAAAAGAAAAATTAGGGAAGGTATACCGAAAATGGGCCCCAATTTAACAGTATCGGAAGCCAACACTTTGGTATTATGCACGAAATTCGCCTGTGAGGCCCTAATTTCTTGCGAAAATCAACTAAATATTATTGATGCTGAAACAGGTTAGTATTTTGACGGTTATGGCCTTGAAATGTCAAGATTTGACGTTTCTAACATTTAAAATGTCATAATTTCACATTTGTTACAATGAAATTCTTGTCAAATTGTGATATTTTAACCCTGTCAAAATTTTAAAATGTTAAAATTTGACATCTCAACACAAAATAAAAAAAAATTGACAAAATAAAAAAAATTGACATTTATTACTACATAATTTGACATTTGTTACATTAAAATTCTTGACCTTCTATAAGTCAAATTGTGATATTTTAACCATGTTAAAATTTTAAAATGTTATAATTTGACTTCTGCAACACAAAATAGAAAACAAATTTTTTGACAATGATAACTTTGAAAATGTAAAAACTGTAAACCTCTTTACGTTTATGACCTTGACAAACGCACGAAATACAAAGATGTTTTTATAAAAAAAATTGTACATAATATAATATTATATTATATATAATATTTTTGGCATCAAAATTTTTTATTCGGCTATACTTTAAATAAAAAAACGCAAAAAATATTTTATCTAAGTTTAATTTTTTTTATAATTGAAAGGTGTAGACGGGACAAAAAAGAGATTTTCTTACTACCTCGACTGAAAATACGTTGTTTCGTCCCCGATTCCACGGCAGAAAGTTTACGTTTGATGCATTGGTACAATAAGTACTTTAATAACCTTAAATTATTATAAAATAAATTTTTCTTACTACCTCGGCCGAAAATACGTTGTTTCGTCCCCGATTCCACGACAGAAAGTTTACGTTTGATGCATTGGTACAATAAGTACTTAAATAACCTTAAATTATTATAAAATAAATTTAATTTTTTCCCCTATTTTCGGCCGGGTAGCAAGAAAAATAGTACACACTACACGGGCAGAAAGTGTGAGAGCCCTCGGCTTCGCCTCGGGCATCATGGCGCGCAGTGCAGGAATCTCACACTTTCTGCCCTTGTAATGTAATATACTATTTTTATTTAATGTATAGCCCAATAAAAGAAAACTTGATTTGATGCAAAAATGATTATTTTTGCATCAAAATTATAATATTTAATAAATTACCTAAAATTTTTTTATAAAAACAGTTTTGTTTGAAATGGCCGATTTGAAACATTAAAAATGTCAAGATGTCAAAATAAGATAAAATGTAACTTTTTACCTACAAAGTGGCAAAATTTTAAATTTAAAACCTTAAAAATGTGACAACTTGACATTAAAAATTACAAAAACTTACACAAAACAAAAATAACACAAAATGGAAAAATTACACAAAACGAAATTTTTTGACAATTAATGACGTTTTTTATTTTTAAGGATTTTTTGATGTTGATAACCTTGAAAATGTAAAAACTGACATTTGTAACAAATTGCAAACATTTTGACTTTGAAGCGTCAAATTTAGCAATAAATGCCATATTGTAATCCGGATTTTTAAATTTTAAAATTCGATATTTGTAAAATAAATATAAAATGTTTAATTTAATTTAACAATACATAAAAGGACGTGTTTTCGTTGGGGAGATAGGGTTTAGTTTTTTTACGTTTATGACCTTGAGCAATGACAAAACTTGACATTTGTGACAAAAAATTACACAACATGAAAATAACAATATAGAAAAATTTGAGATTAATTACTTTAAACATTACACAAAAAAAAATTGTTGACAATTAATGACGTTTTTTTCTTTTAAGGATGTTTTTGACGTTGATAACCTTGAAAATATATAAACTGACATTTGTATCAAATTGCAAAAAAATTTACTTTGAAACGTCAAATGTTGCAATAAATGCCATATTATTGTGATCCGGATTTTTTAATTTTAAAATTTCACATTTGTAATATATAAAATGTTTAATTTAATTTAACATTACATAAAAGGACATAATTTGGTTGGGGAGATGGGGGTTAGTTTTTTAACGTTCATGACCTTCAGAAATGACAAAACTTCATATTTGTAACATTAAAAATGTCAAAATGTTACTTTAAATAAGATAAAATGTAACATTTTACCTGCAAAATAACATTTTAATTTTTAAACCTTAAAATGTGACAACTTGACATATTATGTAAAAATTACATTTTTGTTATTATAAAGAATATGCATAAGTCATAAACGTCAAAAATGTAATCTCCATGAAGTTTAATTTTTTGACGTTTATGACCTTTAAATTTTGCTAATAAATCTCATTGTTTCGTTGTTTATAAGGAGATGGCGACACTGGGTCACGTCTAAAAACAAGTTGTGAAGTAGTTTTAAACAGAATCAAGGAAAAAAAGATGATATATGAGAACCCTTTCGCGTTTTTTGATGGTCTAGCTTCAGTTTTGGAAACTTTAGTGGGCGGAACTATGGGTTCCCTATACGGAATATTTTTTCGCACAATATCAAATTATTTTGCAAAAATTGATTCTGATATTGAAATAACTGCAAATCATTGGATAGGCGCCCTAGAAAAATCGTTGGAAGTGTTTAAAATGTAACAATTTTCATTTTTTTTTAACAAAATCAAAGTAGTAAAATTTTAGGCCATGCGTAAATTTCGGCGATTCAACAATGTACGACCCCCTATATGCAGGCGTAACAGGCTTTCGCGAAGAATTAGACGAAAAATCAACTCCTATGGAAGCTTTTACTTACGGGATTTTACAGGGTGAAGAGGCAATAATTGAAAACAAAAGAGAAAATCAAAAATACCCTGATGCTGGCGCACACGCTGTGGGTATTTGGTTTAGAGCTATTCTAGAAGGTTTAAAACTGCGATGTGGATGATTCATTTGTTTAAAATATATAATTTTTTTTTTAAATTGGTAGTTTTATTTAAAACATTTTTGTTTGATCTGGAACAAAGACATTTTATTTACAGAAATACTAAAAACACTTTAGGTTGAATTGGAACAAAGATATTCTTTGTTTGATCTGGAACAAAGACATTTTATTTACAGAAATACTAAAAACACTTTAGGTTGAATTGGAACAAAGATATTCTTAATAGATGGCAGTGTTTACAAATGTCAAATTTCCTAACCGCACTTTTGAAGTTCCAATGTGTTTTCTGTTATTGCAGCGATAAAAATTGTTTTTAGGATGTCTGGGGTTGAGGTGATTACAGAAGACTTAAGTGATCACCCGCAGTGCCCCCACGGGCCTACAATTTTATTTTCCAAGCTGCATAATGGCGAAAAAAGGAATTTTTTCGCTTGTTCAGCTTGTAGGGATAGGAAACATTGTAATTTTTTCTTGTGGCAGGATGAGTTGAGTAAGGTTTTGGATGGGAGGAAGGAGGCTTGGGAGGAGGAGCGTAATAAGTTTATAAAAAATATAAATCACATAGAAATTAACAAAAAGTTTCAGAAGGTAGGTGAAAATGTTAGGTTAGGGTATACTATTAAAATTAGGGCATTGTGGTTGACAAAATTATAAAGAATACTTTTAGTAGTGAATCCTAAAATCCATCAATTTTTGTAGAAGTAATATAATTTTTATTTTAGATTTTCAATTCTAACAAAAAAATATTTTATTGTCATAAATGTAAAAAAATAGAAAATCAGGAGAAAGTAGAAGAGCATAAAAAGCATGAGCACATTGAAAATCTTACAAAATATCAACTAAAACACCCATCAGAAGTTTTATTACCTTTGGATGATGCCAAAAAAGAGGCACAATTTCTATTTGCAAAATCGTCAATAAAAGATATTGTAGACATAATTAAAGATTTAAAATATAGTAAAGTATTGTGCATAGGTACCCCAAGAATACATGAGTTCATTAAAAGTGATTGTGAAGGTATTAAAAGTTTACTTTTGGATATTGACGATAGATTTCATTATTTTTATAATACCGACGAGTTTTGTTGGTATAACTCCTTTAATCATCATTTCTTCTTTGATGACGCTAAAAAGGTATTTGAAGACTTCATAAAAATAAATAGGTATGCATATAAAATGCTTTATTAACCAAATAAAAACAATATTAAATATTTATAGTGATGAAAACTTAATTTTGATCACAGACCCACCTTTTGGAGGGAGAGTGGAACCTCTAGCACAAACTTTTGATGCCATTAACAAAAAATATAAAACCATAAACAATTTAAAAAAAGACTTACCTATAATTTGGGCTTTCCCCTATTTTATGGAACCCCAAATCAAAAATAGCCTACAAAATTTCCAAATGTCCGACTACAAAGTAGAGTATGACAACCACCCGTTGTTCCAGGATGGCTCCAAGGGTAGAAAACATGGCTCACCAGTCAGGATTTTCACTAATATAGATTTAAAGTAAGAAAAACCATGTTAAAAACGTTAAATTCTGTCTTCCTAAGTAGGTTCAATGTCCCGACTAAAGTAGTTACAGTGTCGCGCTGTTGCCGGATCAACAATATTTTATTATTTCAGATTGATAAAATTACCAGACAATGGTTACAAGTATTGCGATTTTTGCGAAAAATGGGTGTCAAACGAAAATAACCATTGTTATTTATGCAACGATTGTACTTCTAAAGATGGCAGAACTTATGTGCATTGTAAGAAATGTCAAAGATGCGTCAAACCGACTTGGCAACATTGCATTAAGTGTAATAGATGCGCTGTTGCCGATCATAGGTGTGGGGATATAATGTTTTTAAAGGTAATAGTATATTAAAGAACTAATGTCATAAGACGTAATTTTGTCGCACGAGGACAATTTGTAAAGGACGAGTGCGACAAAAGGTCTTATGACATGAGTTATTTATGCTATTTTATCTATTTTGTAAAAATTCTATAAAAAAAATTAATTTTACACCTTAAAATTAAATTTGGTCGAATTTTGCTTTAGATAGTTGGTATCACAGTCAGTGTTTTGACAGTTAATGTCAAAATCGATTCGCCATGCCGTCCTTAATTTACTTGTTTACAATAAGCGGCTGTTAATGTTAAAGAAGAAAAAAAGGACTTTCTTTGGTGTTAAACAAAATTTATTGCCAGAAAAGTCTTGTAAGTACTAGAAAAATTATAAAAAGATAATCAATAAGCAAAATATTATGCTGTTTAAAGTATAGCCAACCTATAAAATCAAAATTTTGGGTGGGATAAAGTATCTCATTATAGCACCGAAAGCGGTGTTATAATAAATTCATTATGAACGCAAAATAGATAAAATATAGGTATTTAAATGTTTTTTTGTTGTCATAATAATTATTATGCTTTTAGGAATGTTTTCATTGTAAAAAAACTGGACATAAAAAGAGAGACTGCCCAAGTGTAAATCAGAAAGAATTATTTGAAAAAAGAAAAAATAAAGTGTTCAATAAGTCAAATAAAAAGCAAAAATGTAAATAATAAAGTTTTTATTACTTAATTAGTATCCATAGTGTTACTTATTTCATTTCTTACAACCTCGGCTGCTTCAGTCATGTTTAAACCTTCCAAAATATACAAAAAGTTATCCATTGTTGCATCCTCATCATCTTCGAACCACAATTGCAACATATTTTTTGCCTGGTCGATTTCCGTCGGGTTTTCGTTCTTGAAAAACTCGATTTCGTCCGGTTTGTAACCTAAAAATGACGTTTAAATGTCAATATTTTGACGGCTGTCAAACTTTGAGGTTAGCGTTGTTACCCAACTTAACGGCCAACTTTTCCCAGTCCGCGGCTATCTTCATGCAGAACAGCTGCATTTGGGTTTCGGTGATGCCCTTGTTGTCAGATCTAGGGTTGTTATCGTCGACGAAGTCTTCGGTGTTGTCTTGCTGCAAATTTTCGGATTGGGGTTCTTCTTCAGTCAACAAATTTTCCTCCAACTCGTTATCGTTTTGATTATTTTCATTTTGCTCTTGTAAGCCGGGTTTTTCAGAGGCTATTTTTCTAACCTAAAAAATTTAATATTATTATCTTATTTTTTTATATGAAAATATAATACCATCATTTCCAAATATGACGATAACGGATTCATTATAGTGTTACTGTAGGTAAAAAAATGCGGACTTCTTCTGGCCAACAGTCTTAGTGCTCTCCAACCGAAATTACCATCTTTTAACAAGTTATCGTCATCTTTTAAGCTCGATATATTCTCTATTGATTCGATGATTTCAGAGAAATAATCTTCCAGAGACGGTAAAAAGTCTCTTTCTTTGCCTTTACAAGCCTCAAGATTGTTCGGGCAATGATTCCAAAGTTTGGTCAACTCACCGCTGAAAATAACGAAAGTGGGGATAAATACGGCAACGTTGCGACATTTGAACTACTCTTAACTTCTCGAAGTTAATTTAGAATAAAAAACAACTTTATATCAATAAATTTAGCCATATTTTCACTAAAACCTTAAAAATATTACATTATTTGGAATTATACATGACCAAGAAGTTATTCTTTTTTTAAATGTGTTTGGATAGGGTATAAGATGTTGAATTATTTATTTAGTGTAATTTTTCTGCGTACAATATTTACAATTAAAAAGTAAAACGGCGTGCCATAATTAATTGTATATGTACGCATAATTTTAATTGTAATAAAAAATAATACAATTAATTTTACATATGTGCACATGTACACATAAAATTAATGCACTGAATTAAAATTATGACTATTTAACAAAAATTTTAGAATTAATTTTATGTGTACAGATAAAATTACCTATAAAATTAATTTTATCCCAGGTAGCACAACGTGACGAAACCGTGACGATTTGTGTCCATTGTGTCCAATTGGACACAAATCGTCACGGTTTCGTCACGTTGTGCTACCTGGGATGTCGACACATAAAATTAATATAATAATATCACAAAACTAAAACCTTCTATATTTGTGAATTATATACATAGAAATAATTTATATAATTATAGAAGAACAAAACCCGAATCTCTCCGCTTATTGGCGCCAAAGTTGACGTAGATAAATTACGTATAAATACCTACTATTCATTTGAACTACTGCAGTTGCCACTTCCTGCCGCATTCCCAAAGCGCCAAATTAAGTTTATGTGTAGACATAAAATTAATTTAATAATTTTTGTGTACAGTCTGTGCAGTACAGATAAAATGATTTCTATCATTTTTATTAGGTCATAATTTTAATTGTTACATAAAAATTCACTGCATTAATTTTGTGTATACCTACACATAAAATAAATTGTATCATTTTTCATTAGAATTAAAATTATGAGTAGGTAGGTACACATAAAATTTATTGTAAAATAAAAATGATTGTTGTGTTATTTATTATTAAGAAGGCTGAAGGACCCCGGTCGATGGCCTTTTGTATATTTTGTATTATATGTTCTGTATTGTACTGAATATGCAATAAAAACTTTATTTATTTATTTATTTTATTTATTATTAAGAAATTGCAAATTAAAAAATAATAGAACTAAAATAGTTAAAAAAACTTGTTTAACAATGTTCTTAGTCTCACAATAATTCCAATATACATTTCAAAGTAAAATAATAAAGAACCTCATACAAAATAAAAATGGACCAAATTTAAATGACGCAAATATTAATTCAACTAACAAAATAATATGTAAAATGTTTAAACATAAAAATATTAAAATAAAAAAAAAAAATATTTAAATGTATCATAATAAAATAATTATTATTATGCTAGACATAATAATAATTCGCTATTTTTCCTGTGCTTCCATTAAATTTGAATTAAATTTATGCCTGATATAATTTTATTTATTTATTAGGTGTTTTCGCGAACTAGTTCGGACATCCTACGCATGCGCATTTTAATATTTGTCATGCGCACTTTACTTTTTTAACCCCAAATTTTAAAAAGCGCATGCCTAGGATGTCCGGAATTACTTCGGGATTAGCTCCGCGAAAATAGCTATTATTATGTCAGACATAATTAAAATTATAAAAAATTAATTGTTCTGCATAAATCCACCATATAGGTATATTCCATAATTTTAAAAAACCTACTTCCATTTTTTTACATTTAAAACATTTACAATTAAAAAGTGAAATGGTGGGCCATAAAAAAGCAATTAAAAGTTACTTTTGGTAGTAAAATTGAATATGTCAAAACTTAAAACACGAAAATTTAGCGAGTAAAACCTTACCCCACTTTCATAAACGTTGCCAAACTTACCTGCCCATGTAAAACCTGCCTTCTTTGTTGGCTTCTTTCAGGATATCGCCCAGCAGAGGGCGCCTATTTTCGTTCTCCTTAGGTTCCGATATGTCAAAATTTTTCTTGATTTCCGGACAACCGTCGTTTTTCCAGGCGTTCCACAATTCTTCGCGGCCGAGAATTTTTTTGGCTATTTCGGCGAACTTGTCGCCATCTGGCGGCGTGTCTTTGAGTAGGCTGTATATTTTTTCCTTGTTTGTTGCTATCCATTCTTTTTGCTCGGTTTTTAACTCGTAGCTGTCGCTAAAATAAGAGAGTTAAATTTTTGTACACAATGTGTAGTGTACGTACGATTTAAACTTAACAGATGATGTGAGATATTGAAAAACCACCAAAAATTGCAGTAAAACCGATCTTCTAAAGTTAACATCATACAACTGTAAATCTAACAACTTTTGACTGGTCAAATACTTGGCAAAATAGCCTTTGTTAGAATTTTCTTCAGTGTTTACGTAATCTATTTTAATACCTTGAAAAGTGTTTAAAATACTTGTTGAATGCTAAAATATTAATAAAACCAGGTATATTTGAAAAATTGTATAAAAAAATTGCAACTTACAGCACAAAATTGCTTCCATTCAACCTTGCTGTAACATTGGTTAGGGTTCCTGAAAAAATCCTGCAGCTGCCAAAATTTGCAGTAAAAAGTAAAATCAATAACAATATTCTTCTGATCTCCTGGAATCTCTTTGACATACTCATCATCACCAGCATCCCTTGTATACTCAGTGATATTCTCAAAGTTAAACTCGCTGACTATATTCAAACCAGATCTTTCAGAGAAGGGAAAAAATTTGGCCAAGAAGAGTAAAATTTTACCGCAGAAAACTGTAGCAGTTGAGCGTGACAGCCTGCGCAGTAAATCGTTACACAATCGCAGCAAATGATTTTTACACGATGTAAAAAATAAGTCTTCTTTCCAAACCTGCACATTGTTTTCTACAAAACCAAACATTTCCTTGCACATATCGAGTGTTAGGGCTTCAAATATGTCACCTAGGAGTACAACTGGCAACGTGGGGCCTGTAAGACCCCTTCTGCAAGTATCAATACAAAACTGTACATATTCTTTTAGTTTTTCGACATGTACTTCATCTTCAAGTAATTTTAGTAGATAATCTCTGAAAGCCTGGTCTAAAGGCGTTTTTAAATCGATATCTGTGCGATTTATACTCTTTACTTTATCCTCTATTTTGTTTATTTTCTTAATTTTGAACGATTTTTCCAAAACATCCTTAAAGAGTCATTTTACAATATTTTAAATGAAAAACATTAAATTGAACTTACTCTGTATTCAATACGTAAAAGATCAAAGTTATAATCCATTATGAACAATATTATAACACTTTTTCGCGTATCAATTACAAAATAACAATATTAAGCATTTTTGTAGGTTAACCGCAAACATAACCCTACAAAATTCGACGCCAACAATGTTGCCACACTAAATACGAGGGACCTTCAAAATAATCTAATGTGTAATAAAAAATAATAATAAAAAACGTTTTGATACAAAAAACTATATTTAAAAGTAAAAAACAACAATATTAATTATTTTATTATTTTCTGCCGGCATAATGATGCCCCACATGGTGTCGCACTCCCCATTTGAAATTGGCATGTTTATCGGTCTTTACGAATGTATGTACAGGGCCTGTAACACCATGGTGGCCCTCTCTTTTACCGCGGAGTGCTTCTGATCTTACTGCAATAAAAATAATATTTGCTTTAAATTTATAGAAGTACGGTTTTTGAGGTGTTGTTTAAAAAGTGATGTGGCAACGTTGCAATACATGTCATGGCATGGCATGATAAAGTGTAATGTAATTGGAGGGGGTGTTAAATTGTCAAAATATAGCGTTTTTATTGGTTTAAATGTCAAAATTAAGGATATTTTGATTATGGAATTAACAAAAAATTACCTATTGGTTGTGGATAAGCAGAAATCATGGAAATTAGGGCAAATAAAGCCAATACTCCCATATAAACCTATAAATTCTCATTATTATAATAAAATAAAACGTAAATAAAAATTATAATTAACGACTTACAGATTGTGCGATTTTCATTTTGTTTGATTTCGTGGAATTTTAATGGAGAACTGATTTGATTAAGGCGAATTTCCATTTTATATAAAAATTGTTTATTAAAAAAAGCACTTTCTACAGGAGAAAGCATAAGCAAAAATAATTGAATTGTGGTTATGCATCATTTGAAAATTCTTGGAAGAAAAAATTATGTTTGATCGGTACGCCTCAAGGTAAACAAAGTACGTAGTTAAGGTAGTATTTATTTTAAAGAATAATTCACGATGCAGAACATTTTTTAAAACCAATGTATTCTATATATTCTATTTAATTATAATGTAACGATGTATAAGTTACTTTCAGTTGGCAAATGTCATACAATTGTCAAAATAAAGCGACTAAAAAGTGAGGTTAGAACAGTCCAACAGATTTTATTTATTTTTAAAAATTATTCAATTGTTGTTTTCGCAATATTTTAACAATTACAACAATTACATGTTGTCAAATTCTAGCAACATCACTAAATATGACGCCAATGCAGCTACCAACTAAAAAGATAGCTTATTATAAAAAAAATTTTTTTCGTAAGTAAATCACATACCTACCGAACAAATTAAGTCACCGTTCAAGAAAATAGTATTAAATGCTGAGAATTCAATTTTATCTTGACTCAATTGTAATTTCAAATAAATAATCTAAAAAAATGCAAAAATATAAAATATACTTGGGACTTAAAAAACAAACCTTTTTTGATTTGAATCTAAATTTGACATTCAAATCCTGCACAACCCAAAAAACGCCCTCCATTACATTCACAATCAATATACAGGGCGTGACAATTTCAATGAAAGTAGAAATATACAAAAAATTAAAAACAATTTTGTCCAAACTAAATTTGTATTTCCCCTGTATAATTTGCAGAATTCTGAAGGAATTATAAACGACCAGTACAAAAATTGACGGTATCAAAATCAAAAATTGACAGGAAAATATAGAGTTTAATATGTTTGATTGTTCTAAAATTTTGTCCAAAATTTTTCCAAAATTTCTATTTTGGTGTTTAAGTATGATTTTTTTGAATGTTTTTATTTGTAATTGTAGAGTTTTTAAGTAAATATTCCACTGCAAGATGCATATTGTAATAAAAATGAAGGGAATGTTGAAAATAATACAATCTAGAGTATTAAAACCTAAAAATATTTTTTATATATAAAGTTTTAGTAACGGGGTGATCATTATACCTTGTAAAGACCATGGTATTACTTGTATGATAATTTTTACCAAAATCCACAATAAATTATAAAAAATAATTCTATTAATTTTTTTATCGTTCCATACGAACCCAAAACTCTTAAACTCCAAAATAATATTTTCATCGTTAACCTCCAATTCGTTGATATATTTTTTCACCATAAAATTTGGCGTGAATACACAAACAAAAATCAATATAATTTGCGAGTTATACTTAAAAAATTCCACGACTTTGGTAACAAAACCTTTAGATTCGTAGATGGAGGACAATTTTTGCCTATAACATACCGAAAAAAGAACAATAGATAAAAAGAAAAACATACGAATATAATATAAAATTTTGGACGATTTATTGTAAGGCTTCAAACAGAAAAAATCAAGAATATAATGAAACATTGTTTTCATATCTTTAGAAAACAATATGTTAATATCTACAATGTTTTAATTTGATTGTAAAATTTACAATTTCAATAATTAAATTCCAATACCATCTAGAAAATCAACACTTATTTATAGTTTTCAATATTAATTATTTTTAGTGGTCTTAAGGAATCACACTTTAATAATTAAGGGGTCAATCGTACAAAAAATAACAAAACACATAATAGAATTTGGTACAATTAGGTGACAATGGCCTAGATATCCAAAATAATCTGTTGTAGGTAAAATAATTGTGGAAATATTTTTTACAGTTAAATCCGGCAAAGTGATTTTGAGTCGTGCGATGTTGCTAGATTGACAATTTTGTAGCAGAAAAGGGTATTTTTCAGGTTGTGATAGTATCTAAGATAAAAATAGAGGAAGTAAAAAAACTTCACGTGACAAAGTAAATCGAATGGAATACAAAAAAAAATCGGAATAAATATTTCCATTACACAAAGTGATCTTTTAGGTACACATTGACAAGCTGTGACTTTAGTCACGGGCTGAAGTTAGCTTTAGGTTATTTGACAGTTATCAAATGTCATACCATCGCCAAAAATAGAATCTCACGTGAGGTATAGGTGGGGTCTACCACATCTTACCAAGGGGGAGGGGGGTTCCAAATTATCAGAGAAATACCTCACGTAATTATTGGATATCCCCTATTAATGTATGTCGTAGAAAAATAATAGTATGCAACTCCTTTACAAACTTTTCTAGTCACTTATTTTATTAAACACTCGGTTATGAGTTTATAATGACATTAAATAAACAAGTTCTGCGCAAGTAGAATTTAATTTGAAGTTTGCGAAAAAAAGATAAATTTTTGATCGGCATTAAAAAATATAAATTTAATTGGTGCAATTTATTATTTACCATAATTTATCGACAAATTTCAAATTATACAGATTTTATACCATTTTAAATTTTTAATATTTCTTTTCAATGAAATAGTAAAAATTTAAAATGATATAAAATCTGTATTATTTGGATTTTTTAAATAAAATTTGAAATTTGACGATAAACTATGGCAAAGAAAATATTTTATCCTTTGATTTATTTTATTAATATAATCACATTTAGTATTGTTTTACAAGAAAGGCACTTTATTTTAACGATTCTATGACATTTGACAACTGTCAACTAACTTCAGCCCGTGACTAAAAACATGTTGCTAACTTCAGCCAGTGACTAAAGCGCCATAAAGCCACAGCTTGTCAATGTGTATTTAAAAGGTCACTTAGTGTCATGGAAACCTGTACCTACGATAATGGGCGTTTTAAAGATGGGAGTAGAAAAAAACATAAAAAAAATCACAAATCGGTTTTGTTGCCTTATAGTGCATCAGGTGTGTGCCCCTCTTCCTTTCCCAGTGGAGATGGTCTCTCTCCATATGCGCAACCTTTACCTTCTCAGGTGTGAACTGTGTGTTTCAGTATTATTTCAGACGTGAGACACTGTGCAACAAAATCGATATCCCTGATGTTAACTGAGGCTTAAGTAAAACGCGTTTTTTTGTTTTTTTTTCATTGATTTAGTTGGGTAAGTTTTGTTTTACATTTTACAGTTTTCGATTTGTTTTTGGTGGCATATGTGGGATGTTTTGTTCGATACGGTATATTAATATTTATTAATAATTAATAACTTTCTTGAATATTAAAACATTAAAGTTTATGTGCATGTTGTAAATGTTTAAATAAAATATCAAGCGTTATTTGCCGAAGAAAGTTATACCTAATTATTAACTTTTAGGTGTATAATCAAATAACCAAAACATTATGAAACATGAAAGCATTTCTGTGTTATAAAAAATACAGTTACTAAAAATTGGGTCTTGGCATAGATTTTTATACCACTAGTCTGACCGGAAATAATTATGTACATGATGTACCATGAAAAGTGTTTTAGATGTAACCTTTATGTTTTAACATTTTCTTCGAATTATTTTCCAAAAACCGGTTTTTATCTACTTTTAATCAAACATAAATCTCGTACGAATCAATAGAATTTTCAAATAGCGTGGGGTGGCGTTTTAATGGTAAGAGGAGATTCGAACAGCTGATATTTAAGGGCCTTGACCTACGATTACAATGAGGGTCAAGTCACAGTTAACCCAGTTAAAGACGTGGGCACATTACTTCTTACCCGAGCCTCAGAGGATTCACTGCAGTGGCGTGCCGTACTTTCTAAATCGATCATTTTTCACGGTGCTATTCTGAGAGGTGATTTTTGGACTTTCTGTGAAACCTAATTTTTTTTATATTCTTGTTAATTAGGTCATAACTAAAATTTTAAGAGCAAAATAAAAAAAATTTGACGGTTAATTTTGTTTTAATTGGATGTTTATTAAAAATATGTATGCACACTTTCAATTCTCCAATTAAAACTTGCGATTTTATTTAAATATTATCATAACTAAATCAGATTAAAGATTAGTTAATTTCCTAAAAAAAGGTCTATACATTTTTTATATCTTTTACTGTTTTGTTGTAATACACGTTTAAAGTTTTAATTTAAGGTTAAATGTATAGTATACATTTATTAAACAATAATTCTAAGGGTGCCACATTTTATTTAGGGCCGATTTATTCATTTTTGATTTATTTGATGAATAATTTCTTTGAATACTAGATATTGCCAAGACATGAAAGTTATCCGCCCGATAAACTTTACTAAAGATGAATAAACCGGTCCTTAGTTAAATTTCATGAATTTCTTCGTAACTTTTACTACAATTTTTCATTTTTCTTTATAAAAAACACTTTAAAAAACTAAACAAAAATTATAGAATACGTATACTGAAAATGACAGTTCAAACGTCAAATAAATTTTTAATAGATCTAAGTTTCATGGCAACCTTTAAGGATATATTAATTAAGGGAACATAAATGTATACGTCAAAGGTTAGATTAAAAGTTTGAACGTTTATTGCAACAAAACAGTAAAATATATAAAAAAAAAATTGTAAAAACCTTTTCTTTAGTTATGCAAATATTAAATATTTAAATTAAATCGCTAGTTTTAATTGGATAATTGAAAGAGTGCATAATATTTTTAATAAACAGCCAATTAAAACAATTCAAACCGTCAAATTTGTTTTATTTTGCTCTTAAAATTTTAGTTATGACCTAATTAACAAGAATTAAAAAAAATTAGGTTTCACATAAAGTCCAAAAATCACCTCTCAGAACAGCACCGTGTTTTATTTATTTTTTAGCTACGGAAGATAGTTACGTAATCGTAAAAAGTTACGAGAAATTAGACTGTTAGAAAATTGGGCTGTTGGAAAATTGGCAAAGAAATTTTGAGAAACTGTTTTGAATTTTAAATGTTAAAATTATTGAGATAAGGTTGGGTTTATACCGGTTTCATTTCAATTCAGTAATTATTTAAATCGTTAATTGATAAATTTCCCACTCAACGGTAAAAAAACAAAAACGGGTTATTATATTATGCTTTATACAGGGTGAGTCATTTAACATGAAACTGAAATATCTCAGTCTAAAACATTTTTTCATATTTGCTGTAATGAAAAAAAATCAATTTTGTTCGATTTTTCTTCTGTATACGATTCTGCAATAATTTTTTTATAAAAATATTACTTTTATTGGTAATAATTATCTTATTAAATTAAATCTGATTTTTTAAGTACCCACGATTTTTTAACTAATATTTAAGTTTTATACATTATTTCATTCGGTGATAAATATCAATTGCGCACCTTTTTACCTGCCAGCATTAAATCCTTTAATTTAAAGGATTATTGTGCTATTTTTAATAAAAATACCTCATTTAAGGTAAATAACATTATTTTCTCAATTAATTAATTTAATCCTAATTGAGGTAGTTATAAATAATAATTATTATTGTGATATAAAGAAACTATTTATAGTTTAGCATTATTTAATCAATTTAGTTTGAAGATTAATTTGTAAACAAAAAGACCTCATTTCGTTAAGCAGTTATTCATAATGGATGTTTTAACAGTGGAAGAAAAAATAGAAATGATTTTGATTTATGGAGAAGCAGGCAGGAATCTTGATGATGCTGTTAATATGTACGCTCAGCGTTTTCCGGAAAAAAATCGATCACGTACTACATTTCATCGTACAGTCAAGCAGTTTACTACAAACGGGAGTGTTCAACCGAAAAAAAAAATTTGTCGAGCAACAGTCACATGTGGAAATAATGAAATTAATGTATAAGCAGCAACGGCCGCTAATCCTCAAGCACACAAGAATTATCTAGAGATTTGGGAATATCCCAGAGCAGTGTTAGCAGAATATTAAAACGAAATGCGAATTAATAAATGTATTGAAGTCGAACACGTACTTTTATTAAAATTTAAAAAATTAAAAAACAAATTTAAAAAATACAGTATTTTATTCAAAAATTATTGAGAATCGTATACAGAAGAAAAATCGAACAAAATTGATTTTTTTTCATTGCAGCGCCATCTATTACAAATATGAACATTTTTTTTAGACAAAATATACCAATTTTTAGTCGAATGATCCGAATCTGCAATAAAAAAATACTTGTTTGTAGATATATTTTGTCGTTATTTTTGAGACCTGTCATCTGTCATTTTTGACATGTGTCGCCTATTATTTTACATTAGGCACGAACGAATTGCATACTATACTCTTTCTACAACAAATACTTAATATTATAAAAAAAATATTTAAATTAAATATTTGTATAAAGCGACATCTATACGAAAATAAAGTAACCATCCAGATAAACATTTTTGACGTAATTTTAACCATTAACATTGCCCGTTATTATTTTAATTAAACTTAACAATTATTGATACTTGTAATTATTAAAATAATTTTAAAATATGATTATGTTAAGAAAATATCTAATCCTTTAATTTTTTAAATTACTATAATTGCAAAATATTATCATGAAGTATTAAACATTCTTAAACGGGAAATGTTATAGGTACAAAAAGTGACAGTTTATTGGAATAAGGTGGGTGTAGAAAAAAAATTAATAAAAATAATAAAAAAATGATTTTTTAGCGCAAATGCAACTATTATGCAAAAACAATAGAAGACCCGCAAATTCTGATTTAATTTTTAAAATTATCTTAAAAAGTTACCCATGGAAACAAACTGTTACTTTAATAACCTTTACAGGTTAGGAGAAAAAAATGGCACACATGAGAAAATTTTAAAAATTGAAATAATATATTATTTCTCGGTAATTAATTATAGTGGAAATAAGATTTTTTTTATCCTAGCCTATATAATAATAATAATATATATTTATTACCCAACAAATTACATAAGAAAATAAATTTAATAGACCACAAAATTTGAGAAAAATCTGAGTCTTGCGGTGAACTGATCTGACGTGAAATGATCTCGTAGCGATCTGACATCGTAACAAGTACAACTTTTGATAATCAGCTGTCAAACGCATGTGTTACAAACGAGTGTTTTTGAGAATAAAGCCAAAATATGTTAAAAAATATCGAAAAAAACCGTGGTACGATTTGTTGTGTTGTTGGGTGTATTTCGAGAGGAAATCCTGGGTTGAGTTTTTACCGGTTTTCCAATACACAGTGTTAATCTGAATGAAAAAATAAATTGCATACAGTCTCTGTAAATATAAATTGTACCTATTAGATACAATGAAAACACATTTTAGTAGTGATTAACGTGAAAAGTGTAAACATTTCCATTCAGTAAAAATCGTCAAACAAATAAGTCGTCTAAATTTAAACAGCATTTAGCATTATTAAAAGCGTTGATTAAGAAAGTCTCCACTCAACGGTAAAATACCATTATATTATGTATTATGTCTAATATTATGTTGCCATGAATTCGTAGGTATATTTTGTTGTTTAAAACGCAGTTGTCGGCGTTTTTTAGAGAACTCGAATATAAAAATGGTTGATTTTAAGGTTATGTTTGTGCAAAAATTATTTTTTACCAATTTCTTAAAAATGTCCAAACTGAAATATAAATTATATTAGGTAAAGTTATCATTAGCTAATTCTGCACCAACAAATGTACTTAGCGAATTGGATCCTTTGGCAAAACATGAAAATGCAACGATTTAGTTCTTGAATTTTATTTACAATAAAAAACACAATAATTTACCATGATTCCTTAGATAAAATACACACACTAACGTAACTATATAAGCATTTAAGCGTTGAGTTTCTTAATCAATGATATAAGGAATAATCAATCAAAATCGAGTATTAAAAAGTTTTTTATTTTTTTCCTTGCAACGTAAAACACAAATAACTTGCGCGATTTCGATAAAAGAGATTTAATCAATTTCCGACAAAAAAACCGTGAAAGTGTAAAATTTCATAGGTGACAATTAATGTAAATTTGAATGACCGACGCATTGGCCGAGTTGTCCACTCGTGCGCGCGTTATTTTAATAATCCAACCTTGAATTATTGCCAGATGTAAACCGCTAATTAAACGGCCAAACGCCAATCGTGCGTAATGCGATATTTTACGTGTTTGTTTATTTTGTTCGATCTTTTTCTTTTAGTTTACGCTTTCTTCGATCTT